CTTCTTAGAAGCTTTGTAGACATTGTTTTGACTTTACATGTATTTATAGTTGATTGGTAGATTAGAAAATTCATCAACAAATTAACCATATGTTAGTAGCTTATAAAATAAGTTAATTATGTAGAGCACATATAGAAAACTTTTCTTGCAAGTTAAAATGTATGTCTTCCAAAGTCAATACATTTTAGAGGTCCAATAAGATATTACCATGTAGTTCATAGTTAAGAGTATATATGGAAGCAAGAATAAAGCCTTCTTCATTCTTATCAATACCTTTCTAGTCTTTAGCCTTGTTTGAAAACTTTTTAGTCTTCTTGGTGTTTGTAATATCCATTTTAGTTTAATACCATACTTTCTTTAAGTGACTTTCTAGTTCTTTTGAATGACATAAGAGGCTATCAAATATTCTTACTTCGAGCTTCATGTCTTTGACAAATATATATTTTTTCAATTTTGCATAACATTTAAAAAAATTTAACTTTTGCAATACTAATCTCACATGTTCTTTAAGAGTCTTCGAATAAATTAAGATATCATAAATATAAAAAATAACAAACTTATTTAAGAATTCTCAAAAAATATCATTCATCAAATATTGGAATATATTTGGAGCATTTGTTAATCCAAAAGGCATGATAATATACTCAAAATATTCGTACCTTGTCCAAAATATTGTCTTCTATTCATCTCCTTCTTTAATCTACATCAAATTATATGCCTCAAAGAGATCTTTTTTGATATAGATCTTAACTTGACTGAGTTGCTCAAAAAGTCTCAATATCAATAATAATGGATAATAATTCTTCATTATTATTTTGTTGAGGCTATGATAATCAACATACATTTGTAAAGTTTTATTTTTTTTTTTCTTTGTAAAAAGTATTGATGTACTTATTAGAGATTTGGAATGCCAAATAAAATTCATTACAAGATTTTTGTTGATGTAATCTTTTGATGCAAAAAACTTATTCTATAATAGGTTATAAATTAGTCAAAATGGTGATTGAGCCCCTTCTTAAAGATTGATGGTACAATTATATGGTCAATGCTTTGGCAATATGTCAATATTTTTTTTATTGAAGACATCTTGAAAATCCTTATATTACTCTGGGAAAGCTCTTAACAAGCTTGCTTCTTCACAAGCTGAAGTTGTATAAATAACAAATGATATTTCTTTCTTAGCCATCTTCATAAAAGTCCTTATTGTTAGAAATAAAGACTTTATTGTTGATTACTTTTTGATAGGTTTTACTTGAAGGAATTATATAAGAAATTCAATCTTATGAAACCTCTATTCTATAAATGGATTATATCTTTTTATCCATGAAAGTCCTAGAATGATAAAATTAGATGGAATTTTAATAATATTAAATACTATTTTACTACTATAGCCCTCAAATGATATTTCTAGTAATATGGTTTCATAAATAATATTATCTAAAGATAAATATTGACCATTTGTTACTTCTACATATATAGGTTTTGATTTCTGTACTAATTTTGTTTTTATGAAGTTTAAAAAAAAATCATTAAAAAACCAAATAAATATTTTTGAATCTAATAAGGTATTTCTTTAAAGTCTTTGTGGGCCAAGAAATAAATGTATAATAAAGCAATAAGCAAGTTGGGTAGAGAGAGAAGGACCTTAATGAATTTGTGGTTTTAGAATATCTAATGCACATTCCCTATTATAGTTATGCCTCCTTATTTTCTTCAATAATTGCAATCTTAGTTTTACTTGAATGTTGTTTCTTGGACAATTTCAAGATTTGTGGCCTTCTTCATGATAATATAAAGCATAATTCTTGTTCAAATTGACATTTCTTTGCCTTTGCTATAAGAAATTTGAATCATATTGCATCAAATTACATATTCTCAACTTTAGAATATGGAAGTAATGTATTTGTTGAAGAAGCAAAGTAATAAATTTCTAGTATGTTGTTTTGTTAAAGTCTACAAGCATTGATCTTGATGGAATTGAAATAATCAATTATAACATTTTACAGCTTGATTTTTAGCTTCATTTAGTATTTGAAGATCAAATAATAATAATAATAGATCTTTCATATCATTTTTAATCTCTAATAGAATTGGCCCATAAGAACTTGTTCATCTCTATTGATGTCATAAGCCAATTATCTAAAATAAGATACATAAATTGATATAGAATGTAACTATTGATGTAATGAAGAAATCTTTATTACCACCCTTTGAGCCTTGTCATGTTTTCCAAATGCCTCTGCATATGCTTGTAAAAAAAAACTTCAAAAGTATTCAAGATTAGAGATTTCTTCTCAAATAAAAGAACAAATCAAGAAAAGACTTATCTTATAAGTAAGGTTCCAACTAAATCAACTTGTGATTCTTCTATTTAGTAGTACCCAAGTTATAAAAAAGTTATCAATCAAATTTGATTAACAAACCCTTGAACTTTAAGTGTGTATTATTTTTTTTTTGAAAGATTAATCTAAGGCTCCTTATGTTGTTGAATAGGTGAATTTTCTTATTGAAGTATAGATGCCACTACTTCCTTGGATGTAGAAGCTTGAGAAAGTGATTTTATCACAAGCTGACTTACTCCAAGTCTTGCATCACCATAAAATCTTGCAAAAAATCCCTCAATTTTAGGAGTTCTACAAGCTAAAGCATTTAGTGTATTCATAATAACATCTAACTTCTACTTAAAGACTCAACCATATTAATATCTTCACTTCTAGCCATCCTAAAAGAGAAAAAAAGAGTTTTTAAACAATAACAATTTAAAAGAGGATATGCCACAACTTCTAAAGTGCTTAGATGCTTTCAAGAAGAGAGATAATTTATTCTTTATGAAGAAGGATCATCCTCTAGTATTGATAAGAGAGCAATCTCAATAAATTGTAACGAATATACTGTACAAGAGACCATATAAGAAATTGAATAGAAAAATTTTAACAAAAAAATTAGCAAGAACTTGATTAAATTATATGAGTAGAAGATCAATACTAAGAAAGATGAATTAGAGCTCCTAAAGATGTGCTGTTGAGATTGAGGATTCCCTTAGCCTCGACTCTAATATATACTAGGTATTAGCAAGCTTATCTAGAAGTTTCTATATTTCTTGAAGATAAAGCAACTTTAAGAAGTTCCTTGAAAAGTTTCTATGTTGCTTGAAAATGAAGCAAACTTAGAAAGCTTCTCAAAAAGTTCTCATGTTGCTTGAAGATGAAGCAACCCTAAGAAGCTTTTTAGAAAACTTCTTTGATTCTTTTAAAACTTTCTAAAATCTCCTAAAATATTCTAAAAACCATTTAGAATCTTTTAATATATTCTAAGATTCTTTTGAAAATCTTATAGAATCTTTTAGAACCTAATAAAATATTCTAAAATTTATATTATATATATATATTTATCAATAATATATGTATATACATATATAATCATATCAATATAAATATTATAAATTTAAATTAAATAAAATTTTATTTTGATGACACATTTCATAGTAGTTGTGATAGTAAAATTGAGAAATAATTTACATTTGTTTTTTAAAGAGCTTAGTTTTTAAATAATTCACTAGAATAATAAATTTAAAAATAATTATTATACATTTATAAATCATGTATACTTTGTTTAAACAAAATATTTCTTTTGATATTTTTTTTTAAGATTCATGTATTTATATCTCATATTTCTTTTTTATTACATGTTTACAAATTGAAGTATTAGTTTGTAATTATACATGTATTTTTTAACATTTATTCTTATAAAAAAGTATTAAATTTTATTATAATGCACAATATTTTTTATTAACAACTCAAAAAATACTAAAATACGTATATATATATATATATATGCACATATATTTAGATTCATGTTATCAATACAACATTAAAAAGAATAACTAAAAAAATAGTAAAATATAGTAAAATCATAATAAAAATAGATTATTTTAGAATAATTATATGTATATATATATATGTATATATATATATATATATATATATACACACACATACTTACAAATTGATCATTTTATATAATTTCCATATTAATTATAATCTATCTTATATTTAAAGCGTCTAATATTGTATATTACTTATATAATTTTAAAACAAACTTCATTGATTGAACAAATCCTAGTAGTTTTTTTTTTTTTTTTTTTTTTTTTTTTTTAATAAAAAACTTATAATGCAATAGATTGACCCTTTTATTATTGTTGTTATTGTTGTTGTTGTTGTTGTTGTTGGTTGGTTTTATTGAAGTTCTTCAAATTACATTTTGAAATTTGTGATTTTATTTTACAAATGTACTCAATAAAAAAATGTAAGTGCAATTGAATCCATTTTGGTATATTTTATTATAAAAGTCATGCTTGGATTAATATTTGAGGATAAATGAAAATATTAAGGGCTTATTATATATTCTATATTGTAAAATTTATTCTGTTACACTGTGTAAGCTAAAATTTGACCAGCATTTTATTTATTTTGATATTTAAAAAACTTAGGTACAAACTATGTGATACGATTTTTCTTTGGAAAACATTCTACATACGTTTTGGTTTAGAGAACATTCCGGAATTGTGTGAAGTAATAGATTTCAGAAATGGTAATTGTAAATTTAGTATGAGAATCCAAATGATTGAGTGCAATAAGTTTTTATTTTATTTTATTTTATTTTAATGTTTGATTGCAAAGCCCATAAGATAGAAAAAGAGCACGATGAAGTTTTTTTTTTTAAATTAATTAATTTTTTTTCTTTACTGCAAACACATGGTTCAGTGTTTTCAACAAAATTTTAACTCACTTCCCAAGCATTATTCCCAAGCATGTCCACCAACCAAAACTAAACTTACCAGGCGAATCGTGCCCATGATCCAATGAGATCGTGACATGTGTCAATAGGACATTGACCAGACCCGTTCCCACGGGCAAGCGAGAGTAAGAGCGGGGGGAGCCCATATTCCCAAAAGTGAACTCACTAGATTCTTACTAGTAACTTATGTTCATTTTTCTATGGCTATGGCCTCCTCAGCCTTGTTGGGTATGGCGGGTTAGGGTTTGCTATGTGTGTTTTTTTCTCTCACCAACCCCCCCCCGAGGTCACCATTCCTGCACCCTTATCTCCCACGCTTGGCCCTCTCTTTCGAGCCCCTAGTTGATCGTACTGCGCTGCTCGATTGCTCACTGTCGAGCTCAGTCTCGTGAGAAACGGATCTTTCGACTGGAAACGCGAATTCTGTGGACATTTTCTCGCTTTCTATCACGGTCGGTAAGTTTTTTGGAATACTTTGAGGTTTTTATTGATTTCAGTGTGGTGCGATGCGTTGAAGTCGTGAGAGGTTGTTGTGAGGTGTTAGGGTTTTAGTGGATGAGTTGCTGTGATGCCCTCCATACGCCTCACGCTGTGCAAGCCGATTTACAAACTCTTCTTGCAAAGGTAACATGCGTGAGTGCTCTAGGCGAGTAACGATGCGAAAAATGGTCGAAGGGATGACGCTTTGCTATCTTTACAGACCTAGCGTAGTTGCTGAGCTTTATCGAGCTCTTATTGTCGGTTGGAATTCTCGTCTCTCAGAGTGACGGAGAATTGGTGTGAGGTTTCGTTCGTGCAGTGTATTGTTGGAGATGATACGATTCATTTGCAGTGTTGCACATTAGGTGTTACTTTTTGTGGATTAATTTCCGTTACGGTTCGGTTTTGAGTTTTGTTGCAGTTGTCGGACTCCCCTAAATTTCTGAAATGGCGAAACATTACGATGACGACGAAGCAGAGGAGGTCGATGAGGAGGAGGCTGAATTGGAGGAAGTAGAGGAAGAAGAAGAGGAAGAAGAAGGAGAGGATTTGGAGGAGGAGGAGGAGGAGGAAGAGGAGGACGAGGCTCGAGGTCGGAAGCGGAAGTACAAGGTCTAGAGTCTGACGCAATGTCCATACGTTTGCAATTTTTAGTTGGGTTTGAGTTTGCAGGAATCAGCGCGCTCATTTCTTGAGTATTTTAGCAGTTTCCTTGGTTGTTTGGTGAAAGTTCAGTACTCAATGGTGTTTGATTCAAGTGGGTTTCCTTACTAAGTCGCATCAAAATATCATGTTTCGTTGAGGTGAATGTAATTCAGAATGTTTTAATCACACGGTCACTCCCCATGCGCAGTAGTACAGACCCATCTATTAGTTCCGCAACTGTAATATGTACTCATGTCCTTATGCAGAGGACTTGTTTAGTACGCTCTCAACTTGCTATGCTTCAGGAGTTTAGCATTAGATTTCTGTAAAGCTTTCCGAGATAATGTCGTTAAAGCGAACGTGTCAGAGTTTTCATTTAGTGCTGAAAATGTAGTAAACCGTTCCGTCACTATTTCTCAGCTTTTGTCGCTTTAATAAGAAAAAGAAAACTACCTTATCTTGTAGATGATTGACTGGTTTGGTGTATCTCTTAATTGGAAATCGACACTAGGGTTCACAATTTATTGATGATGTCGCCGAGGAAGACGACGACGAAGATGAAGAAGATGAAGCACCGAGGAAGCGGCGGCAACACCGCCGGGGCTCGGAGTTTATAGATGACACTGCAGCTGTGGCAAGTGATGAAGAGGAGGAGGAAGAAGAGGAAGAAGAAGGTATGGGTACTTCACATCTAGTTGAAGTAGTTGGATAAAGTACCGTTTTTGTCCTTCTCCTTGCGTATATTTTGTGGTTGCATCTTATCAAACTTTTGTATCATCTGTAAATTTACTTCCACAAAAACATGTCAGTGTCATTGGTCTCTGATGAGGACGATACAGTCTATGCTACGAATTTTAGGACCTTTTCTTTGTTTCAATATTTCGCCATGTCTTAGTTTGGATTTTCTAAACATGAGTAAACTATCGAGCAGATTTTATTGAGCGAGGAGATATTTCACCTGGTGCCGAAGATGTTCGGCGGCCTCATCACCGCGCGGCTATTCGTGATGACGCCCAAGAAGATGTTGAAGGTCTTGAAAGATATATTCAGCAGCGCTATGGACGGCAGGTGAAAATTCGTTTTGTGAAATTGGGAAGACAATCGTCAAAGCTGCCACTTATTTCCTTTTAGTCGTCCTTGCCATGTCAGCGAATTTGGTGGTTATTTCAAAGAGGTTGAAATTTCATTGCGAATTTTACATGTTTTTATCTGAACATTATTTACCTACTGGCTTCAGGAATATGAAACATACGATGAAGCCGAAACTACAGAGGTGGAGCAACAAGCGTTGCTTCCTTCTGTAAAGGATCCGAAGCTGTGGATGGTGAAGTGCAATGTAAGTGTTCTACATTATTCTATTCGACTAGAAATTGATTACATTTCAAATACAGTTCATTATATACTAGGTTGAAAGCACATTTTTTTTTTTTGTTTGATTTTTTAGTTTCGTATGCGCTAATAAGCCCTTCTCTCTTTTGCAGTTGGGGCATGAACGTGAAGCAGCAATTTGTCTCATGCAGAAGTACATTGACCAAGAACAAATAAATCAGCCACTTTTGATCAAGTCAGCAATTGCGTTGGACCACTTGAAAGGGTATCTGTACATCGAATCTGAGAAGGAAGCTTACGTAAGACAGGTAAAAGCAGACGGGACTTGATATTGTCAAAATACCGCAGGTTCTTGTTTTTCAACTGTATCGTAGGTTTAATGCTTCTGTAATTTTAATTCATACATTTTAAATACTTTTAACAAATCACTACTATTACCATGTTTATCTTGCTATTGTTGTAGCTGATTGTGGCCTTAAGGCTTGAAATTTGACTAGTTGATGTGTATGACGCAGGCTTGCAGAGGGATGCGTATGATATATAGTCAGAAAGTCACTCTGGTACCAATTAAGGAAATGACTGATGTTTTGTCCGTTGAGAAGAAGGCGGTGGAAATTGATCAAGACACTTGGGTTCGAGTTAAGATTGGTATTTACAAGGGTGACCTTGCCAAGGTATTTAGTGCATATCTTTCCCTACTATTACATACGTGGCCTTGACAACTTGACGCATTGTTTAATTCAGTCTGCTGCGAACAATTAGATGGTGATTCATGTTCTGATGGGATTAAGTTTAGCATATTTAAAACGAGGTTTCTTTAGAATTCCTAAGATTTTGTGGACTTACACGACCTGGGGATATGTAAACTGTCATACAGGTGGTAGATGTGGATCACGTTAGACAGCGTGCTCAAATTAAACTCATACCAAGGGTTGATCTTCAAGCCTTAGCGGCAAAGCTTGTAAGTAAACTTGGCCTGTGATTGGAAGTTGGTGTCGTGGATCTTCAATTTTTTACTCTGAAAGTGGGTCCTTTCGAATACTTTGGTATTTTGCTTATTCGTAATATTCTTGCGTGGTGAATATAGTTTCTGTTCAGGATGAAAAGTTTATGGTTCAGGGTTTTGACATAAATTGTAGCAGTCACGGATGTAAATGTCCCTTTCTCATGCAATTGTTTCCAGGAAGGACGAGACGATATGAAGAAACGGCCAAGACCTGCGCCTCGATTTATCAGTATTCAAGATGTGAAGTACGTTAATTGCTGCATCTTTATCAAATCATTGAATGCATTGGTATACCTTGTGCATCTGATTGGATGATGATGCCAAAGTAGCTGGATTTACTTGCCTGCTCTAGCCCTCCCTTCTTTCCATGATGACAGCTATTCTCGCCAGATTATTCCAAGGCGTTTTCAAGCTTTATATGGGCAATGTAGATAAGTAAGTTTATCTTTCGTCTTCTCCTTATTATCATTTTAATGTTTTTAAACTGTTGTGTTGACCAGAGATTTGAGGATACCTGTTGAGCGCAAACGTGATGGTTCCACTGGGGAGCTTTTTGATCAGTTTGGAGGCATGATGTTCAAGGATGGGTATCTCTATAAATACGTCTCTTTGAAGACTATTGATGCGAAGGGTATTGAACCCTCGCTTGACGAACTTCAGAGATTCCAGAAACCGGGAGAAGATGGAATGGATGCTCTTGGCCTTCCACCCTCAGCTATTAAAAATCGTGGTCAATTCATGAAAGGAGATGCTGTCGTTGTTATTGAGGGTGATTTGCGAAATCTTATGGGAGTGGTGGAAAAGGTGGATGATGATAATGTGTACATTGTGCCCAAGTACAAAGATCTGAAGGTCAGTTTGGTTTTTCTACTGCATGGATGTCTAACTGCTCTGATTATTTACAAGCGGTGTTACTTGATTCCAAATTATTAATTTAATGATTTTATTATCATTTCTTTTCATTTATTATATCTTCTTGCACTCGCTGTTGCCTGGTTTTCTCACTGGTGGGTTATTTCATGTGCCCTGTCTACTTTAGGAAACTTTAGTGTTCAAAGAGAAACAGCTCCAGAAATTTTTTAAGACTGGCGATCATGTTAAAGTTATCGCCGGAAATCATGAGGGAGCCACGGGCATGATTGTGAAGGTTCAAAATAACGTCATCACTATTCTTTCTGACTCAACGCGAGAAGATGTAAGTTCACCAGTGCTTTGAGGTTAGGGAAATGTTACCTCGACTTGCTAGGGTTTCCATCAGCATTGTCTATCATGTGATAGAATTTAACTGATATGGTTCTTGCTCTGAAATACCTCAGTGACTTAGAAAATTTGGTTGTCGGTGATGCTCTCAATGTTGGTATTGGGGACTTTTGATTCCATCTATGACTTTTCTACAATGTAATGAGACTCTCTGATAACTTGTAGGTAGATTAGTACAGCCTTGGTTCGCGAAAATTGGTCTAGGGCTTGGACTTCAGGGCATTTACTGCTTTTGTAAATTAAAAACTTGGTGAATGCCTGTAATTGCAGCTTCGTGTCTTTGCGCACAATATCGTGGAAAGCTCTGAAGTAACCTCCGGCATCACGAAATTGGGAGATTATGAATTGCATGATCTTGTTGCTCTAGAGTATGACTTCATATCCCGATAATTAGACTTGACAGACAACATTAATTTCACGCTTATTGTATATTCACTGTCACTGCAGTTTCTTATCTGTAGTATCAATCTGCAGTAGTTTTTTAGATGTCGCTGTTATGACGGTGTATTCTTATATGCTGTGTCTTGTCTTGACTTGGTTAGCTCATTATGTTCTGCTGGATTTAAGAATCGCTGTGGATTTTTGCAGTCAATCAACTGTTGGGCTTATTGTCCGGGTCGAAAAGGATGCCTTTCAAGTACGGAAGTTCTCACCTTCTGTTTATGTGCATCAGTTGTGATTTCATGTTATGATTATTTTTTTACAGTGTCTATTTTAGATCATACGACTATATCGAGATTATACGGTGCCTGGCCTTGTCGTTTGATTTCTCCATTGTTGATTCTGCAGATTCTGAAGGGTAATCCCGAAAGGACTGAATTGTTGATGGTGAAACCAAGGGAAATCCGCAGAAAAGTGTTTGACAGAAAAGTTTGTGCGCAAGACCGTGATATGAACGTGGTTAGCATGAAAGATATTGTGCGAGTTCTAGATGGACACTGCAAGGTAAATATGAGCCCCCTTCTTATTCTACAAACCGATACGAAAAATTTAAACTCAAATGAGATTTAGAGTTGATGGTATTACAAGATCATTTTCAGTGTCTGGATATTAAAGATGACGCGGCAAGTAGGTTCATCATTTACATATGAAGTGGCAGGATGATTATGATCATAATGCAGCTTAAACTTTCTGTTTCACTAGCATAGGCTTCACTGTTCAGCGTCTTTTAACCTCCTCTCTGGGAATTCTTATTCGTGTGTTTGTTGACTGATATGCTACCAATTCTATTACTTTGAATGAAGTTTTCATATGGGATAGTGTTATTGCAATGGTGGTGATCTTGATCATTATTATTTGCAGGGGAAACAAGGTCCAGTTGAGCATATCCACCGCGGACTCCTGTTCATACATGATCGACATCATTTGGATAACGGGGGTTATGTATGTGTTAAAGCACGTCAGTGTTCAGCTTTAGGTGGCTCTAGAAATGGTGGCGACCGAGTAAGTTCCTGCCCTAATTTGTTTGCAGAGTTGACCTCGATTATAAGTTATCAGCACTTTCAGTTCCAATTGCTGAGGCATCGTGCAACTTGGCAATGATACGGTGTAGTGATGAAAGCTATTTCAATGGTCAACTTCCGGAACTGTATTTTGATTGATCAATATTACGATTGATTGACATTTTTGGTCTATTGTACTGCAGAGGAACGGTGGACCAGTGTCAAGTCTGAGTTCCTTGAGTCTTAATGGGAATGTTCTCCAGTCCCCACGAAGAGAGAGTCCTTATGGGGGTCATGGTGAGTTATTTATTTATTTATTCATTTTTAAAATGATATTTGAACTTAGAGAGAGCTCTGTTCTTATTTTATGTTGTCTGGTAGAATCATAGTTCTTAAGAAGCATGTGCACATCATGTAGGTGGTGGTGGTGGTCGTGGAGGTGCACATGGAGGTGGTGGATTTGGAGGAGGAAGGGCTGGAGGAAGGGGAAGAAGAGAGGATAGTATAGTAGGACGGTCTGTGAAAATTCGTTTGGGGCCTTTCAAGGGTTATCGTGGTCGGGTTGTAGACGCAACTGACTCGACTGTGCGAATTGAATTGGAGTCACAAATGAAAGTTGTTACAGGTGCGTTTCCTTCTGGATTTTACTGCCTTATGATCACACGTAACTTGGGCGTTGTTCCCAGGCTCTTCCTTGGATTTAGGGCTTGTGTGACTTCTGTAGAAGTTAAGGGGTTTAATAATGACTAAAGTCATACAAGCAACTGCTTATTTTGGAGATGGTCATCATGGTGCTCATTGTTTACTGTGACTTTCAGTGAGAAGAGAGCAGTTATCAGATCCCGGTGAGTCACAAACAGTGTTCTTCAATAACTATCGGTGAGTTCTATGTCGCAGGGCTAAGCTTTACTTGAGAAGAAGCTTTTGGTGCTAGATAACTTTCTTCAATATCGTTTTCTACCTGGGTAAATGTTCACGTATTGTACTTTCTCTAACTCCTCTGTAAAAATTGCAGGGAGTCACCTCGTTATGGTGCTGGCAGTGAGACCCCTATGCATCCTTCTAGGACGCCTATGCATCATCCTGCTTACATGACCCCCATGCGAGATCCCAATTTTGGTATTTTAACACAATCAATATACCTTGTGTTTTCTATTGCACGGCATGGTTAAGATAGCCAGTTACTTGTATTGGTTAAGCTCGTGTCTTAGCTTGATATGGATAGATTTTTGAATTATTTTCGAGATCTTCATACTAATTTTAACCATTTCTTTTTCTTTGCATTTGTTACAGCTACTCCCAGTCATGATGGAATGAGGACCCCGATGCGCGACAGGGCCTGGAATCCTCATACCCCAATGACTCCACATAGGTATGTTTCTACATATCTTGTTCCCACACGTTGGTGTATCTTTGCCTTAACAGATTATTGTGTTTCATGCCAACATTGACTGGCATTCTGCATGTTCTCTTTGTATTTCTTGTACTATAATAAATGTTTTTTAAAACACATCTTTTTCTTCATCAGCTCTCGGTCGCACGAGAGCTGAACTGTGATGTCTTGGATCATAACTCCAATTCTGAAGGCTTCTTAAAATATATTGAAGATATTCGTCATTTTATGTAAGTAGATGACTTTCACAATTGCTCTTGGGCTTCCAAAGTTGTGAACATTTCTTTATTTCCTGTGCCTGTCTTGTGTCTGCATTGCTTGCGTAGGGGCAACAATTGGGATGATGCCAATCCTAGCACTTGGGATACCCACACTTCAACTCCTCAGTATGAGGTAAGCACTATGTGTGGACTGGCACCTATTACTCCAAAAAAGCTCCGGAGTCTCCTCAACGATTTTTTAGGTTGTATTGAGCAGCTGATTACATCCTTGTATTTATGCTTTTTATCTTTTATCACCTCACCATTCTAACCATTTAGTTAGTTTTAATTTTAATTATGGTATTAATTTAAACTCAATGGCAGCCCGGTACTCCTGGAGGGAGGTCATTTGAAGCGCCCACACCAGGGAATGGTTGGTCTGCCCAAACTCCTGGTGCTAGCTTTAGTGAAGCTGGCACCCCTACTGAGCCTGCCCAGTCTTACGGTAATGACATGCTCGATTTTTTCCGAGCTTTACATCCTCATTATGTCATGTTCGGTGCTGTACTTCTTGCCTTGTTTTAGTTTCGAATACTATAGTTGGTGGTTGAATGGGTAGCAAACGTGTTCGAAATTTTTCATATTTCTTATGCGCTCCTGACGAATTTACGTATAACTACTTCATCGTTTGGCAGCTGCTCCAAGCCCTTATCTGCCAGGTACCCCTGGAGGACCTCCGATGACACCCGGTGTTCCATCATACCTTCCAGGCACTCCGGGAGGACAACCTATGACTCCTGGAACTGGGGGATTGGATCCTACGTCGCCTGCCATTGGTGCGTATATTAATTATATTAAGCATACTCGTGTTTGCGGTGGCTACTCTGTTGTTATAATGAAAAAACTGGGATATCCGGTTTGAGGATTATCTTGTCATATTTTCGACACTGAAGTGGGGTCCTTGATTTGTTTGCAGGATCTGGTGGTGCTTTCGATAACGAAGGTGGATGGGTGATGCCTGACATAGTTGTCACGATCAGGAAGCTTGGTGAAGAAACTCAAACCGCAGTAATTCGCGAAGTAATGCCTGTAAGGGTCATTGGCTTCTTGACTTTTTTTGCTTATATTTGGTCTCCATGGGATATCGCAGCTTGGTTACGCGATGTAAGTTATTTTTGTGCTTGTTTCCATGGCTTATAAATTCTTGTAATTAATTCATTCACGTTCGTGTGTCTTTCAAAAGTCATGTCACTTATGTTGCTTGACATTGTTAGGTGTTGCGTTGCAAGGGCTGCATGTACTTTCCTTGTTTCTTACTTCTGTTGGATAGCTATGATTTACTGAATGTTTTCCTTCTCTTAACTTCCAGGATGGTTCTTGCCGAGTTGCCTTGGGTCCAACTGGTGATGGAGACACTCTGCTTGTTGGTCAAGCAGACATGGAGCTCGTTCTACCCAAAAAGACTGACAAGATCAAAATTGTTTCCGGTGAACACCGTGGATGTACTGGGAAGCTTATGGGTATTGATGGAGCAGATGGTATCGTCAAGTTGGACGATACACTCGATATCAGAATCCTAGACATGAGTAGCCTTAGTAAGATTGCCACATAATTATGACGTACCTAGACCAGCAAAATTTCTGTGGAGATGGTATACACAGCTGTATTGTAAATGATGAAGTTTGTTAGTTTGTGCTTGTTCTTATATAAATCTTGTCAGCCGCTGCAGTGGTCACTTAATTACAATATATGTGTCGATCAAGAGACCAGGAGAGGAAGAGACTCGATGTCAACAGCTGGTCAACATTACCGTCGCGCTGTGTTATGTATAACTATTACGTTGAATTTTCATTTTGTGACATATGGGCACCTTCGAAAATTGTGAAGAAAAAAAATGTATTTAATGAGATTCTGTTGAATTAATCAGATTGAAAGTGACCGAATTTTACGTATACATTAGCCATTTTATTAGAAGCGAATATGATAAGCAAATTACTTCACAGTATGCGCAACACCAAATATAACACAGAATGAAGTTTTTTTTTTTTTTCTTTTCACTCCTTAGCTTTGGAACTCCATAGTTCCACTTTGTAAAGTATTGACAAGCATTTTGCAATATTTAGTTGACTTGGAATGAGGTACTTTTAAGTTCACAATGATTGTTGCAAAAGTTGACTCAAACGGTCAAAGACAAATGTGTCTCAAAGAGTAGTAGCATAGTTTTGGTGCTTTGTGGTATTGTCTTCTATATGCAACAAAGTCTCTATACTTATTATTTACATCCAATGGTTTCAAAATAAAATTTTATTTCATAGTTTAACTGTAAATAATGATAACATCAATATTAGTACTGAAGTGGTTTATGAGTATAAGAAAAATACTAGCTACAAAGTCAAAATATCACTTATATCAATCTACAACTTGATCATTGTTTTAGCAATGATAGTAGTAAGATATATTTTTATTTTTATTTTTGAGCAATAAAAAATTTACATTATGTTTTTAAATAAAAATCAAATTAGGTGAGTACTAAATCTACATGTTTAATTGTCTTTTCTTACCTAAATCCTAAATCCTAAACCTATTTTATTATACAATCACTTTTTTATTCAAAAAAATATTATAAAATTACTTTTAAATACAAATAATTCTAGTGATATTTTTATATAAATATTTGATTTTTTACTATTACATTTGATTCTTTAGAAAATCTTTGAATAGTAGTAATTTATTGTATTAGATAATCTTGTAATAAAATAGAGTTAAAAATGATCTTAATAGAGTAGAATTGTAAGACGTTGTAAACTAGTGAATTTTTTTTAAATCTTATTTTAAAAATTTATGACCAAGTAGAAGTTGGAAAACATAATTTAGCATACAAATGGTAGGAGATTTAATTTGCAAAATGCACATGGAGAAGAAGTGACATAAGTTTGTTTTAGTGATGCTAGAATCAACTATAAGCAATATTTAGATGTTAAAGCAATGATGAGATTGTACATGTTTTTGAGATCCAATTTCTAATATAGTTGGATCTAATGATCTCATGTATTTGCTAAATGAGATCATTAGATCCAACCAAATTGGGTTTTTTTAAAGATCACAACATTATTAACAATGTTTTTTTGTCTTTTGAAATAATAGAATAGACTTTTGAATTCCATTAACCTATGGTGATATTTTTGTTAGATTTTGAAAAATTACATGTTTGAGTGGAATGGTCCTTCTTAAAAGAAACTATTTCATGAATAGAATTTGATTCAATATGTACCAACTCAATCCAAGCTTTGTATATTGAGGCTTGGTGCTTCATTGGTTTAAATGAGGTGATTAGCAGATCTTTTAAACTCTTCTATTCAATAAAATAGGGATGCCTACTAGCACTTTTTTTTCTACCTATTTGTCTTGGATTATTTAGGTTTTTTACTTGAGAGTAACTATGGTGTGCACAAAACATTGATACTTAATTATATATATAAATTTACACATTAGGAATTTACAAATAATACAAATCTATACCTAATAAGTATGCTAAAAAATCTAGAGCAAACCAAAGCAAGCCTATCAATGTTTGTTTTTTTGCCCTAGGGTCTCAAATAAAATAGGATAAGTCACATGCCATTTGGATTTCAAAAGAAATAATATTGGTTGCTTAGGGGGAGACTAAATATTTGTAATGGCTAGCTTCAAGAAAGATGATCTAATACCTCAGCTTTTCAGTAGGCTTCTAAGTCTCTCTTGAAGTTCATTTTCATACAATACTTAAGGCTTTAAAAAAAAGTGGTGTACTAGGAAACTACCAAGCTTTTATTAGCAAGTAGAATTTTGATTGTTAATTAAGTTTTATTGGCTTTGATTTGGTATATTATGTCATGATAGAGCCCCTTCTTTTTATCAGCTAATAAGATATATTTCTTAATTCATAATTATATATGGAGTAATAAGAACAACAAAAGAAAGTACCAAATAAAGGTAGCATGGAATTCCTTGATCTTCTCTCACAAGCTTGGAAGAATCAAATTTATTGGCTTAGAAGCTTAGATGCAAGTCTTCATGGCCAAACTACTCATTTGCCACCTGCTTCTATGCTTTGTGCCTTGGAACATATTCCTCTATCATTGGCTCAAGTCTCTATGTCCAAAATAAGGAGGTTTGTGGCCTCCATATAACCAATTCATGTTGTTTGCTCATCAAATTCATGGCTTTGGATCCAATCTGTGGTGGACAACTTTGAAATTGTGAAAACGTATTTGACATGGTCTTATCTTTCAATACTCTACTAATTTTGGTACAATGGCCTTATAGTATATTTTTTGGAATACCAAACTATTATTCCATAGGATTACATGATTGGTGACTTGGTATATTCTTTTGACAGTACTTGGATACAAAATTAGATCAGTGAACTTCAAAATCTCAATAATAATAATTCTTAGGGCTAAAAAATAGTAAATAAGTTCTCTCAAATACTTAGTTTTTATTGTATCAAGCAAAAAATCTTGAAGATTATTGCTTCCATTTCAAACACTTGAAGTTTGCTCCATGCCTTGACATTTTTTTAATTTAAAAGAGTTACCTTAATAGATGCCAATAAGCAAATGATATAGCTTCTCCCACTTAGAGATCTTTGCACAAGGGTTGTTTTCAGTAGGTCATATCCAAGCATATATATCTCAAAATCTAACACTAAAATAGATGTGATGAAATGGAACCTATACTAAGTAAGAGTTGTCACTTTAAGAGGTGATTTATATAATACTATTATTAATCCAAACATAGTCTATTCAAGTTATGTCATTATGTCAAAATTGTTATCTACAACCTATCCTTTGACCTAGAAGAATGGCAATAAAAATCATTGTCCATATTTAAGGAAGCAATATTTTTTAATTATTAAAAAAAATAGGTTATTTGATAGCAATAGTAGACAAATTCCAATATTCACAACTCTTCACATTATAAGGATGTATTGGCATGACCATGATAGAATCCACTAAGGCACTACAATTAATATAATATAAAAATAAACTAATTAGATTACAAGCACCTTTCTTTGGCTAATAAATTTCAAAAGATTACCTACAAATAGTTGGTGTATTACACTAGGTTACCTAGCAATTATTGAAGATATTATAAGAGAACTCTCAAAATCCTTGAATATTATCATTGGTTGTAAAAGAAAGTTTGTTGGATATGGAACCATTTCAACCAAATAAGGATAGGGTTCACTACTATTCACAATTGACTTAGAAGGAAATCCTCATTGAAATTTTTTCAAGTACACAACTCTTTGAAAATTATACACCAACAACCAATTGCCTTGGTTTGGCAGGAGACATCTTCTATACTTCCATTCTCTAACAAGTTTGGTGCATACAATATAGGACATTCTTTATAAATAAAACAAGACAATTTCTTAGTTATTTACCAAGTATGGCACAAACTTGTTTTTACTGGTATGGCCCAATATACACATATTTTGAGTTACATTAATAATTGTAGTGAATAGAAAAAAGTTACATTGATAACCAAGTTTAGAATTACATAGAGTCGCTATATTTTTTTTTTTTTGTGTAGTTTTTTTTATTTTCCTCCAAGTGGAAATTATCACTTGGCCTTATTAACCTGACAATCCTAGGATGGATAAGGTCTTACATATGATTTTTATTCTCAATTTAATACTTTTATTTTTATTTAAAAAAATAGAATATTGATTTCTAAAATAGAAATATTTCTTTCTAATTAATATAAAAATTGAGAAATTTAAATATAAAAAATAAAAATAAAAATAAAAATAAATCCAAAGAGAGGTTAACTTGTAAGCCACACTCTTACAAATAAAGCAGCTGCTATTTCCATGCACGGTTCAAAAAATTCCCTCAAGCACCAAATAGAATGTGAGGAACCACACCAAGGGTGAAAAAGCAAACGCTGTAACTTTAAAGTCAAAGTGACCCATCGGTGGACTCTGGGCCCTAAAACCGTGGTGTTACGAGACGCAACGCACCGACGATGCATCGTGAGGACGACGACGACGACGAAGGCGCAAGGCGGGGGTACATCACGAAGGCACCGTGGGGGCGAAGCGTGAATTTCTATTGCGGCAGCAACGCCACCGAGCTGGCCCTCAATTTGTCTCACACCCATCCTGCCAGCCAGCAGTGCCGGGATGCAAGTGGGTTGCGTAGTTCCTGTCCCCCCCTCCCCCGTCAAGTTTTCGTACGCAAACATTCTCGTTTTTTGGATTCAATCTTGGGGTCCCAGATTGGGTTACCGATCGGTACGCCGACCTGCTGCTTCCACTTTCGAAGCCTCACTGTTTACGGGGCATTCCCTTCCGCTCATCACGAAACCTGACGTTGTTTCAATTCAATTAATAAATGTCAGGTTCATGTTTAGAATTGTCATCTACCGATTTCTTCGGGGTTTAAGATTTCGAGGTCGTTTGGTGGTGCAACATGGTCGAGTTTCGGTTTCCGTAGGAAAAGGGGGAGAGAGTTTAGGCGTTTTCTAGTTGTTGCCATAGGTGAATCCAGCTTTATATGGGGGTTTGAGTCTGGGAGGATTCGAGGAACTGTAATTCCTAGATTCGAAGGATCGTGCAATTTTTGGTCGACTGGGGAAAGTAACAGGTTCTATAACAGAAGTAACGCTCCAGGAGCTACTAATGCTAACGATGTCCAAGTGGTAAGGAGTTCGCATTGACTGACACTTGTTGCTCTCATACCAGCGGATGCCCTGTCGATGTGCGAATCAGACGGGCGGACGGACAATCCACACGTTTTAAGCCACGTTGAATAAGATGGACGTACCGCAGGAACGCCATGCCCTGGTAAGGAGGCGTGGGGTGTCCAGTTTGGGTCATAACCTCGGCGGTTATGATTATCATGTTGTTTTTACTTTAAATGGTTTGTATGGGGGTCGATGGGCTCTACCTTAGCCAAATCCGAAAACGTGGAACTTGGGTGGTATTTGGAACATGAGGTTAGAAACACTAGCTAATGTTAACACCGCATATATTGGTCTATTTCTTGCTAATCTCAATGGATGCTTCTCGATCCCCCTGCACTTATGCAACGCAACTTGCAACTTGCTAGTATTAAAATCCAGTATGCGAGATAAAGTCAACCTATACGGCGTGTAGGAACTGTACATATCATCGTCCTTGCAACTAATCTGGTCCAGGACGTTTTGGGCTCTGAGCTGGCCACGAATCCTTCCTACATCGGAACAAGTGGGCAATCAAAGTAATTTGGAAGCTGTGTTGAGCAACGGGAAGGGCAAGTAAAAATATGTAGGCGTTGAAGCCAAGAGCACTCAGCTTCCAAATTGAGACCCTGACTCTGCTCCTCAAGATCTGGTAAAACGAAAACAAGATGTATTTAGTCGCCAAATTATTGTCTGCACCAGTTGCCCTCACGAAAGCTTCGCAGCCACACAACCAGGAAAACCCAGGTGAGCTCTCCGGGAATCTCGATTTGTCCGCAGAATCATTCTTCACTCTTTTTGGTTCTGACCTTTGGCATGATTTTTATTACCGTCGTTGATGATCGAACCGCTCCGCACACTTATTTAGGTGCAAGTGGCATAATCAGACAGGCAGCAACTTCCATGTAACAATCTCTCGAATTCCCACGCACTGATAACGAGAAAAAGAGGAGAAAACTCCGTCAGCGTTCACAACGGTCAAAAATTCCTTGGGTGCAACAGTTCATTGACTGTGCGGATGACAAATGAAATCCTGTCACATCATCGTAGAATAGAGCATTGCCTGTACGAAAGGGATTCGAAACATTCACAGAGGTGACCACAGATTCACCTTGACCAATAGCTGACCCGCTGACCTCCGACCTCCACTGCCGGCTGGATTGTCCACCGCACAGAGGGTAGACTGAGCACATTTCATCTAGCCATGCAGATCTTCTGCCACTTCGACAATCCACCAACAAGAGCTCCCAGCAGCCATTCTTTCACCTAGCTTGAGGTGTTGGGGGGATATGTTAAGATGGGGGCCTTTCCTTCTGGGTTAGCATGGTTGATGAGAGGACGACAGGCGTACATTTTCCTGCTCCTCATTTCACAAGGACAGCGCCGATGTGGTGTCCCCCCTTCTCCCACGCTGTCGTGGTGATTCTCCATCCCCGATTGCTCGCAGCTTCGCTTGACACTCCGATTCCCCAATCTGGCGGTGACGGACAGCATGATCCCAGGTCACGGTTCCATTTTCACTGCGACTGAAATTTAGGGTTTCCTCATGAAGCGATAAGTTTCTGCACTCTATCACCTCACAGTGGTCAAATTTGAGTTAGGAGTTTCTTAACACAAGTAATACGTCTCCGGGAGATTAATTTTAGCATGTCTCTGTAGGTGTTTGAATAAAGGTACAACAAAATGAAAACATTCATACAACACATTTTAAGAGTATAACGAAGTTAGAATAAGAATGTTCTTAGTTTTCTTGTTGCACGTCTCATGATAAGCTTCTATATTGGTTTCATTTGATAGGAAGTTGTATAAAATACAATCTTAATTTAACCCTTTTCAAAACCATATGTAAATAAAATACACAATAGTCAATCTTTACAGCACAAATACAAATCCTTGAGGCAAAGAAGCAATAATAGCAAAGAATTGTAATAAAATGTAGTAGTATTATTTAAGATAATTTGTACCTACTATTTTTTTAAAGACTAATCAAAATTATCTTAAACAACCATTATTAGAAGTAAAAATAGTTCTTTTAATATGAAGTGGACATAATTTATTGATCCAATGAGAATAATTTAAGTATCTTATTTTAAAATTCTATTGTGGTCATAATTTCATCTTTTTATTTGTGAAATATAATTTAAAAAATGATTTGATTTTATATGATTTAAATTGCCTAAATGCTGTGACTGTTGCCAAATTGACAAAAAAAGATGCCGAATTGGTACCTTGGAAATTTGATACACGGATGTAAAGTACTAGTCTTGGTTTTATTTCAAAAAGTGATAAGCAATCAACAAATGTGGTAGAGTCAATATCAGATAGCCGGTCTATTGTCGGCCCTCCCCCCCATTTCCAACATATAAGCCTATCTAATTGAGTTAGTCTAATGATTAGGTTTGACATCCATATTGATCGGAAATAGGTTGGAAGTTGGTTGAAATGATGTTAAGTTGCAAATAATAGATAAAATTCATTGTACTTGGAATGGATATACGTGAATTATTAATAGGTGGCATTTGTTGATCACTTGGGGTGGAGTAAAAATATAATTAGGTGCCAAACTTCTTAATTTTGTAAAAGGTGAATTCTTAGTTTTGTAACCTACCACTCATCAAAATTAAGGTTGCCTATGATTGGAATTAAGTTGACCCACATGTCGAAAATGGGTCAATGAGAATCTTTAGCTAACATTTATATAAATTTTTAGACCAAATTGTGTAAAAACACTCGAAATCCTCCTCATTTCTATTTTTCTACTTAAAGATATATTATTTTATTTTTATACTTACTACAAATATGCTAAAATGCTTAAGTTATTGGAAATGGGTTGTCTACTTTAAACAATGTGAAATTGAATGTTGAAGGCAAGAAATAGCATCAACATCTAGGTGGTATTGGAATCAATTATGGCTACCTCTGTATGAGACTATTTTTGCTTATACAAAGTTTTGTCATGATTCATATTGCCTAGAGTGATTGTTTCTCTTTAATCCTTTATCTTAGTCCTTTCCAAGCTGTAGCCAAGGTTGATTTGGCCTTTATTATTTTTAGTCCTTACTTGTGCTCTTAGCAAGAGAGTGCGTGCAAGCACGTAAAGTACTTGTTAAAATTGTTTAAAATTCTTTCATGAATATAAATATTAATAAAAAATTACCATGATATATACTAGGCACCGTTTTTCATCCAACTATCTAATGCTAATACAAATGAGAATTGTATGATTTGATGCAAAACATAAGTATTTGAAACTCAAGTATAGATTATATTATCACCACTAAATAATAACAACAGTTGTAGAAATAGAAACAAAGAGAAAATGTTAAGATGTTTTGAAAAATGACATTCTATTATTTTATATTCAACATCTTGTTTTCACAAACGCTTCTGGCAGTTACATTATAATATCAGGTAATGTTGAAAATGATATTCAACTTTTCCAAGTCTCTAAATTATATCTCCATCAAAAGCCTATATCCACTTCGAATCCCGTTCTCATTGAGGTTCAAACATATTTTCAGGATCTGCTTCCAACAAACGTGAGGAAACCTCAGATCTCGCGTGACTTTAAGATCCACTGAGGAGAAAGGAAAACGTTCTGCCCGAAACCGCAGTAGTGGGGCAAATCAAGACGGACGTCAGTCTGACGCTGACGGGAATCGAATCCCTCAGCACCACCAATTTTTAGATCGTGGGGATGGCTGCGGTAGACACTTTCCCCTCAAATATTCTTGCCCTCCGTCACATAATGACACGAGGGTCGTGACGTGGCTACGGGATCGCATTGACGAGCGTCGTGAAACCTCCAACCTAGAATCGATGGTTTTTTTTTTTTTTTTTTTTTTTTTTTTTTGTTTCGTTTAGTTTTTTTGTTTTTGTTATTATTATTTTTTTTGCGTATGATAGTTTTCACTGGATTGAGTGCAAGCTGCAGTTCAACTGGAAAGCACAAGTGTCGTATCGAGGAGGAGGAGGAAGCTGGGAGCATGGAAGGAAGCAAGGAAGGAAGGTCGTCCATGCTGCCGTCGTTTCATCGTTGGGCCCAACCCTTTCGCCGCTTCTTCCTCTGGGAGTGCAGTGTAGTGGGGCCTGGTCACGCAGCCGTGACATGCCAGGTTTTGGTGTGAACTCACGAGGGTAGCGAGATTGTCGTAGCTTTACAGTAGCTGCGGTGCGGGGGTTGTCAAGGGGAGGGGGGCGGAGCTTCTCGGGTTTTGCTTGCGGATGGGTGGCTTGCCAACGTGGTGATCTGTTGCTCGCTCCTTGACACCATTTGCCTCTCTTTGTTATCCCCGCCAGCGCCTCCCGTGGCATGCGTTTCTGGCTGCGTGGGCAGGAAGTGGGTTTGGTTTTGGTTTTGATGGTATTTTTTAGTTTTTCTTTTTCACTGTCACGCAGCACCGAGCGCGTTGGTGTCAAGGGCCACGGTGCGGACGAAGAGCGTGGCGCTGCTGTAGTTGGGTGTGGGTGCTGGAATCAAAGCCTGACAGAGAACGACGGAGCTTGGAATGACTTTTTGCTGAGGTGCGCGACATGACGAGGTAAAGCTCGCTGCGCTGTTCCATGATGGTTATTAGAATTTTGGGACGGATGGTTCGTAGGAGCTCGATAGCCATCGTATCTCATGGATACTGTGTTTCTTCCTTCAGGACTCTAGAATAATTTTTTTATGGTCTGAATTACTTCTTTGACAGTGATGAACCGCGCCTCACTTTCTTTCTGTTTGCGTGCTTTGTGGAAGTTTTCGAATAAGTTACCCCATCAACTCTGTGCGCTCTCTTACTGCCTCACCCTTTTCCTGCTTCAGCACGTGATTAGAGTTTTACAGCTGGTCAAACTCTTATTCTTCGCTTGAACTTGCACGCTCTCTTCCTCTGCTACCCACCACCTCTAACCTGTCCATTTTCTCAATCCTTCTGATTCCCTCTTTGATCAACTCCTCTGCATTCGCTAATCTATGCTACGAAGAGTCAGACACCTGTAACGGGAGATGGTTTAGGGCTTGACTTATTGCTCAGAATAGATTCTTCTCCGGAGATTCTTCACCACTTTGAGACTAACATCTAGCCTTTCCTTTCATATAACCGTGCATGGCGTCGTAAATCTTAGTTTTAATCTTTCAAGTATGCACCCAGCGGAAGCAATCTAATATTTTAAAGAACTGTTCTACACATGAGACTCGAAGTATATTTATTGATAATATCATTTGCGGTTCATCACATGAGTGGCTTGTTACCAATACAGGGTCTCGTCTGGAGTTGGACAATCTGAAGGTCATAGGACGAAGCACTGTTCGAAAACAATAGCATTTTGAATCCGCTGCTGAGATAAGGATGTGGCGCCTGAACAAGAACGATTTAGCTCGGAAGAGAGTAGGATTGTGCAGTTCCTATAAAGAAGCAAATCTAATTGGCTGTCCCATTTCAAGTAGAATAGTTGAGACGTGACGAATGAGCTGCTAGATTGGCAATTTCGCGGACCAAAAATGCTGGAGTCGCAGCAGAACATTGACCAAGAGATTGAAGAGGGCACTCTTGGGAAAAATCTAGAGCGGTTGGTGAATCACTCGAAGAAATATGTTGGCAGAAATTTCAGCGACATGAATTTCTCCAGGCATGCAGACGAACAGAGTGAGAAGAGTGCAAGAGACCGGGACCTGTCGGCCAATTCAGGGCGTTCCTTTCACGACACTGGGATACGGATTAGCTCAGGCACGTTCGAATGTTGTGTAGACTTAGGCAGGGCGCTCTTCGTACAACCATGGAGACAACGGCCACGGGATGCGGACACAACCCACAGGTGCCTTGGTCGCAATTTCGCGACTGTGATATTGATTGTGTTGAGTGGGATCATCACATGGGAAAGCTCCGTAGCCGAGCTCCAGCTCCGTATCGACCGAACCATCATCTTCCCCCTCTATCTCCCACACTCAATTTCGCTTGCCGCGGCGTGTGTGTGGACAAACGCTGTTGCTCCAGGTAACCTAGTGGGGTTATATTCGGTTAGGATTTACATGGTATGGCGGGGGAACTTAGGTTTTACCGTTACGAACACGTTGGTGATGCTCTTGGTTGCGTTCTTGGCCACGATTCAAAGCCACATCGGCGCATTCTTTTTGCGGAAGTTGCTCTGCGGGGGTGGGACGAAGAAGATTCCAACGATTGACTCCGTGAAGGAAGCAGTTTGGTATTTGGTCATCGTCTTTCTTCTCTCCTTGATTTTTAATCTTGTGATCGCTGTGTGCACTGCCATATCCCCGTTGATTCAATGGTCAAGCTTCTGGCGTTACTGGGCGACCTGGTGGCTGGGTATTTTGGCCACCATGATTACTGTAACGCCGCTGTGCACGCATCTGTTGGCTTGGGAGTACCGAACGCACTTGAAAAACCCTTGCAAGCTGTTGGAGTGTGCGTTAGTCATAATGGTCACATCCGCCGTTATGGTGATTGTGTTCTTCCTTAACTTGGAGGACTTCCGACCGCTGCCATATCTGTGCTTCCCTCTAATCACTTGGATGGCGTTCCGGTTCAATACAGTGGGTTGGGCTGTCACCGTTAGCATTATCGCGTATTGCGGCGCCTTGGGCACCATCCGCAAGCGAGGTGCGATCTACAACTTAACGGCGAGGATGCCCGTTTCTTCTCCGCAGGTTATTTTACAGATTGAACTTTTCAGCTGTGTGATGGGAGTAGTGGGTATAATCCTGGCCGCCGCAGTAAGAGAGAAGAAGCATCTCACTCAGAAGTTACACCAATTGAACGTGGAGCTGGAGCACACGGTGGACACGAGAACGATGGAGCTTCGTAAAACCAACGAAGAGCTTCAAATTTCCCAGCAGAAAGCTGAACAGGCCAGCCATGCTAAGTCAGATTTTCTTGCGAATATGAGTCATGAGATTAGGACGCCAATCCACGGTATTTTAGGGTTGACAGCGTTGCTCATGGAGAGCGAGCTTACAACTGACCAGAAGGAGAGCCTAGAGTCTGTTAAAGAATGCGCGGATCTTCTCCTGCATATCATCAACAGCGTCCTGGACCTTGCAAAAATCGAGGCAGGGCGCTTGGAGGTTGAGAAAGTATCGTTTAATATTCGGAAAATGGTCTCAAGCACGCTGCGCATGTTGCAAGCGCGTGCTCAACAGCGGGGATTGCAGCTGTTGTGGGAGGTTGACAAGGCTGTGCCGCAGATGTTGGTGGGCGATGTCGGGAAGCTTCAGCAATGCTTAATTAACCTAGGTCTGTTTGGACTTTCACTAATTTTGTGTCTAAGGGTGCCTAAAATTTTACGGTCTTATAAAACGACGAACACTGTTCCTGTGATATACGTATGACGATTTCCTTACTGTACTTCGTTGCTCGATGTGGACTTGCAGTTGGCAATGCGCTGAAATTCACGCACAAAGGCTCTGTGACTGTAAGCGTAAAAGTTGCAGCTGAGGGAACAGTCATGCCTCTGGTCACAGATGTCGGTGACTCAGGGCTTGGTAATAGAGTGACCAGCTCATCTGGAGATTTGTCCTTGGAGAACCCTCAATGCTTCTTGGTCAGCAACCTCCTTGAGTTTGAGGTTCGCGACACTGGGATTGGAATCAGTCAGGAGAAGCTGCAAGACATGTTTAAGCCATTCACACAAGCTGACGCATCCACCTCCCGTCTTTATGGTGGCACTGGACTTGGTCTCTGCATAGTTCATAGGTAGGAGATGTAACCAAACTCGAATTCTGAAGTTCTGGTCGAAGTCACCTCGTTTTCTTCATTCAGAAAAGGATTGCGTAGCTCGTCCTGTAGTACATTTTTAGGCTTGAACATGGAGCTGGTCATATTCCTTAGTGATGCTGTCTGCTATTCTTGTGCAAGAGTTCCCATGGTCTTACTGATTTCAGTTTTTGCAGATTCGTAGAGCTCTTGGGAGGTACTATATGGGCTGAAAGTGAAATGGGAAAGGGGAGTGCTTTCCACTTTCGCCTGCCTTTATTTCTCCACGTTCCCCAAGAAAGCCCTTCAGAGAGTCCAAAATTTAATGCAGGTATTTTCTAGACTCCTACGTCTGTCACTAAGTGAATTTGTGGAAGGCTTGCTAGAAAGACAAAGGATTTTTTTGTTATTTTTGAAATCATGGACCAACCAATGTGGCATAAATTTGTTGCAATATTTCATTCTTGTTCAGAAAAATTCCAGAGTCGTCAATCTTGGAGCCTGATGGGAGGATTGATTTTCAATCCACCTGGAAAGTATCAGGGTGAGCCAAATTCCGCTGCTTTCTCCATTCCATAGTCACGATTTTTACTTTTCTCAAAGAGTTCGCCCCGTCAATGAGCTCATGTAGCTTTGAAAGGACAGCAAGAATCCTGCCTCAGATGCTCTAGTCGTTATTAATAAAATTCTCTTCATTGTTCGACACCTGCAATGATGGTATTATACGGACACCGCCCCTGAACGCTCACAATGTGCATCTGATACTGCAGGCCAGGAAGATCAGCGGATCAGCCTAGGAAAAACACTGTCAGATCCTGCCAACAGGAGGAACCCTTACAAATGGGACCCCGTAAGCAGTGACCGACGCGCAAGCAGTGAAGTCACACGGCTCGGAAATTTGGGGTCCAGAATAGGTTCCAGTAACATTAGCACCCAGAGTAGCCTTGACCATCAATTGAACTTAGTCCAGCCACAGAACTTCGTGTCGGCTTCTTCAGAGGCGTCCTCTACTCTCTCAGATTGGGAAGCAGGGTCTAGTACTCTTAATTTCTTGAAGCCAGATGAATGTCCTATGGATTCCGCCACTTCACAAGGAGATCAAGCCCCTTTAGGGGCGGTGTTGGAACGTGAAAGAGGAAATGTGGTTGGGTCAGCATCGTTGAGGTCAGGCCTTAGCAGAGAGTCCTCGGTTGAGTTGGGCAAGATATTAGACAGCAAGGTTAGTTTAAGTATACTTTTGGCAGAAGATAATGCCATCAACCAGAAGGTCGCGAGCAGACAGCTTGAGAAGCACGGACATGTTGTCACGATTGTGGGCGATGGGCAGCAAGCCGTAGACGTAATCTGCAGTCGGCACGATGAATTTGACCTTGTGCTAATGGACGTCCAGGTACTTGACTCTATCCTTCTTTCAGGTGAATACTTATGAGAAGTTTTCTTCCTATGTTAGCAGTGTTGCTGATTTGATTATCTCATTGTGAAGGCAGGATAGAAACCGCAGTTTTCGAGTTCTAGATTATTTTTATCTCTTCTAACTATCGTAACGGTACTTTACAGCGCTGCAAACTTTAATCCAACGTTAAAGAATTTGTTCTTCTTGCGAGGTTTTTTTATTTGAGAGTTGTAATGAACATTTCTTTCGATTCAAAGCTGTACTGATATAAAGGCTTGAGCAGATGCCAGTGATGGATGGATTAACGGCTACGCAGACTTTACGAAAAGCTGAGAGACAGAACAATTGGATGCGGTTACCAGTCCTGGGGCTCACTGCGCACGCCATTCAAGGCTACCAAGACACATGCCTGAAACATGGAATGGATGGCTACCTCGGAAAACCTTTTGATATTCATCAACTACTTAAAACGATCGGTCATTTGTTGCCCTCAGATAAGCTTGAATGACGGCTAGAATCTGTTCTTTTATTGTACATTTTTGCTGGTTGGAAAAACCAGTAAATTATTCATTCTTTTCCCAGGACTTTGATCTTGTGGTTGGTTAAGAACCTTGGCCATGATCGACGCGGGTTTTCACTTTTTAAACTATCACCTTTCTCTGTTTCCTGTCAAAACTCCAGTGCTGGACATGGAGAACTTTTTGTATGTTTTTGGTACTTGATGTAATAGTTGTGTATGTTGGGAAGGCATGTACTAAATTGAATATCAGGAGCTTGTTTGTGGATTTGCGTTTTTTGTAATTTTTGATAGATAAGTCTAGTTTACTGCATGTTGGTTATGATCTCAATTTTGCTTGTGTATTAGCAAAATGTTAGAATCAAGATCATGACATATGTGAAATATTAGGACAAGGATATTATACCACATATTTCTTGTGGATTTCTTTTTGGTCTATTCTCCTCCAGCATGCACCATTGTGAAATGTGTAGTGACCGTCTGAACTAACAACAAAACATGTGTGCATTTAAATGAAACTAGAATGTCTGGTACATCAGGGTTGGAATTCTCCGCATGGTTGGCTCAAATATTGATATTTAGGAATATTGAATATTATCAACCCCATTCTTAACACATCAATCTTATTGCATTGATAGTGTCAATAGTAAATGCAAAAGTAAGACATATCAATTTCTTTATAAGATTTTAGTTTTAATTTCTTGTTTTAAATTTAGAATTTTTGGATTCGAATTTGTGATTTTGCATTTGATGTTCAAAAGAAGCACCTTGGGAAGATAACAAAGACGAATTGACAAATTGCTAATTAACAAAGGCTTTTTACAATGTTTAGGATAACTAAATTGTTCCAAAAAAATACACCTATAAAAAATATATATATATATTTTTTTTAGGATTCTAAAGACAATTAATTTAAAAAATAAATAAATTATAATAGACTAATAATAAAATACCTAAAAAATTCAAAACTTGTCTCATATACTTCTAAGTTGTATTGAAAGTTGATGAAAAGAAATACCAACTTAAATAAATTAAATAAATTAGAATTCAACCAATAAATTGTAAGTTTTTGAATAAATTCAATTTGAAGAATCTATAGTATCAAATTAACTTTTTTATACAAATGATTACATAAATAATATTTAATAATATAAATATAAATATATAAAAAATTATGCAATATTTATAAATGCAAAATATCTTATAATATGTAAATGTATGGTTTGGACACAATATCTATTATGTAGGGTATTAATAGATCATCTAATAGTAGAACATTTTAGTATTAAGATTTGCTAGAATTTCTTATCTCAATATTAGATGGCAATCCAATAAAAGAAAGAATGTATAGAAGGAATACAACCACCTTTGCTAATTGTGTTCTTTTTGGTCATGTAGCTATTTAATGAACAACAAAAATAACTCTTTTTAGTAATTGTATTTTATTTTATTTATTTATTTAATGGCTAATTTATAAAGTTATTTAGACTCTCATTATGGTATATATATATATTTTTCTTGTAGTTGCTAAGATTTTTTTTTTTTTTTTTTTTTTTTTTTTTTCTTTAAAACGATTTTATAACTTGATTTCTTATATGTTAAATTTTTATGTTGTGATTATTGGTAGAGCATTAGAGATTCTTGTGGCTTCTAAGAGAGCTTTGACTATTATATATGTATTGATTGTATTAAGTGTGTCTGTGTGTTGTTATTTATTTTTTTATTGATTTTTTATAGATATTAGAATAATATTAGAGATTATAATTGTATTGTTAAGAAAAGTTCATCTTTGTATTGCTATGAAATGTTTGTTTTTGAATTAGAAGAATATTTATTTTTGTAACTTTAAGACTATTGATTATCCTTGTAATATATTGGTTGATATTAAATAATAAATTTACTTACTAGCATGATAGTTAAAATTTAATAATTTTTTTATTATCAAAGTATAATTAATCAGATATAAAATTTATAATATATCTCAATATAAAGATATACATAGTTCTTTTACTTGATTGTATTACAAATTAAATAGAATTTATGTATATTTTAATTTTTATTATTTTTATTGGTTATATTAAGGTAATATATATATATATATATATATATATATATATATGAAATGTAAAAGTTGATTATTTTCTTAACAAAACTAAAACATTTGACATTTTTTAAAAAAAAATAAAATAAAATAAAGTATTAGCTTTTATTACAATAAATATGTGTAACATGAATAATCTATATTTGATATTTACAGACACATTCTTTGAAAGTCAAGTTGTAGGTATAAAAAAGAAAAAGAAATTGTTACCTTAATAAATTAAAAACTCATTAATAATTAAAAGTAATAAAACAAAAATCTTGATTCAATAAGGACTTTACTCTAAAGATATAAAAATAATAAATAAACAAATAAATAAATAGTCACATGATTGTTAATGTTTTAATTTTTATTTGACATCCAGGTTAGAGATTAACTAGATCAAATCTTCAACTTTTGAGGAAAGTAGAAAAAAGTTGCATTAAAATTGGATAATTAGATATAAAGTGATTTAAGCAAAGTAGAAAAAACTAATAAAATATTAAATAAACAATTTGGTCTTTCTTTCGAAACTTAAGACATGATTAACTCTTTTCTAAAATTTTGCAAATTATAATCACTTTCCAAAATTTTAAAAACATTAAGAACCATCTATAATCTTGCCATTGCCTTTTTATAATCCTTGAGAATTCAGAACTTTTATTTATATTTCCATTCCATACATTTGTAATAGCTACATCTATGGAAAATTATTTTATTTTTCTATAGATAGAATAGAAAGAATAACTAATAGATGAGAACTTTACACACTACGAGTCAGAATTTAAAAAACCATTTCGATTAATATGCTTTTATGGTAATAATAATAGAAATGTACAACACTCGGACAAGCTAGGAGTCTACAGTCTAGTATGCTTAAGCTTGAGAGCCCACACAGATGAAAACCATTGAATTTACTTCCAAATGGTTGACGAAGATGCCTGTGATGAAAGTGATGCTCCTCTTACTAACATAATTATATATATATAGATATAGATATGTGTCGGAGAGAGTGATAGTTTATATAAAGTGAAGTGCTCAATTGAGTCTTCTGATAGACAAATCTATATGAAACGTAAAGCTTTGTGCAGAAGCACTGGACCTCCAACCTTGTTTCTTCAACAGCTGTTTTAATAGAAATGAACACCTGTAATCTAAGCCATGTTCGCTGGTGTAAACTTCAACGAGACACTGTTAACACAGTGCCTGGCATCCGTAGGGGTAGGAAATCCCTCGCCCTTGAAAACGTGGCCCAAGTGACCTCCACAGGCAGCGCATGTAATCTCCACACGACGACCATCTGCATCACGCTGCAACATACCATGTCATCCAACATAGTTCAGATTAATGTCTTGATTTTGTAACTGTTGGCAGAGTACCCACAACCCAGCTGTTTACTTCTGACTATTGTTAGGCAGGAAAAAATAGTATATGCAGTGAAGGGACCAGCAAAACTGGTGAGGAGTGCTGAATAAGGGAAATGATAAAGCAAGAAAGCAGAGATGAATTCAATGCATTGAATTCAATTAAGATTTGTAAAGAGCCTCTTTACAAATTTTAAGCTTTGAACTATTAAAGAACAAACAGGAATTACATCAGCCCTTCAAAGTCGAATTAGTTTTAATAAAACCGCAACACAATATGCAAAAAGAGGGATGAGATGTGGGAAAACAGCGACGACTTAGTGCACGTACTGTTTCATTGATGGCACCGGGGATCCCCTCAAAGAATGCTGGCCATCCACAGCCGGAGTCAAACTTTGTGGTGGATTTGTAAAGAGGCGCTTCACAGCCAGCACAATTATACACACCGTCGTTATAGGTCTTATTGTACTCGCCGGAATTAGGGTATCTGCATAACATTCATTCAAGACTTGGAGTAAGTAGCAGAGGCGGCACATAAATTGAAGAAATCGTTTCTCTCGGACAGGTGAAAAGCTCAGAACAAATTCCAGTGTAAGAGGAACTCCTTACGACACCATACAAATAGATAAACTCTGACTCAACAAACCCTAGGAATGCTTCCAACGACATGTTGTTTGCAATTGTCCATACTTATCCTCAATAAAAAAAAATATAATAAATTATTAAAAAAATAAAAACAGTTTGCACCAGACCAACGCAGTCCGATTGAATTCTTCGTGGATGAGAAGTGGAAAAGTATTTCTCGCTTGCTGTAACAACTCTTCAAGACCTTCCTCGGCTAACACACTAACACTTGACCAAAAGCTTTCTCAACTTTCTCCGCCGCTAAAGTCAAGCGAGAATAACCTCTTGTTACCAACGTGCATTGAGGGGACCATCGCATTCACTCCCTCCAGAAATAGCGAATGATATGTTTGCCCCGTTGGAGCACGTGAACTAACAGAAATGTATGATAACAGAGTACTTCAAATATGGCAAACTGAATTGAGTGCAAAATCTGTAATATCAACACGTCAATCATTTCTACTTAATGCACAGGATAACCTCAAAGTAGTAATCGAAAAAACACGACTTCCTAACCAGGGTTCATCTTCTGGAACGCTTATTGTATTTCTACAACTGTGCACCCCCAACCCCCCCCCCCCCCCCCACTTCGACAAAATCCCGACAGAGACAAAACCTCAAAACGAATACTTACTCAGTTCCCTTTTTTCGCAAGATTCGGAATTGCTCGGGGCTCAAAATAGCTCTCCACTCCTCGTCAGACTTCCGCACTTGCGTCCCAGAACCCCCAGCTGATGCCATGACCACTCCTCACCAGGATTCGTGACGACGATTGTGGCTAAGTTAGAAAAGCAAGACGATCGAGATCAGCAACAGCAGCAGCTCAGGAAGCACGACGCGACGAGAGCAGGGTTGTGGAGCGTGGTGTGGAGCGTGGCTACAACAACAACAACAACAGCAAGGCTGTCGACAGGGCTGTTGCTCACGCGTCCATGTCAATAGAACAAATCTTCGGTTTCGAGTGGCCACTTCTGCAGCTCTCTCGTACCCTTCTGGCGAACTGGGTTAACTGCGAGTGGATTCCTTTTTGCAAAGAATCCACGAAGCCGTTGGACCGTTTCGCACAACGCATCATCATCCGCAGCTCCAAGTGCCGCGTTGACTTCACCCACGTAATATTCTCTTGAAGATTTTTTTTTTTTTTTTTTTTTTTTTTTTTCATGCCGTAAGTGGCCACAGAACAGCTTCACAAACTTGCTCATCCTGGACAAGGAATGCAATAGAAAGAGAGTGAGTGAGAATAAGGAAGCTCCCCACTACGCTGTATATTTGTTACCAGAGCAGCCAGCCAGCTACACATGCTTTTGCCTTCTTCCGAATATGTTCTGTAATTAAAAAGAATGTTAAATAAGTAGACACAAGTTTTTACTAAATCGGCCCTCCCATCCTAACCATCAGGAAAAAAAAAAATAATGACTTCTACATTCATTTCCCCCATTATTGGATTTGAAACCAATGAAAACCAACCACAGATACTTCATTTTACCATTTTCTGTGTTTTTTTGATTAGTCCTCAAGGTCAGTCAAGAATATATTCCACATTGCCATTTGTGAACAAATGAACGAGCTTGGAACTTGTGCACTAGTGAAGATCAGAGGGACAAAATTGACATGAAATTATTCACATTCATTCATTAGTTTGAGATAAGAGAGTTTTTTTTTTTTTTTTTTTTTTTTTTTTAAATACATATAGAAGGATAGAAATTCTTTGCTCTTACTATAATTGGATACAATTTATTATAGAAATGATGCATGAGATAAGGTACTTAATAAAATTGTATCAAAGAAAGACATTTTGTAGTTGGATGTTTGAATAAAAGCCTTAAAGCCTTATGACTTAAAGGTTTTAGATTTAAAGCCTATGGTTTTGCTTGTGTGCCTTTTTAGCCAAATAGTTTGTGAGAAAATAAAATAAAATTGAAGATAGTTTCTTTCAACAAAAAAAGAATATACTTGATTGTTTAAAAAAAAAGATATACTTGATGCTATATAGACAAATAGAAGCATAATTGTTGTTATTTATTTTAAGAATAAAATTTGAATCCTTTTATATTGTATCAAAGTTATCCACCATAAATTCAATATTTTTTGTTTATTATTTGAGGTAAATATTCAAAGTATATATATATAAATAAAGATTTTATCTTTATATTATTTTTTAATATAAAATCTATTTTTAGAAGATAGTAAATGATATTTAAGACCTTTTGTAGAAACATGACCTTGTAAATGATGATTGTTGAATAATATCATAAAAAATGTATAGCAAGTTGAAACATGCTCAACGTATAATCAAAGTTTGACAAAATATTGTCTTTTCCTTCTTTTGATGCATTTGTATTTGCAACATTAGATAAATGTCATTTTTGTAACATAATATAAAAGCCATGAATGAACAATGGCCATGGATAAAATTAGTTAGATAAACAATAGTTGTCAATAAAAACTTGAAATATGAATCAAGTAAAACAGAAGCACAAGCCTTGATTGCCTTCAATGTCAAGCCTTTGCAATTAACACAAATACACAAATGTAAGTGAGCAAAGAAAGTGTGGAATATTTTAGTTAGGATTCATAAGCCATTGGAGATTATTATTGAGATCTTCTTGATGAAAAAATTCCACAATCTTTGGTACATTGATGAAGAGCCTATAAAAGGTTTTCTTTGCAAAATCTTTGAACTTAGGGATGAGTACATTGATTTTGGTAGTAAAATGGGCAAACAAAGTATGACTCTTCTTGTGCTTACAACATAGCTAGAGTCATGGGATTTCCTTCTTCAATGAATTGAATTGAGAAAATAAGAAGAGATTACAAAAGAAGTCATGCAATTCATATTCTTTAAAAAAAAAGATGCAAAGAAATGAAAAGAATAGCTCTCTATTTTTTGCCTTTATATTTCATGCATGAAAGAATCAATCTTTAAAGTAGTAACATCCAACATAGGAGCAAAAATCAAAGATTGATAAGTCCAAAAGTAATTGTAGGGCTTTCAAACAAAAAGGACATTGACAAGGTGATGCTAAGTATTCTAGAACAAACAATAGTGGTATAGCAAGTATTGATGTTATTATTATTTTTTTAATCTAAGAAACATCATATGAATTACAAACAGCAATTGCATTTTTTTTTCAACCATGCCAATGTGTTTGTATTGATAGCACAAAAAATATATATATCTAAGAGGACAAGAATAAACTCCTCAATTTCAATGAATATGAGACCATCTAACTTTAAGGTCATGATGGTGGTATCAATAAATTATAAGGCTTAAGTGAGATGCACCTCATGATTTTGAATCCTAAAAGAAAATATATTCATGTTGTTATGAAGGATGTGCATTGGATTCTTAAAGCACATGATACATTCTTATTAGCCACAATCTTGTACAAGAAAGATTGTAAGTTCAGCTTGAATGACAATGGAGTTGATTAGATTCTTCTTTTGAGTGACTTACTTATGTGAGATACATTCAATGATAAAACTTATCTTATGTCTTGTAAAATTGAAGAAATTGATATAAATGCTAGTTCATCTATCTCATGTCATATTGTCATTGAATGACATCAAGCATTAGCACATGCTTTAATGTTTATAATATGAGAGGCAAAGCAAATGAAGAATGTCAAAGAATTGATGATCAAAGCTGAGAAGAATAAGATATCCACATATAGATTGTATATTATTAGTAAGACTTATAGGAAATCTTTTACATATAAGCACAAGCATGTCAATGATATTCTAGATATAGTGACTAATTTTCATTATTGTGATACAATTAATTTTAGTAGCGCCAAATGATTAGATGTGTGGATTGATAAATATTTCAATTATTGCATAAAAGATTTAAAAAGTAGATATATATATATAAACTAAAAAAAAAGTAAAAACTTTTTTCACTAGTTAAGGCACTAAATTCTTGAATTATAAGCTTGGTTTACAATTAAAGTTGAAGGCATTTGATTCATGGTTGCTCCTACATATATACATAAAATTATCTATATGATAGAGTGTATAATATAGACCATCTTTAAAGGAATACAAACATTTTTAGACAAATGCAAAGTTGGATTATTAATATTCAGCATTTGCTGCCAAATTTGTGACATGGACTTGGAACTGTCTTCTACTTACAAGATTTGGTAATAAGATAGAAAAATGGTTGGCAAAGAGACAAGTTCGATACCAATAAAATTAGTGAAGTTCCACCAACTAAAAGTGGAAGCAATTATTCAAGCTCTACCATGAAGACATTGTTTTATAGGTAGGATTGATCCAAAAAAACATCATAAGTAGTAGTATGATATATTGTATATCTTAAAAAAATGAAAATAATTTTATTTGAAGAAATTATATTTTGCCAATTGAAATAATAAATATTTTTTGAGGCTGATAAAGATGAAAAGCTATAAATTATTAAGCTAGCTATGATTTCATCTCTTAATAAAGAATAGAATCATGCCATGAGGGAAGAATTTGATATTTTGAAAGATCATGGTATATAGGAGTTTTTATTTTTACCAAATGATAGGAATGTTGTGGATTTGAAATAAGTTTTTAAAAAGAACCTTGCTAGGGATGATTCTATTGAGCTTTCCAAAGTATGGTTGATTGCATAAAATTTGACTTAGATGAAGGGTCTTAATTATCAAAAAACTTTTGTACTACTTACATATCTTTCAACAATTTCCATATTTGTTGCAAAAACTTTGAGATCCTTGTAAATTGTAAAAATGCTATAAGATGAAAGACTTTGGTCATCCCCTTTATATTGATTTGTTGCAAGTCAAGAAGAATAGTATTATTAGTTTGAGCCAAATTAAGCACAACTATCAAAAGTTGGAAGAATTTGAGATGAAGGATGCAAAGTAGCTATACCATTAATAGTATTATATCATCTTACTAAATATAAGAATGAAAAATCTTTCAATGTAGAAGATATAAAATTCTATAAAAAAATTTAGGTTTTTTTAGTATATCTTACAAATAGTATAAGGTACAATATTGCATTTGTTTATGAACACTTTGCTTAATATATGGCACATCCATATGTTTTGCATTGACTAAGAATTAAGCAAATATTTTTTTACTTATAAGAGACAAAAACTTTAATATTATGCTTTAGACAAAAGATAAAGTTTACAAGTTGTGGGCCATAATGATGCAATTGGAGAAAGTTGTATAGAGACATGCTGTTTAGTAAGTGGTTATGCATTCATATTAGATGGCGCAATTATCAATTGTTTAAGCAAGAAACAATCATAAATTTCTAATTTGTTAAGAAAAGTAAAGTATGTAGCTTTAGCTGACATAACAAGGAAGACTTTGTGGTTTTGTAAAGTATTAAGGGATTATGATATTTTTAAGCTAGAGAAGATTTTCATTTATGATGATAATATGAATGCTATTGCTATTACAAAGAATCAAGCATACTATGGTTGTACAAAACATTGGGACATGAAACATCAATTCATCAAGCAATGGATAGAAAAATGATAGATTGGGTTGGAATATTGTCTCATGGAATAGATAGACGTAGATATATTGACAAAATCTCTTCTTAGAAATAAATTTCTAGCTTTCAAAGATATGTTAGACCTTGTTTTAGTGGAGAACTAAGTTTCACTTCTAAAAGAAGAATATTATAAGCATTATATTGCAAGCTAGGACTTATACACCACATAATTGAAGTTTGACAAAATGTTGTCTTTTCCTTGTTTTTGCACATTTATGTTTCAACATTAGATAAATGTTGATTTTGTAAAAATTATTCATAAACTAATATTCATGTGAATGGCACTTATTATAAGTTTATTAAATTTTTTTATTAAATCAATCAATGACTATATAACAATAAAATTAGATAAAAATGTAATCCTATCGTATTATAAAATGTGTTGTATTTAGATTATTGTGAATGATATAATATCTTGCAATACATATTTGAGACTCTTTATTGATGTAATTCTACTACTACTAATTAAAATTTAATTTGAATTTGTTTGATTAAATCTATTTCATATATTTCAAATGATAAGAAATGATTTTAAAGATTTTAAATAAAGAAATCAACTTATTATTTTTTAAACCTATTTTTTTTTTTAATTCCATCAAAAATTACTTAAACACAATGTTAACAATACTATTTATATTTTGGAATAATCTTAGCTTCTTCCTAGCAATATCTTCAAATTTATCTAATGAGAGCATAATAAGTTAATAGAAATTTATATACATAACAAAAACTCTTCCATCTCCATTAGTCAAATCTATCACTTTTTGGTGTTTTTTATTTTTATTTTTATTTTTGTAAAACAAATCAAGGCATTTTAAGATTAAGACCATATATTAGACAAGTATCTAATAATCTTCAAATTCTTTTTTAGAGCCACTTTCCATGTAAGTGGTAAGAGATTAAATATCTTTATGATATTTGATGTTCTAACTTTGTAATTCTACAAAGTTAATGAAGCTTCAAGATCCATTTATCCACCCCAATAATCTTTCTAAAGCCCTTTTGCTAGGTATAAATCATTTTCATACTAAAACAAAACTCTTAGATCTTAAGATTTTGTTTTCTTATATTATATTACTCACAAATAGGTTTGTGATACCATTTTTATCTATAAAAACTAAGCAATATTTTATATTTATTTTATATGAATTTAAGTTCCATTGCTGCAAAAATTGAAAGACTAAAATAATTCTTTGAGGTTGTAGGTATTAGAAATGGTACATGTATTACACTGGCTTTGGATTATTCTACAATTCAGTTAAACCTATCATTGTGGCAAGTATTTTTATGCCATCACAATGCTTATTTTGCGCAATCATGTGAAACAAATTATGTGCACATAGAATTTTTGACGTTGGGATATAGATAATTGACTTATACATGTTGCTGCAAAATCATTACACCAAAGAATAGAAGGATGTCAGTAATGTGATGATTTATATTGGTGAAAACCCACTAATGTAAATGGCATACAAGGGAAAATGTTTTTCAAAGCTAAGATTCTTGAATACCATAATTACTGGTCATAAGAATTGGTTATCTATAATTGATCTTGTTTTGTTTTTTGTTTTATGGATATATTAGTTTCATGGTTGATGTTTTATAGCAGTAAAAAATATCTAGCTAAGATAATAGAATATTCTTTACAGCATTATTATGTTCTGTTAATAGTGGAATATATCACATATAGACAATATGAAAACCATTGTTGCAATTATATATGCATTATTGCACAAGTAATTTTGATTGACCAACAATTGTTAACACAGATGGTGTCACAGTTAAACTCAAGTGTCACATGCTAAAACATACATTAATTTGCAATGTACATTATCAGTTTAAGTTTAATAAATAGACATATGTTATAAATGTTGTGATGATACTCTTTTTTGTTGCTTGTTAGAGTTATTGTATGCATATTTCTAATAATGATTTATAACGTATTTAATTGAAATATTTAAGTAAATCCCATTTTTAATAAATTTTTGGATACAATATACCTTGGAAGAAATTGTGAATGAAAATTAAATATCCATTCAGTAAATTAATAATCAAAATTAAAAAATAGTTCATTACTCTTTGGGAACAGCTTAGAAGTGTATATATTGTAATTAAATTATGACAATCATGTTTGAATTTATATACATAAATATGACACGAATTCTGATGTGCTTATGCATTAGTATTACAATAGATATCAACATTTTTTTGGATAAGGTTCATCTGTCTTATTTTGAAAAATAAATATGTACTTGTAGCTTTTGAAAATGTTGTTTAAAACCAATTTCAAAAAGCTTATAAAATGTAATACTTCATAACTATGATAAACTTTACGAAGTTTTTGATAAATTTCTTAACATATTTGGTAAAAATATTCTTAGCATTGAATCCACACAATTGTTTGTAGTATGAATTTGCTAGACATTAATTCACTATTGTTCCTGCAGAAGAATGTACAGCACAATACTCAACTTGGGCCTTCTCTATTTGGTGTGTATTTTGTTTAAAAATTATTTGAATCTTTAGAAAACACCTTTGCAGTTCCTCAAATTACAGTCATACTGCAATACCTAAAAGGCTCTACTCCATTTGAATACAAGGGTGAGAACACAACATTTGTTCTGAAACGTAAAAAATCTTTTTTTAACTACAATTACTAACCTTTCATAATTCAATACAAAAAATGAATAATTAGATACTTTTAAAAACCTCTTTTGTTCATGCATTTACTGATAATAGTTTTATTAGGAGTAATTGAGTTTCAGACAGCACTTGAAATTATTGTAACCAAATATAGCACATACTCCTCGGTTGAACGTCAGTACATGCATTTAGGAACAAATTTAGATACCTCAATTACAATCAACATGTTATTTAACAACAAAAGCAGAAACTAGAAGCGCAATGAGATGGATAAGATACACATCTGATCATCCATGTATTCCAAGCTCCACCACCTAAGAATTCCACAAATGCCTCAGCACTTGGTTTCCATATTCGATCATGTACTTTTTTCAAGTTCAGGTATCGAGAGTTCTGGGTGGGGCGATCCTTATCCTTCATCTCCACTAAATCCCATCCAGTCTATTGTACTTGATTACAAATAGATCCGAAATTGCCACACTCGACTAGAATGTTGCAAGATGAGACAGAGTCAAGTCTAGTGAGTTGGTAGTTGTAAAGTCGATTCTGCCTTATGAGCCAATTTTGCAAATTGACAATAGATAATGTGCCAAATGCATGACAAGGAAGCTACCTATTCTCAATCTTCCTCAGTTTCCCACTCGTCGTGAAACTCATCCTCTACGTCAGAATAATCCATTAAGTCATTGTCATTTGCTTCCTGTGCTGCTCGTTTGGCTTCTTCTACTGCCGCTTTCCAATCTGTAGCACCAATTGAGGTTGTCAAGGTAATAAAACAGACAATACTTGCTTAGTACGAGGGCCAAGTGCGATCAAATACATCTGCTAAATTGAATGTATTTGTTAAGAATAACAAAGTGCGACCTGTATGCATCCTGCACTTAGTGTCTTCAAGAACATTTAAAAGGAAAAGCATTGAAGTAGGATGTGATAATCTGCACCTGCTGGAAATATGCGCTCCACAGCTCTTGTCAGATCACCAGACTGTCTCTCAGCCTTAATCAAAAATCTCTGCCAGTGTTTGGCAGTCGCAAAATCAACGCATATACCTTGGTCGACCATTTCAGACGTTACTCTTAATACACCATCAAACACCGTCTCACGGGCAACTGCTGCCCTCGAGAGAAGGGAAGTCATAATACAGTGGTAAAGAGGTTTGTCAGGTATCATGCCAGCAGATTTCATTTCATCGTAGCATATCAAGGCTTTCTCAGGATATGATGCGGATGCCCATCCATGTATAAGAGTGGTGTAAGCCTGCAGATTGGGTTGCACACCTTGTTGCTTCATCTGCTCAATAGTTTCCGTTGCTTTCTGCGCACAAAACCCACTCATATGTTGATCCAGAATTTCTTCCATCCAATTACTCGTGATTTCAAGGTTGCATTACGTTCTCCAGATCAGTAATTTGAGTAGTCTCTGAATAAAGCGATACTAATCATGAATATATCACAAAAAGATAGTCCCTGTAGACCGTACTAGTGGGATCAAACTGCAACTACGCCCAATATAATCAATGTTAGTACATCTCTATTGGTTAAGAGTAAACCAAAGATCCAAAGTTTTGAGGCAATACCAGCATGTCTCCCGCTTTGCAACATGCATTAATAAAGGATGTATATGAGTGAATGTCAGGTGTTAAGCCCTCATGACGCATTTTTTGCATGATGTCCGATGCCTCCCACATGTCTCCTCTCTGAGCCCATCTGTAGCCATCCAATAGCTGTGAGAACCAACTACTGGCAAGGTTCACAATGAACTACCCATCAAACAAATAACAGTCATCTCAGTGATACACACCGACGTTAGCATGGCTGAAATTGAACCGACTTGAATGTATACTTGTTACAGACACAATCTTCCTGTATTGTTAAAGAATTCTGTACTGCATGCTCGATAAATTAATCATTTCTTCAGAAACGACAACCCTGATCGTGACGAGGCTGTCAACACTGAACAAAGACTAAAAAAATGATTTTCAAACAGATGAACTGATATCATCACATGGCATGACGAAGACACTAAGCAGACAGAATACAGTCAAATGGAATATCGTATACCCATCAAGAAGAATGTTGTAGATGTAATTGTTCATGGGAACTCCTGCAGCCGCCATCTCTGCTGTAATTGCAAGTGTACTCTGCATGCGTCCAGCTTTACAGCAAGCCTTCAGAAGAGAAGCGTACGCAATAACATCCGGCTTCAACCCCACTTCTTTGATGCGGTTGAAATACTTGAAAGCTAATCCCATATCTCCTATGCAGGCATACCCCTCTATAAGAGTTGTGTAGCTGCGTTCATTCGGATGAACACCAGCAACCACCATTTCATCGATGATAGAAGCAGCCCTGTCCATCTGAGTTGCATAACATCCATCTTCAAATTAGTATCAACTCCTATGCTCACAATGATGCGCTTATTCTTTTTTATTCACCAACCTCAAACCAGAAATCAATTTCCTCATTTAGTTGAGACTGAATTAAAAAAATCTTGTGTCCGCGCAGGGCAGATTTCATGTAAAACAATTTGTGATTTGGCTCCAAAGATAAGGCAATGACAGACCTGGCCAGCTTGGGCAAGACCATGCATGATAACATTGTAAGTAGCCGCGCTTGGACGAAAACCGGCCATCTTCATATCCCGAACTGTTTCAAATGCCATTCGTAAATCCCCAATTTTCATGAAGCCGTCAATAATTATAGTGTATGTTCGAAGTGTGGGTGGGCAATCCCCACTTTCCATGCGAGCCAGCAGTTCTAAAGCTCGATTCATTTGACCATTTTTGCAGAAGGCATTCATTAGAATGTTATAAGTGATCCCATCAGGTTTAATGCCTGCATTGGACATGTCTTCGAAGACAGAAAACGCATTTGCAGTGTCACCCAGCTGTACATATCCATCAATAATCATTGAATAAGTCTTGCGATTGTGCTTGATTCCTTGATCTTCCATTTCGTTGCTGATCTGCAGCGCTTTGTCCATCTTCCCGAGCTGCAGAATCCGATTGGTTGGCAAAAGCAAATGAAGCATATCAACCATATGAATTACACTACCACGAAGTGCTAGAGGATTCAGCATGGGAAAGAATGTACCTTCGAGTATAGGTTTATGAGACAACCATAGCTGACGACAGTTGGGGAAAGACCTGTTTCCTGTAAATAGATCGAAGACAATATCAGCACGAGATTTCTAACTTTTCTTGTGCTAAATATGAATTAATCATGACAACTCTTAGGACTATATCATAGATAGCGTAAGAAAACCCTGTGAATAAAGTAATGTGAACAAGAAAGAATGCCAAATTCAATAAGACAGTGAACAATACTTATGTACTAGTTTTCCAATTTCAGTTGTGCCCGTGGTGGAAGAGACACAAAGGATTACGGTTCTTGCCTTCAACCTCCGAAAGACATTCAAGCACTTGTCTACAGCACGACAATGAACGTAGCCATCCATCAACATATTGTAAAGACCAAGTGTTGCCTCCAGCCCCTGTTCCTCCATAGCTGTCATTATGGCTTCCGCCCGCTCCATATTGCCTGCTTTGCTGTACTTCCCCAGAAAGATTGATGTATCATGATGTGTGCCTTGTAGGATGCACAGCATACATGACAAGCATATCCAATTTCAATGATGTGAACAATGACTAATTGCCAGGGTAATGAGAGAAGGCACAGAATGAATTTAGAATGAACTTTGTCTAAAATCTTACCAGTAAGCATGGATAATGTTGTTGTAAATAACATCATTATGATGCCAGTTCTCGCTCAGTGCTCTTTGGAACCACCTCTCCGCAGCTCTTCAACATACAAAAAGTTCGTAAATGCAAGAATGCTTTGAACAAAACCTGTTTGGGTGAGAAGCCATACCTTTCTGAACATAGAGGAGTAGAAAAAATTACAACTACAAAACGACGACAGCACAATTGTTGAAACTATTTGTGCATACCAACGAGATCCCAATTTCAAAATAAATAAGAAAATCTAACAACTAAAACTGATGCACACGCAGATATGAAGACACAGTAATCATGGTAGGTGCTGTGGGTGAATTGATAGCTCAATGTACAGCGTAAGATGCCTCACGTAGAATCCTGACTAGGAAGTCAGATAAAATATTACCCCAACAGTTGAAGTAGAATGAAGAAATACATAAAGGTTTACGAGACATGCATCAGCTAAACTGCAGAAATAAATACACTGTTAAAATTGGTGTTAAGAGGCGGAGATACATACTCGACATCTCCTAATCTTCCATAGCCTGAAATGATCACACTATAAGTGGCTGCATTTGGAGAAACACCCTCAGCTTCCATCTCCTCAACACAAGCAATTGCTCCTCGTAAATCTTGCGCCACTGCGTATGCATGTATCAAACTGTTTTTCTATAAATTCCTGAATTATTATGACAAGGAAAAAATAGGATCCTACTATGCAATTCATCATACGCGGAATATTTACCCAATACATTATGAAAACCCTTCACAGTCCAAAAGTTATGATCTAGGGCTTACTTGGTGTAAGAATGGACGTTTGGTTCAATGCCTGCAGCACGCATACTCTCAAACGCAGCCCGAGCACTATGCTTATCACCACGCTTTCCATAGTAATTTACTAGCAGTGTATGATCGCGTTGCTTTGGCTGCATAATTATTCAACAGTTATTCAGTTTAGGGCTATAAATTGTTTTATATTTAAGTATTACTGGCAGTTAACATTGAAAGGTGGTCCAGCTTAAATTCATCAGAAGCTGAGTCAAAAGACATGTGCTGTGTTTTATTTCCTAATTCAAGCACGATGTGTGTGCGCATCACAAATAAGTGGCCGGCTATGACATGAAACAGCAGATGAGGGTTACTGTCCCAACCTTTTTAATTCTCTTGAACGCATCCACTACCTTCCGCGCGTCTTTGGGGTGATCTTCAACTAAATTTCTAAATCCTTTAGACGCTTTTTCTCTCTCTACATGCCAATCTGAACGTGGCTCTCTTTCCTGTCACAAGGATCACAATCTGTTTGAAGGAGATGCATATGTATCGCCTATGACATTCTAGTCTTTCCTCTCAGTATTGAGTGTGCGATTTAAATGGTTTATTACTGAAAATCACAACCATGCCTTTGAAAACCGTCAGGACTGTTCAGTGCAACTAGAACATCATATCAGCGATCAAAATGCAAAACCTGGCCTCTCATGCATCAAAATTGCTTGACAAATTTCAACATGAAACCAGTCGAATATTTATAACATGTGAATAATAAAAACGTCATATAGCGTCAACATGTGTTAAGCGTCAAGCGCCAAATTTGTGAATAAGAAGTTCTGAATTGAACAATACGACGAAGATAGGAACGATTCAGCATACCGCGCCTGACTCGATCCAACGCTCGCGCTGTTCACGCCGATCACGTTCCCAACGCCCATCGTCAATCTTCACGCGCATCGGTTTCCCAAAGAAGTTGGCACCATCCAGTTCCGCAGCCCGGCTAGCAGCAGCATTCGGATCCGGGCCGCCAAAAAACAAAAAACAAAACCCCTTATTCTTCTCTGGATCAGTATGGCTTCGTATGAAAATTATGTCTCGCACAGGCCCACATTGCGAGAAGAATTCCTTCACATCTGCCCTTTTCACGTGGTACGGCAAATTGCCTATGAAGACCTTGCCAGGGTCTCCCTCTAATGGGACACTAGCCGACGGTAGCTCTTCAGGAGCATCATGTAAGAGAATGTTGCCGCGCGCGGAATTTCTTGCTGAACCAGACAGCGGCTCTGATGTGCTCGCCAATGTCGTAAAACCAGATACCATAACAGCGGAGGAGCTGACATTGGGCCAGGCTCGCAACCGTGAAGAAAGTTTTCTACAAGGGTTTAGGGTGCTATGATTTAAACTGCAAAAATTCTTGTCATAAAGTTTAGACCTACAAGAGCCTCGTGAAGAGAATGCATTACATTCTAAGGATTTAAAACGGAGGTCACCTGTAGATTCCCTAATGGAATGGACCCAGCAAAATAGCTGCGGTTGTTTTGAGCTAGACGCCTCACTACATGGGATGATGAGATTGTCCCATCCATACGAAGGGAGAGGGGTAAGGGAATACCCCATGGTGCTCCACAATGACAATGGAGCCTTCTAAAATTTCTCCAAATTTGGAGACTCGCTAACAATCACAGAAAACACCCGCCAGCGCGTGAGTGAAACATTCACGCGAGAATAGCAATTTTTTTATAGAAACTGTGCAATGTCCTTCTGATAACAAGGCACTTCAGAAACTATTCCAAGTCTCTGCATTCATCGACGTCCAAAAATTCTCCAAATTCTGCGGCAAAAATTAAACGCTTCGGAATGATGCCTAACCGTCCAATTCAGCACAACGTTGCCTATCGGTTGATAAAACTATACGCCCTGATTAAACCCACAGTCTGACAATTTTGAAGCATTTCAACAGTGGAAATGAAGACCTGCAGCGGCATCCACTGAAACGAAACCTCGTCATCACAGCTCCAACAACATTACCCTACATCTCTAATACTGAAATCTCCAAGCAACAAGCAACACACGAAATTTTGACGGTCTTCCTAAATTGGATCACTGACCATTGCGGGCCTAACAGAAAGCATAAACCACGAGCTGGGAATGATTCGCAAAATGGGCTTATCCTCTTCAAGAGAGGTGGTCACAGGCCTTCCTTCATTTTTGGCTTTCACGGTAAAAGGATTAGTAACGGAACCCTCTCCATCCAAAAGATCCTGTCAAGCCTGGTCACTTTGGGTTAAAGCGGCGTTATCATTGGATGAGGCCCTTGCCGGAGCGAATCCAACTTCGGTAGACACGGAATTGCACACTTCTTCCCTCTTAATTAGGGCACTTTGTTCAAATCAGCAGCAGAATTGTTGCATTGTCGGAAGCCTGTGAATCAATCAGATGACTGGAAGCGGTGGGCAATTGTGAGCAAATGGGCGACAGTTTTGAACGAGCATGTGGGGATTACAGAGTTTGAATCGGAATAGGCTGCTTGGGTTTTAGTCACAAATCCACTGTTGGTTCATCGTTAAGCACAGCAAGCGTAGATCATTGTTTTGGAATTTCAGACTTTTTTGACTCGATCATTCGTGATAATGGTTCTAACCTTTTGCTTCTGTGTCCTTTTATGCCGAGGATAAGTAATTAGAAGTTGTAGAGTGGGGGTGATTACTTAGTGGCTCACTGCCTTGGGAAGCTTGCTAGAAGAGTAGGGGTGTGATGTAGGATTTGAACTCAACAGCATGTTTGGGAGAGTAGGGTTACGCATTGGATTGCAAGTGCTAGAGAGATCGACGCTTGTGAAGAATTTTTGGGAGGGGAATCCTTGTTGGTTCCTTGAACGAATTTTTCGTGGACGGAGTCTGGAAGGCCATGTGAAGGGAAGAAATGGAGCCTTCGTTTTCGTTGCCTACTACCCCAATGCACAAGTCACGAAGCAGTTCAGGGAGCTTCGATGCGTCTCCGCTTGCGTTTAGAGAATTGGTAGAAGGCTCGCCCAGTGTGGCGGGTGCCGATGATGTTGCCGGAAGCTTCAGTTTAGGCAACGGCTACAATTCAGCCGAGAGCTACAATGCCAATGGGAGGGGGAGCGGTGGAGATAACAGTGGTGGTGGGGGCGCGAGATTGTTGCGAGGATTGGTAATCAAGGTTGGGTGCCTGGTCGGAGGAGCTTTTCTTCTTTGACCAAGAGCAAAACTCGTTGGGATCATGCCCGCATGGTGGCTCAGTCACTCAGCGGTGAGAAGGTGTGATGCAGCTCATGCGTTTGAATTTTGAATTTGATCAATTGCACAAAATTGTCAATGAGAGGAAAGAGCGTTGGACCCTTGTAAGTTTTGGATCGGTTACGCTGCAATTTGGTAGTTAGTCGTCCAGTGGTTGCCTTTGTGCTCATGAGTTCGGTGGAGTGGGACTAGTTCTTATCATACTGCGACCTTCTATTGCAGTTTTCGAGGGAGCAAGCAGGTCGAGATCCAATGACATATTTCAATCTCAGGCATCGTGCAGCACTTCTTATAAAGTATCAGAAATTGTTCTATGTAGGAGGTTGTGTTCAACTGTGACAATCATTTTTCTCGTAGTTGAGTATTTCTTCTTATTTCACTCACGTGAGCTTGCGGATGACGACTTTGACGTAATGAAAACCGATCGGCTTCTATTATGACATCAGCTTACTCGCTTGCCCAGCCACCCTATTAGCAGATGGAGGACGAGTTGGGTACTTTGAGCAGGTAGCAGGCTCTAATTCCGATCAATATCTTTAGGAGTTGAATTAGCATATCTTTCTGTCTGTCATCTTGCAATACTGTTTGACTCTCCAGTGAGTTATCGAGGCATTGACAGCCGTGGAATTGTCTTACGATCACCGCAGGCGTTTTGGAGAACCCCAGAGAGGCCGTATCGCCAGGTATATGGATTCTCGCTCGTTAGAAATTGGGCGACGTCAATTTGGATTGTTTGCTTGCCCAAGTTTTGAGCTTTCTGAGATATGCTCATTAAAGAAGGGTATATTATGATTTTAGACGTCTGATTATTGTTTTGGGCGGCTTGCTTTGTTTTTCTCCTTCCTTTTCCTTTTCCCAGAGATTCTACAGTGTAAAGCCCTGCTCGAAGGAGATGAAGTGTGACGTTGAGGTCAGTTCTCTGCCTTACTTAGCCCCTTGTTTTCCGGTTAATCTCTTCTCTTGTAGTGGTGACATGTTGGGTGCTGTTGGTTGAATTGTTCTGTGGCTTCTGACCACTTTGCATTATGCATTTGTATCGAGAGTACAGGTCAGTTCCCATGCTGTTCGGGATATTGAGGAATATCGTAACTTTTGTGATCGTCCTAAAAACCAGAGGCCTCAACCTGATGAAGTGCTCCAGGTAAAGGTTCTTTTGGCTTCCATCCTCGCTTTTGTTATTTTGGATTTCTTTAGTATTATGATCTAAAAATTTGCGGCAGTTATGAACATCTGTTTATAATGCTTTTTATGGAAGCTTCACGTTCTTGCAGGTAATATTGACGACAGTTCACAGTGTATTTTGCGGCGACTTCCTTACTCTCCTAGTTCTTTTTATTTCCCCAAATTACACCTTTGTCACTAAGTTTGGCTGGTTATTTACATTAGAAACGAAGTAGATGGCTTAATGTTCACATGTGAGTTGCAGGACATAGGGGAGCATCTCAACACCGTCTATCTTTCTGCCTGTGAACGATGACAACGTTGCCTATATGAGGGGTCAACTCCACCAGGGGGCTATCCAAGTTCTTGGGTATGTATACGTTTCTGTGATTTTTTTCTTACTTGTTATAAATCTTTTTGTAATCATGACAACTGTCACTTCGCAAATGTAGCATTGAAAGTAAAAGAAGGTAGTACTAAGTAATGTGTCTTGGTGCTCATTGATTTGCATTCGACATTCCTAAAGACAAGTTTTACACTGACAGGAGGAGGGTTTTGTTTTAGTAGAACAAATTAGACAGCTGTTTACTATGGGTGTTGTCTCGATCTTCTGTAGAATGGAGCGTCCAAGTGCACGTCGGAGCTCGCCTTTTACAAAAACGGGGAAATTCATCGCTGGGACCGTGCTTATGATGACGATGGCAATCAAGTAATATCATCCTCTAAAATCACATTGTCTTGAGTGCATTTTCAATATTACCAGTGAAAATTATTAGTCTAATTTACTGTTGGAAGTTGTACTCATTTTTGCCTATACCTCGCAATTCTGTAGGTTTGGGGAGTGAAGCAAGGACCTTATGAATTCAAACCCATCACTTCATCAATCAATAACAGCTCACTCACGCAGTCGGATTTCCCCAAGTCTTTCAGTTCAAAGAAAACAGAAATCGGAGCCTTTCCCACTCAGACCGAGGATTAAGTATATCCTTAAGCTATTGGCTTGAGCGAAGTTGTATATGTGACACCCCGCGTTGATCTTGTACATGAAATGAATCTCAATTGCTCACCTGTTCCAATCTAAATTCCACTTGTGACAGCGTTTTTATCACGAAACTTCGAAGATTTCCATATTTCTTGAATCCGATTTTCATTGTTGGCAAGTCCACTACTCCAATTTGTGCATTTAGAGATCATATCGAGTGTAGTAAAAAAAAACTTCACTTATTACTTGTAGACCACTATTGGTACTTACTTCGTTCTTCGCCAGACAGTGTAGGATGGAGCACTGCTCGCTGCGCCAAACCGTCTATGGAAAGAATCGTTTGAAGGGATGACAGGCTTGAATAATAGACCTGCGGTGGTCATTCTGGTGGACAGTTAATCCTTGGGAAGGGCGATACCCTCTTAAATCTGTCATATCTCCTCCCATGGAAGAGAGATTGGCCCCCTAGAAAATAGTCACATCGTTTGTCGTGAAAGCCCTGTGGTCCCAGTTTCATCACCTTTAACTTCCGCGAATCAACCCATTTGAGCTAATCTTGAACGTTCTATGCGACCGAAAAAACGAAAGCTGTGGATGTGTTGGTTGGTCGGTCTGCTTGAGCCGAAGTATGATTTTTAAACTGAGAACACTGCATGGGTTCACATTAGCAGTGGAAATTGTCATGTGGGAAGTAGTTTTCGACTTTTCCTTACATTTACACGAAGTACACGTTAGTGGACGAGTCAATAGAGCGGAGTGGGGAGATCGTTTTGCCAAAGCTAATTGGTGTAACCCGAACTAGCACCAGTATATTTCCGAAAGATATTTTCTGGGAGCTCTCGCGTCCGTAGAATTATCTTTTCCAGGGATATCCTTCGACAAATTCCTCACTCTCCAACAAAAATTTCGCGATCGAAACCGAATCCTTGTGCTTTCACAGTGTGTTGTTTCTGGGTCTCTGTTACGCTCTGTCCCCCAAACAGTTTCTCTCGGCCTGGTGCAACCGCAGATTGTTGCGCCAAAGAGAATTTCCAACGAAGACAGATGGCTATGGCGGCGCCCTCAGGAATGCTGAGCTCCAAGGCGCACTTGCGAGAGTACTTCTACGTCTCTTCTTCTAGGTGAGCGCACAGACAGAGGGCAATGCCTTTGAAGGTTGCATGTGCGCGATCGCCTTGGTATCTCTTAGTGACACAGTCAGTTCATGGTTTCTCTTGTGAACGTGATGAAGTTTGTGATGAGATAGTGTCCGGTTTTTGTTTGAGTTTGAATTGGAGGAATTCTTCTGACGTCCACCGCGATGTTTTGTGTTCATCGAGTATCAGCATAAGTCGGTCTTCAGGTGCTGGAAAGAGCCTCCAAGTGTCCTTTGCGAAACCGTTATGCACGTCTACTCAATGGGCGAATCTGAGAAAAAGGGGTTCAGTCCATCCACGCCAATGTGTTGCTCCGCAGGTATTTTGAAAATCATTTACGGGTTCTTCTTCAGTCTACGAGTGCTAGGGGTTGTCAAATGGTCAGAATGTGGATTGATGCAACATGTAGGCAAAGGGAGTAGCCCAGTTCTTTTGAATAGCATCTTTTCTTCCAAACTCTTGGCAATCTCGTTGCGAATGTTTGTCGTTTTGGTTGGCGCCGAATTCTAATGTCAACTTGGAAACCTAATATCCCTTCGAAGTCATGATCTGAAATTGGCGTCTCCGTTCTGTCAAATGATGTTTGTAGATGCAATCTACAGACGCGGGAGCAAAGACAGAGGAAAATGTAGAGGAGAAAACTGAAGAGTACAGTGCAACCATGCAGCAAGCCATGGGCACATGTAAGCTACATCACCCTCTTATCCTCCATGCTGTAATCAATTTAATGTTAATTGGATCCCGAGTACAATTTACTCATTTTTAAGACACTGACAGTGCTGACGCCTGATACGTGTGGATGTAGCACTGGAGTACAGGCATGAGCTTGGGATGAATTACGCCCATGTATTGCCAGACCTCATTGTGGGCTCGTGTCTTCAGGTCAGTTCCTTATATGCACTTTGACAACCGAACACTTAATATTATATACCTGTTTTTATTAAGCTGCTTTTGCAATTCTGAAGATTTATTCGTATGCTCATGAAGTTAGTGTTTACTCAGACTCCTGCAGACGCAGACAAGCTGCAGAATGCAGATGTTGGAGTCGTATTCTGTCTGCAACAGGATCCCGATCTTGCGTATCCTTGAGAATACATATTCGCTACACGAGAATCTAGTTGGATATTAGGTTTCTATCTCTTTTGGGGGTTTTTATTGGGTTGTGACCAGGCATGCCATCCTTAATGAAACCTTAGATACTTTGGAGTAGATCTTTCAGCCATCCAACGTCGTGTGAATGAACTTGATGGGATCACGCACTATCGATGCGAGATAAGGTAGTTAGTGGCCTTCTCATCTAGTCGCTAATTGTCGTGATTATGCTAACTTTGATTGCAATCTAACGGAGGGATATGAGTGCTTTCTAATCTAGACTCTGGCTGAAAATGTTGAACAGAGACTTCGACCCGTACGATTTGCGGATGCGGTTACCAGTAGCCGTGGCCAAACTGCACCAGGCAATTGAAGCGAATAAGGGGAAGACCGCTTACGTGCATTGCACTGCTGGGCTTGGGCGGGCCCCTGGTGTTGCGGTTAGGATAACCTTCCTCGAATTATAATTGTGTAATCTTATTTACTTCTTTATTTTTATGTAGAAATACTTTTGGCCTTTGTACTCGTCTTTGTGACTGGAATGTGTTTCTGGAACTTGTTTCACTAGCACCTTCGTTCTGAATTCTATTACAATGATGTGCAGCTTGCTTACATGTATTGGCTACGTGGATTATCACTCAAAGAAGCAAATGTCCTTCTACAGGTAAACTAATCTCAGATACTGTTTATCTTAGTATCTGTTCAATGCACTTTCAAAAAGTGGTATTAACATGAAAATCCTTGAGAGGGTTGATCGTGTCTGTCTATTCTGTCGTGATGATCTGTTTACTGAAGTGAAGCTCTTTCTTAATTCAACTGACCTTCTCTTATTCGTAAATGAACTCAGAAAGTGAGGCGTTGCCATCCAAAGCTCGACTCAATTAGAGCTGCTACTGCGGATCTGGTTATTTTTCCACACCCTCCACCTAGTTGTATGTGAGCTGGGATTGCAATTCTCATCTCTACCTGTGTCATTATTGGGTTATTTACTTTTCGATAGAGGTTCCAGGCTCTTGAATGGCATGGTTTTATATCTCTTGAATTACTGCTGACTGGATTTCGTTTGTCTGATTAGTTGACGGATGGAGAAAAACAAGTTGTTGAGCTTCGCTGGTGGAGTGGACCTAAACACGTGGAGATCGCAGGTCTCGATGTAGGTTGGGGCCAGGTATACTTTTCTGTTGTAGATCGGAAATACTTGTCGAGATTGTACGTGCTGAATTGGTTGGTTGAAAAACTGCCGCTGAGAAGCACTATTGCTCGTTCACTAGTTTGCTCTCACATACGCTTCTTTCTTTTGCAGAAACTTCCATTGGAATATCGGCAAAATGAAAACCAATGGGTGCTAAGGCGGGAGGTGCCGGTAAGCTTTCATAACATGTGACCGCATGATTTTGTTTTATTCTAAGCATTTATCTGGCATCCCCTTAAACTCTCAACAAATACCTAAGATCACCCTGATTCTTCTTAACACACAGGTTGGAAGATACGAGTACAAGTATGTCGTAGACGGCGTTTGGATGACGAACTCTGAATCTCCCATGTCTCACCCGAACAGAGAAGGCCAAGTGAACAACGTTCTCGAGGTGATGAGCTGTACCAATCCATTTCTTTTTGGATTGAACGTTTATTTCAGAGCAGGTTGCAGGTCGTGGAGCTATCTAGACAGTTAGGAAGATTAGAAGATCTATACCAATGTGTATATGATACACATGGACCACATCTTCTGTTCTTGACAAATTAGGACCATATCACTCACTTCTTCTTACTCCATGTTGACTGCAGGTAACGGACAGTGGACAGAATGTGACGACCAGAACATTGCGGGAGCGATTGATGCAGGAAGATGCTGATCTTACTGCCGAAGAACGCATCAAAATTCGTGCAAAGCTGGAAGAGATTGCAATTACCGGAAAATGGTGAGCGAGCCCACAAGTCTTATGTTGTAGTTCATAATTACATGGCAAGTCCATAACATAGGAACTGTAAAATTTTATAACTGTTTTGGAAAACATCATATTATTTCGGGACAGTCCCATCAGTGCCCACTAGTGTTTTTCGAGGTGGGATTGTTCCTAATTTAGGAGAACGAAACTTTAAAAATAATCATAAATATTAATTAAAAAATTAACTCAAAACAGGTTAAGGGAAAAGTATTCATCTATAAGATTACAAATAAAGCTCTACTTTCCGGCCCTAGAGACTTCATATCTACAGTAGAATCTCAAACTAATAAAAAAAATATCACTGAATGAATTGTAAATACATCTTGAGTAAAAGAGTGTCTTTCGCTCTTTTGTGTACGTTCAAAAATTGTAAGGAAACAATCAATACTAAACCATTCAAACTTTCATATGTGATGTTCTACCTACCTATGACATTCTTTCAACCCTCAAATTTTGGAGTAAATAGTGATATAAGTTGTTATTTGAGCAACTTAAGAACACGGATCTCTGTTTTTTAGTATAAGTTCAACAGATGAGAAGCATTCCCTATTTGAAAGTGGAAGAGTGAAAGGATGAGAAAAACTTCACATTATGCAGTGTTGGAGAATCATCGTAGGTAAAAGTTTCATTATAATCTGCAAATTCGTGAACCAAAGGTAGGCAATGGTTCACAACCTAGTGTGACGTTGCTTTTTAGATGGTATCATAGCTTTACTTCCGGGTCGTGTTCACGTTTGTTGATCGCCTTGCGGCCAAGAGATTCATACACCAAGCAGATCAGTAGCTTAAGGTTTGGTCTGGTCATCCTCAGCCTCGAACATCTCCGCAGTCACACTGAACAGCGCGTCTTCCAATACGACCTCTGCCGTTTCTGCCAGGGCAGCCATAAATGAATGATCTGGTGAAGCTGGGTCTTCTTCCCCGTCCACCATTTCTGCACCTACAGCTCTTATCAACGCACTAGAGCGAGGAACTTTAGAATCTGGGGGCTTCCATGCCTTCTTCAAGATCAGTGATTGACCTTCTGAGTTGACGAATAGCGATGGTTTTGGTTCATCGGGGCTGCGTTGTGGTGCCGGTTGAGGATGCAGTTCGCCTTCTCCCAAACTCATGAACATCGCCGCAAAGACCTCATCCTCAGTCAACGGCCTGGGATACTCTTGTTGAAATTCTTCAAAACACAATTGCTTGCCTGTGTCCAATGTTGTAAAGGTCTCGTCATGAGTTTCATCATGTAAAGCCTCCTGTAGAAGCTGTAGCATCATGTCATTCACGAACTCAAATTGCACTTCAATGTCAGATCTTTCTTGTGGTGTCCACGGCAGCTTGTCTTCAGCTGAAAGTAGATCCTCTGTAGTTGGATGAAAGTGCTTTACCTCAATCTGCCCCAGCACTGTGAGGTAAAGAACGAAGTTGACGGCAGGTGGAGTGCGAACCACTTCGTCGTCCATTCGCTCATTGAAATGAAGATAAGGATTAGCTGCTAATTTTTGCAGTGCTAATTCCGATACTTTAGACCTGGACGCGATTGTTGACAGATTCAGGACCGACCGATGTTGGAAGTTTTTATTCCACATGAACGAACCAAGCTCCTTCGGCCAAGTGTCTATAATTATCTCTGAGCTGACTTCAGTGGGTGTGGAGGAACCAATAGTCATCGAGTTCTCAGGATCCACATGAAGGACGTTGATTTCAAGATGGAGGGTGGTCTCGAAAAGCTGTGGCCTCACTGCTGCAAGGAACTCAACTTTGCAGAGTAATCGTTTGCCTGGATCGAGGACTCCTCTCTCTGGCTCGACCGTAATCCGGCCTTCGAGCTGGTGCTCAGCGCCCTCACTCTTTCTCCACCAATATGCAATCTGCGGGAGTACTCAACTGTGTTCTTAGAAGGTGGCCTCAAGTATCTACCTTTACAAAGAGGATGGGTAGATATAAAGATGTCCGAAAGTAGTCAAAGACGAGGCATGCAAAATACGCAGAACTAACGAGAGCGAGTACGTACCGGAGTATCTGGCAAGCGATTTTGTAGACCCACTAATTTTTTGGTCGTTGAAAGCTCCTCTACGGTTCCAAATTCTAAAACATAGCTGGAGAGAGTGGCTGGAAGACCAGGCCATTCATGTGGTGTCCCTGTCATTCGAGGAGGATTACCATCGGTTGATGCTGGATCGTATGACTCACAGGGGCGGCGACCTCTTCCTTCAATTTTCAACACACCTCCTTCTCCAGATTCGACATAAACAGGGATTTCTGCTGAGTATGTCTTTGCTTCCAGAGGCTGGAAAAGCCAGTGAACCAAAATAGATTGTTGAGGAGGAATAATTCCTGTCGGGTTAAGGCACCAAAGCACTCGAAAGCCATGATTGTTTTTCTGCATTTGCACTAGAGGGGTCATATCCAACTCATATTTCATGTCAAGAGTACCAGTGTTGATGAGATCAGTCGTTTGAATGGGTGGGTTAACATCTCCCACAACCTGGGATTTTAAAAAGTGGGTGTCAGGTTGGTATATCAACACATGCGGGACCATTGCAATTGTTGTGCCTCTAAGATAAAAGTGCACAGATCGACCGTCGGTGATTTGAAGTATGGCTGGAAAGTCGTGCCGCCCTTCAATGTTTGCCAGATACGTGAATTTTACAAACGTTGTCTCTCCAGGTTCCAGCTTGCCTTTCCGAGGATCAATTCTGAAGTTTGGGCGCATTACCAAGAGGTCGCTTTCATGATCTGTGGGGGGCGCCTCTACTACCCAATTTTCTACATCAATATCTACGTCATTCCAAAGCCTGAATCTCCAGCTGACTGGCAAAGCTGTTCCACTTTGGAGCGCAAGCCACACAACAATAGAGCTTGTGCCCAGCTGTCGCACGCCAAAGTCCAAAACAAAGTCCTCAGGACTATCCTCTATAAGAGCTCCTAAACAAAACAACTCTTGGTACACCACCTCTCCATTTGGTCTTAAGACAATCTTACCTTCTTTCATTTCTCGGTTCCAGTTCCTAATCAATCGAGTACGGAAAAACTGAGGAGCACTTAGTCCATGTGCTCTAGCATCCACAACTTGAACTACTGGATGGATGGCATTCATGACAAGAGAACAAGTAGCCACGAACTCCAACGCCTTATCACTCTCATCATACAATGTCTCGTGTCCACCCACCTCTCGCAATTTTTGAAAGGTAGCATCCTCGAAACTCAAGTCTTTCGGAGGCAAGAATGTTTTACAAGTAATTTTGAAGTTAAAAAACTGTGCTTTTGTCGGGTGTAAAGTAGCAGTTATTGTACAAGTCGTGCCACCGCGTAAAATGCCTCTGTAGCAATCCAAAACCAGATGGAACGAATCATGACTGACACGAGGCCCATGATCACACTCCAACAAGAACCGCAAGTTTCCAACGCTTGGGTTATATAGCTTAAAATCCTGCTTGTGAGGAACTCCAGTTAGAACTGTTCCATAATCCACTTTACCAGGAGTAATACTAATTGATTGAGTAATCCCTGTCCCAGTCACAACTAAAAGAAACTCATCTACATCACAGCTTGTAACACCCTCAATCAGATGAGTATTATCTTGAACAAAAGCTTTTTCAAGGAAAGCTGCGTACAAGCAATGCACATTACAATAATAAAGCTTTTGTCTCTTCGGAAAGAAAGAAATCGCAATAGAACGTTTCTCTCCTGCTTTCAGAAGACCATATTCTGGCGTAATGCAGAAGATGTTGGCGCATTTTTCAGGAACCTGCCACTCAAAATTTGCGGGTATGGCACCCGAGTTAATGATTGATATGTTCAAAATAGCCTGAGTTCCGATACTCGTGGGCTTGAAACACACCGCTTGGTCCCATTTCTCCGACCTAACCTGCACCAAACAAGAAAGACGGTTTAGTGCTGGGAAATAACTCGGACATAATTTATTACTAGAATATGTGCTACCTGCAATACAGTAGGCGTGAACTACGACAATTCGGCAGCACTGGGAGAAAGAATACGAATGTAACACACTGAACATCAGCTTGGAATACTGAGACTTCATTGAGCACTGATTAATCGCAGATGAAGATACCTTCGCAATGTGGCTGGTGGCCGTAAGATTAACTTGCATTGTGGTGGTCACTGAGTCATTCAGGTGGACAACTACCCGTCCAAGACTAACTTTCGGTTCACCCGCATCAAACCTGAAGCTAATGATATTGAAGTCCTTCGGTGGAACCAATCCATGGGATGGTTTCATTCTAAATTCTGCAGGTAGGTGCTCGCTCATCCAGTGGTACCTGCAAGTAATATTCACTATATTTGGTCTACTCGAATGGCACTAATATGACAGTGTCCACAGAATTAGAACCATGTGGGTGGTAATGTCACCTCAGTTAGTATCCACGACTATCTATTTCTGAAAACATTGTGCTGTCGTGGACATCAAGGAAGAGGCAGCTCAAGCATAGATGCATGTCCAGTAACCTGAATTTTTAGCCAATGCGGGTGCACTTGGAATATTACCAACGAGATAGAAGGCAATGAGACGAGCTTTAGCTTCCGTTTTCTCCAAATCAATTGCACTTTTTGTATAAATATGATGATGAAACATGTAAAGAGAATGGATTGAGCTTTGAAGAAACAGAAACCTGAGAGGGGTATTGGCATCGTGATTATAGATCATAATATTTTGGAAAACCGACGTTCCTTTCGCAGCAGGTGGAAAGATAACGTCGTGCGTGGAAAGAGATGCTAAAGGTAGATAAATATGGGTCCTGTCTTGAAATGTATTTCCAGATGTGTGCAGAGTGGAAGACCAACACGGCACCACGTGATATGAAGTTGAAGTCCATGCGAAACACGAGATAAGCTGGTAGTAGAACATGTCAACCTACATATGAAAACCCCAGCTACCATAAGTGATTCTGCACAAAGTTGACTGCATGTTCGCTGCATAGGTCCCACTAACTACTTATCATTTAGACGCCCTAGAACATACAGCCTTTAACATCGGAGGGGAACTGCTGTTTACTTGTGTGGGCTTGAATGTGATACTGAACGGCACTGACACTCCTGCTGGAATTATGATCTTCTCAGGCATGATATTAAATACAGTTCTCGATTGTTCACACTCTTTCACCTTTGATTTTATCTCAAATCTACTGGCTACATTTTTGGCTCTATACGATGCGACATGTGGATGTTCAAACTCCCAAGGTACCAACCACATCACAGTAACAGGGTCTGCGAGATTGTTCTTCACATAAACAACTTGTTCAGGTGTTTCAACATTCGTTTTGCCAAGACCAAAGTCAAGATACTTTGTGCTCACAGTAACGGGGTCCCAATCCACCATTCTCCCCATGAAAAACTCTTCCCAACATTCAAAGGCTGATACTCTTCCTGTGGCTTCTTGCCTGTGGTACATAACCAAGCTGCCGTTGTTGTCGCTTATCTGCAACACAGAGCTTTCTCAGATTTAAACCTTACAGTGGGGAATCATGTTCAAAAGACCGTCTTTTTGAAACTAACAGATTAAGTTACCAACTCTTATTGGAATTATATGGTGAGTACAATTGGACTACATGCGGTCTAAACTGGAGGGCAGAAAACACGAAAGCGAGGGGGGAGAATATTTTTCGTGCATTGCAGGCATGAGAATCTTACCTGAATGTCCCATTCGTGAGGACGACCGAACACTTGACCCTCTTCTGCTTCAGCGTCAAGTAACATGTTGGCCAAAGCTCCCGAGGAAGCGCCAGGGCTGCGCATACCACTATTCCTGAACTTCATATGTTGCCCTGACGGAGTTTCAAGCCACGACCATTCGGGTGGATCATCTTTAGTGTCGTCTGTTGGATCTCCATAAAATATATCCATAGGGTCAAAATACATTGCTGCGGTTTCATCTTCATCGTCGTCCCGAAATGCAGCCAGCTCGGATACATCCTTTTTCAAAACGCGGGCCATCTCCCTTTCCGCTACAATGAGTTTCAAGTTCTCGCGATGTTCATAGACATGGTGCGGTAATATTGTCGCAGATCTCAATGCAACCTTGTAGCCCGTTCCCATCACATCTATGAAAAGTGGATATTGGTCTTGCACAATGATCAGGATACGTTTGTAGTAATTCGCCGTTTCTGTAGGTCGAAAATTACAATGAAGCAGTATCGATCTGTTTGCATTACATACTGCCCTTGGTTGTTGCCATTCAAAATATCGAACCTCGTCAGTAATGAATTGGAAGTGAACAGGAGCAGCAGAATGATTTTCTAAGGTGATAGTTCGATGGGAACAGCCGCCATTCTCCACACTACCAAAATCCATAAAAGGGACAGTGAGTTTAATTACAGGGCGAGTCGCCGTCCCTGAGCAAGCAAACAGGGCACGGCGAGCCTGAGATGTCACTACTTCAAACTGCTCGTAAGAGAAGGTTCCGGCTACAACTGGATGGTAAAGTACCTGCAACAGAGCGCAGAGCAGGCTCCTTACCATCGCATCCACCCAGTTACTCTTAAATGACCTGCATCAATGCATCTATTGGAACTTGCTGTAATAGTGTTAATGTACGCATTCCTTCAATACACCTACTCTCTCACCCTCCGGCGAAAAGTAACAACCCAAAAGTTTTTCAGAATACAGTCTTTTCTGCTCTGCAAAGACTTCAAACTATGTCTGACATGGCTTTCCTGAGATGCTTCGCAAAAAACACAAAAGTAGCTTTAACTATCGTTTTGGTAAACTGGGTCGTGAGTTTCAATAAACACAACATGAACTGCTGCACTATCTCGAAAGGTTCCTATTCATGAAACGCTCTAATTCCAGGTAAGCATAAATTTTAAAAATTCAAATCGTGAAGTAACACTACAAAAGGCAGGGGAGACAGAGAGGAGGGGCGGAACCTTGAGAGCAAGAAAAGAATTCGGCGGTATAGATCCTTTCATCGGGCTGATTGTAAACGCACTGCCATGACCATAGTACCATTCCTCAACTCTCTGAATGCTAAAATGAGCTGGCACGGAAGAGATGTTGGTCACCACTTGTTCCATTTCTTTCGATGTTCGGTTAAGAACGTCTCCAAATTCGACTACTTGCCAAAGCAGTGTAAGAAATGTGTATTTTCCAATGCCAAATAGTTTAACCTGACCCGTTGTCTTCGTCGTCGTCCCAAGACACGCCTGTAAAATTTGATTATTCCAGAATTTAGTACCTTTTTACTTCAAAAATCGTTGGTCACATAGCCAATATTATCTGCAAAGACGAAGATTTCCAGCTTTGTATGTTAGGCTAGCTGCGTTAATGTCGCTAAAGCTTATTGAAGAGAGTAGTAATATCATAACTACTATTCAGTCAAATAATGTGTTTTTTTCTCTCTTTTTTTTCTTTTTTCCTTCTTTTTTTTTTTTTTTTTTTTTTTTTTAAACCTTCATTTTTTAAGAACCTTCAGTCTTGCAATCACAAGAAACGGACACAGGATTAGAAAATCTCTTACGGTTCCCTTGTAAGCTGTTGCATCCTCTGGGCAGAAATGACAAGACGCGGTCGCAGTTTGTCCTGGTTTCAAATTTCCTTGAACAGGCGTTATTGAAAACGGATGCGTCACAGACACCCATTTAAACCCAACTATAAATTCTTGGTCATTGTGAATGTCAAACGTCTTTGTGGTGATATCTTTGACTGGACAGTACTTATAGTCAATGTGCACAGGAAGCCCCAGGTTTACGGAGGGAAGCAAGCCCCTTAAGTGCAAAGTGAAAGGTCCCTGCATGTGCCAGAACAACCTTTGGACTGTATTCACAGCAGTTGAAACTACACTTCCACCGCAAAGGAGACCTCTTATGCAATAGAAATGACAACTATTATAGAAACGAGGAAACGATATCCTGATTCATGTACGTGGCAAGTAACTAAATAATTGTTGAAAACATTTACTCTCCATCTATCATTTAGCAAATATTTGAAATTCTGAAACTATGCTCTCTCACGGCATGCGGAATACTCTCCAGATATTCTGGAACGTTTCGCAACCAGCTTGATAAAATGAGTATCGTACAAAACAGATGGCTCAGAGCCTGGATTGCATGTGAGCCACCTACAACCTGAGATATTCTACCTTTGATGCAATTGTATGGACGACATGCAGAGAAGAGCTTACCCGGGCTGTTCGGAAAGGGATTGTGCTAAAATATTCTTCAGTGCTCTCGGGGATGAAACAAATGATAATTGCAGCTGTCATGCCTGGATTCAACCTTGCGTGAGGTTCTTGAAAGTTAGTCTTAAAATAAGGTGAATCTGGCTCCACCCATCGTAATGTCTGCATTTCACAATTCGTAGCATGTGAAAAATCTAGATTTCGTTTCATCATGTCCATGATAAGAAAAGTAAATTGCAAGTTGTATAAAAAGCTGAGATACACACACACCGATATGTATATATATATATATATATATATATATACGCATGTACATGACAGTGAGTTGCAATCGTACACAAGCAGCTCAACCCCAGGAGCAAGTCATCAGTCTGGGAGTTGAAACATTGCATGTTAATTCAACATTTCTCACTTCATTCAGACCGAGTGATAGTTTATCATTGAGCAATAAACATATTGCTTGCGTCGGTTTTTGATTCTAGAGCAGATAGCTATGACATTCTTTCACTTCTTGCAGACATGCATACCTGCACTTTGTTTAATATGTTTTTCACATAAAAGGTCTTCTGGTGCTCGCGTCCAGGCCTCCATCTCTCCCATTCTACCTCACTTGGACAATCCAATTTAAGGCGAATTTTTCGTAGGTCTCTGTCGTTTTTAGAGTCCTTCACACCAAATCTTGAATTCAGATCTGTCATTTCGATCCTGTTCCAATTAAAGTAATAGTGAGTCAAAACAAACTTCCAACAGTTCAGGAAAAACAACGACTGCCACAGATACACCTCGCCGTAAAAGAGAAATCAAACATTCCGAGTTACACGTCTGACATCCGTTGATTCTAAAAACAATTCAACCATTTCACACAATTACGAAATGTAAGGCAACTAAGATTTTCTGGAACAATGCTCTGGCAGGATATTCGAAAAAGGACCAGTACACCATAGGATTGCACTAACCTCTAAAGAGTTCCAAGGTGGCCAGAATTTTTACAATAGATATCAGAAGAAAGATAATCCGCACTGAATTTTTCTTCTTACCACAAGGTTATGACCTGTAAAAATCAACGCTAAGGGTGAAAGATATTTACAAATTGAAGCTGAGAGGCTGGTAAAGTCCACGGCTCAATCAGTGCCGTATGCTTGTGAATAACACAGAGACGTTCTGGACAGGACTTCTTGGCCGAATTACCGCATCCGATTCATCACTTTGCATTTTCTTCAACGAAAAGTAAAAGAGGATAGAAAGAAGCTCCGCGCAATCCACAAAACTTCGCAGCAGAAAGAAATGATGCCAGAGCTTCTTATATTGCCCTGGTTCATCCACACCTCTCTGCAACATAGAAGGAGATGCTTCGTTGGGAATCGTGCTCTAAAATACGAAGATTATCAAAAGAACAAGAACAGCGACGTGTGCGAAATAAAAACCGTTGTAAAGAAAACTCGGAGCAGGAAACAACAATTCAAAAGTTCATGAACTCAAGTTTTCATGCATGAAATAGCACTAAAACTGCCACGATTAGATGCGAAAGAGTGTCGCGAAGCATCGGCAGATCCACATACACATGTATAGGCAATTGAGACAAGAGATTGTGCACGGCTTGGGCTGTGCAGCTCTGCGAAATAGGAACTGAAGCTCCTTCACATTGAACGCAACAAACGAACTCGCCATCAGGGGATCATGGTGGGTTGGATCGTCGAGGACGTTCATCCAACGGATGTCGTCCAATTCATGCCCTTTAGCCTCTGTGATTCATTCATCCACAGTGCGCTGAAAGTGAAATAATACCACACGGGTATGAGACGTTCCAAAATTATATACTCGAGGGCCATAAAACCGACCCCCAACGCGATTGTAAACAAACTCCACATCTGCATCACATAACATGAACTCAAGCCAATAATGTTAGAATCCCTTAAACCATGTCATGCCTCTGAACCAACCTATAGACTTTATTTAAACTGCCCTCACACAAACCCAAAAAGGCCCATTCCAAGCCCACCAATGATTGGCAAACTTTACAAGGATGAAGAGTATGGTTTAATGTGATGGAAGTGGATGGTTTTGCTCAAGCCTACTCCTTGATTCAGGGTTCAAATGCAAAAACTGCTTTGTTAATTTTTATCAATTATACCACTGCAGCAATTCATTTTTTTCTTATTTTATTTGGGAGCACATCAAAACCTTTTTTCTCCAAAAAAAAAAAAAAAAAAAAAAAAAAAAACTGAGATAGCTGAAAAACCTTAAGTTGACGGTTTAAGGTAGTCTGACATTAAATTAAAGCATTTTGAGCAACTTTGAACTGATTAGTTAGATAGACAGTTTGAATGAATGAATGTATCTCACTCAAACATACTTTCACATCCTCTGTTTCATTTTCTTTAGGATGCTACAGATGCAGTTTATCACATTTGAAACTTAACATTAAATACTAAAAAAAACCTTTATTCATTTATTTATTTTTGTCTTTAGGGCATTTCTACCCCCACTTAAATGGATTACTTAAAGCATATGAATCGTCAAACAACTTGAGCACAATAAAAATTCAAAATAAGTTATCAACAGATTGATTTGTTGTGTTAAAAAGTGGATTCAATCCATTTTTTGAACCAACGTGATTGATATACGTTGAATTTATATCAGTAAAAAAATATATCAAAATATGTAAAAGCATCTTATGTCTTAATAGAATTTATAAGGAGTCATTGATCTGTGTAATACAATTTTAAAGAAGACATTTGGTCAATTTTTTAACATAGAATGTACATCTGCTTGGTTTTTTTTGTAATTGCTTTTGTAATTTAAAAATAAAATAAAATAAAAATCACTCAGGTTAAAATTCAAAATAAAATAAAATAAAAATTAGTATCCTAAATAAGTATTTGTAAACGGTATAATTGTGGTTGTGTACATGTTTTCTATTAGTTTGTTTGTTTTCTTTCTTTCTATACCATCATAATTTACTTTCTGTAAATCCAAAATTTCCTCCTTGTTAGATCTTTTAAACGTACTTGGTTCACCAGACCTAATTCCCTCACATGCCTAAATTTTCAATTCTGAGAAACAGGATTTTGGCATTTTATATGCTTGTGCTCTTGTTCTTATTATTAAATGTTTGCTTTCACCAAGTTAATTTTAGTAAGTAAATTTTAACAATATTGTATTGTAAAAGTGAATCATACATTGAACAAATTTAGAATAAAATCTCATCCCTCACAACGTGCTTTATTTTTTAGCAATTAATAAGTTTTGTAATTAGTTATTTAAGTGCGTGAATAATTTAAATGTGTCGAAACACAAGAAAAATTTAAAGCAATCTAGAGTACTTCTTCTTCTTCTTCTTATTTTTTTTTAATTTTTTAGACAAAGTGGGGAAATAATTGGTTCGTTGACAGAGCTCAGGACCAAGGAGGGCCAAAACTCATCCACCGTGGGGGGAAGGAGGGGGGGGAGGGAGCTTGAAAAATGAAAGTACGTCACACTCGAAGATATTTTCCAAAATCCTGCATGGAGTGCCCACTGGGAATACAATCAAATCGAAGTGGGAGCTGACTTGGGCAACGCCCGTGGTCCAGTCACCAAAATCGGGCAGGGGATGGGTCCTCCTGCCCTGTCCTGCCCTGCCCGGCCCTTCAAACTCCGCCCACTGTCGAGCAGATTCTTTCAAGCTTGGCTCCGGCGTTGTCTCGACTCGTCTCGTTGCGTCTTTCGCGTTTTGGTGTCTTGCTGCTCGTGGTTGCTTAGGTTTTGGAGTCCCGACGAGTTGGCGCAGAAGTGAGGATTCGGAGGAGAGCTAGAGCAAGGGAAGTACATTATGCAGGGTCATCAAGGGAGAGCTAGGTCGGGGGGCAGGGGAGGAGTTGGAGGCGGAGGCGGAGGCGGAGGCGGAGGGTATCAGTACCATCGCCATGGCTTCCATCCCTACGCAACAACTGGATGGCAGCCTTATGGCTTGGGCAGCTACGAAGGGCATCACATGCAGCACCATGGGGGATTTAACCCGTCGTATGTGCGAGGAGGGGTTCCCCGAGGAGACATTTTGCCTTTGGGAGTGCAAGGAGCTGGGATCTTGAAGAGACCGACCGGCCCGCCGCAGGGGCCTTTGTTGCATGGTCGAGGTCATCAGCGGGGACGTGGTCGAGGTTCTCGGGGTGCGTCGTGACTCTACCATCCACCTTCCCCAGTGCCTTCAGCTGCTGCCTTGAGTGCTTCTGCCGTCTTTGGTTGGATTTCGTGGGATTTGCATCCAAATTCTATATTCGGGTCTTATGGTGTTACAGCCGCGCCTTTTTGAGGAAAAAAAACAATCGAATTCTGGCTTAATCCTCCCCTTTCTGCCCCTCAGAGACTTTGTCTGTAGGTAGTTTCTGTGCCACAATCATGCGTCTTGTTGAAGAGCACGTCGTTTTCTGCCGCTTTTCTATTCCCGATTAAGTGTTCGAGAATGTTTCCCCAAACCTCAAACAAGGTTGAAGCCGTTGAACTTCTGGGTGGCTTCGAGTAGAATTCGTGGCGATTGTTATCTATTTTTTGGCGAGAACAAAGTGCTCTGGGTTCTATGCGTGCTTCTTTTTACCGCACAGAACAACATAGGAGGACGTGTTTTGAGCGTGATCCCCGTGATTGCCGAGCCTAGATCAGGCCCCAATCGGGTTCATATAAGATATCTTCTGGAGGTGGATATGGATGTGTATGGGGACGGGATTACAAAATCTACTCAAGTTCTGCAGCTTTACTAGCTGTTGTGATGTAAGCCAGCGTTTGGTCCGTACTCATCGTAAGTATGAACGTATGGCTGGGTAGTTGTGGAAATTGAGCTCCAACAAGGATTCGTGAACCAGGCATCTTCTGGTGCCGTAGTTGGGTAGCCGGATTGTGACGGATGGAGGTGCTTTGTGTGCATCTATACCAAGTTAGGCCACACCACACAACAGAATGGTGCCTCTGATACAACCACCCGGTCTTGTCTACACGTAGGAATCTAGATTCGTTTCTTGATAGTGTGTACTAGCTCTCGATTTCCCTGGCCGGAGGAGATAAGATTCCATGATTTTCATTGACTAGGCTTTGCCACTCGTCCTCTTCAAGCTGCTACATTCGAAATCGAGAAGATCTGGGTGGTCACTGTTGGTTTAGATCATCCTCCAAGAACAGCTGGTAAAGTTTATCATATGTTTCTTGAGCGAAGCGGCCTTTTGGTGCGTTTCTACGTTTGCCCGTGTGGACGGCTGAGAGAATCAGGGTAAAGCTGAGCGACAACCCCAGGCTTCTGCGGTAATTTGTTACAGGTCTGCCGGTAAAGTTGTTGTTTGGGGTGATAAAGGACACAAGTGATGGTTAAGAGTCATGCGAAGACCGGACGGTGCTCTTGTTGCAATTGTGTCACTCCCTGCAGCACTTCACAGCCCAGAAAGCGACTTGAGGTTGTGTGACTTTGATTTTTTATGCTTCTTCTATTATTCTCTTTGGAGTATCCACCAACGCAACCATATTCAGTGGCTCGATTTCGAACCTTTTAAGTATTGTTATCTACAATGTGTTTTGTTTACTACTTTACGTTGAGCATGACCAACTTGTATTACATATACTTACACTTATGAGATTGCACATCGATTTCATACGAAGTAGAAGTTGATACTTTTGATTGTCTATCATGTGTTAGTTTAAATTCTGTAGAGTTGATTTTTCACGAGTTTTCAATCATATGCTGACTGTATAATTTGAATTCGAATACTTTGTTTTTAGTTTTGCTGATTTTTTTTCTGTCTTTCTTTTCCTCAATATAGGGATATTAACATCTTTATATTTATTACATGGGTGAAACTTGTTTTTGCTGATGGAAGGTAATGTACGACAGACGCTCAAAGTTACCTGAAAGCTATTCATAGAAGTACTTCTGATACCATTAGGTTGTGGTACAAACGATCGGCAGGAATTAAGTATGGATATGCAATGTTTTTCCTCTGGCTGTAGGTGGACGCGGTAGCCGTGGTCGTGGTAGCCGGGACAATGATCAAAAGCCCTTGACAAAAGAAGCACTTGATGCTGATTTAGATGAGGCAAGTTAATTCTAGTAGTTTGTTTTATGCGTTTATGTAAGTAAACGATAAGCTGATTGTCTATAATTTTCGTCAATGTTAACCCACATAGCGTGTTAAGCGAATTCGATTGTTTTGCTTAATTGGCAGTGGCGAATGAAAGACAAGAAGAATGCCGGAAGTTCGTTGGACACGGAACTGGACGATTACTGGAAGAACAATAAAGAAGAAGAAGATCCCACTGATAAAGGTGAGTGCCTGATCTATTTGTTGTGCATATAGTATTATTTATCATAGAGACGGGTGTTAATATTCTTGTGCATAAAGATTCTGTTTGTTGACAACAAATTACTATCTACTTACTGCTTTCATGAGACTTCTTTATACTTAATTTTTAATTTTTATTGAATACTCTGTAATTTTGCACATTCAATTTGATTCAATTCTTACCATATTCTTGATAATGGAACCAGACGATGGAGAGCTCTTGGAGTCTGCACCAGCTGCTGCTGAAGTGCCTGTAGCTTCTAAGTCTGAAAGCTCCAAAACTATCAAACCCGCTGCCAAAAAATCTAACGGGGCAAGACCAATTGACCGTAGTAATGGAGGAGTTCCGGAGGCATCTAACGGCGAATGAACGAAGCGTGATGTGTAGTGTTGTCATTGGTTACTGGCATTACCTTGCAGTATTCTTGGAGAAGAATTATGAGGATATTTTTCGCCATGAATGGGCATGATGACGATTTTTACCAGGGACTTGCAGGCAGTTATAGCTTTATTGACTCCCACATTGGACGGGGCGGTGATTCTCAGCCATATACAGGGGGGTTGAATTGCATTGCAGAAATTAGCATGGCTGATGCAGTGCTCGATACCTGAATCACACCAGGGACCTGACTCATACTTATGCAGAAATAGATACAGAATGTGCTCTCATTCTGTGGAGAACAGTTGCCCAAAGCAGTATTTTGGATTAACCTGGCGACCTTCATCCTCCGCTTAGAAGTTGGAGCCAACTTCTTCTTGTTCATTTCAGCAAGTATGAGACTATTATATATATCGTGGCTGTTCTGTAAGCTTCCGAAAAACGTTCTTGTAGATTGACAAGCAGATCTCGATTCTACATCATTACTTACTGGCTAGTAGTAAGTTTTCCGGATGGAATTTGACACTTTTTGAAATCTATGTGGAAAACGGAGCTATGTCACTGAACTCACACCTAAACAAAGAGTACGGAAGGGCGTGAACTTTAACGTTGAAAGTGAAGTGACCTTGAATTATTTATCTATGTGCTTGTATCTTAGCCCCCTGAATCGTATCTGAATTGTGCATTGGCCTATATGAGTTGTAGATTCAGCGAAAACCACTTGACCCCTTGAGAATGCTGTTTGAACTGAGTAAATTTCTGTAAGGATTAAGACAATGGTTTTTCATTTGTGTAGCCATTACCTTCGAGCAATACCTTTAAAATCCTCGAACGTTCAAGAATTGTCTCCGCCGCTAAGATTTCGCACAATTGGTCCATCCCAACTCTGACTCATCATTCCATCGACGGTGGGTTCATGTAACATCCTCGTGCCTGATAATTCCAATCTGGTTTACTTGACTTGATAAGTAAAGACTTGACCAACACACAAAAGCTTAATAAGTACGAGCCTATTTATTGTGAAATCTTGAATGGATTCAAGCGAGGGAAAATGAAACAATCTGCCTAGTATACCGAAGCAGCACAAGTACAGTAAATTACGATGAGGTTGAACTACTTTTACAACCAATAGAACTGCTGACTAGAATTCTGCCGTCTGTATGTTCATAGCGATATCCAAATAATGTTTCATGCCGAATTATCTAGACAAGTTCAAGGTCTTAGAAATGATACAATTAGATCCAACATTTTTGCCCAAAGAATTGACTGTTAGATTTAACGAACGCAGTACCTTCTCATCTGTCTGTGGAGAGCCTTTTCTCCTAGTGAACTGATCATAAGCAGTGCGCAGAGCAGTCCACATGGGAACCAACATGAACAAAGGCAGACACACATGAAGAACCAATCGAGAATCATCCGACAGAAATTAAGTCAAATATGTGTAACATGTTGTCGGTGTGACCGCCTCGTTGAATGTGATGAAGCGGGACGAACTGTTGCTTTGTATTTAATTGATCACAGCATAGGCTGCTGGAACATCAGAGACATGGGTAGGATCTAGAGCAACGAGAAATTAGTCAGTGGGGCTCGAAGTTCTGTGAAGATGGTTAGGGCTGAAGATCGAAATCCAAAATCCCAGAATAGATTCGGCTTGAACATCTCATTTGAGATATGCGGTGGGACGTGAATGCAGCAGGAGGGAGAGGTTGAGGCAGAACAGAAGGATTGCTGAGGTTACCGAGCTTGAAGAGTCCGTGGTCGATTGTGTAGTGCACACAATTATTTGCAGTATTAGAGTGTTTGGGATTCCACCAGTCGATCAGATGGCAGGCGGTATGGGCGTGGTCAAGAACAAGCACATTGAGGACTGGGGCACGGCGCGGGAGAATCTGGAGAAGGCGTTCCGGTTCACTAGGCGGAATATCACAATTGCTCTCGTCTTTGGCATTGCGGTGCCCTTCCTCACGTACCAGGGCGTCACTGGCGAATTTGTAAGTGTTTTGAGTTTTACATTTCGTGGAATGGTATGTTTGGCGAAGGCTTTCAGGTTGAGGTGGTAATTTTGGAAGAGTTAGGGTTCTATTCGAGATCGACATGGAACGTGCAAAATGATGTGGAGAGTTGAGTCTCAGAGTTCTTGTGAATGCTTGTTTCGATTCCGCACTGCTGTGTCCCTTGTTTATTTACTTTGGCTTGGTTTTTCATTGCGATAACTTGCCCTGTGGAATTGTTGTTGTGTTCATATATTGTCGAATTGTTTTTTTCTTCCATAGAGCCCGTTTTTGTGCCCTGATTGATGGTAGACCTCTATTGTAATCTGTCGTGGAGGGAATTGCAAGGAGCTTCTAAATCATGGGGGCGTTTCTGTGTCTCTAATTTATTATCCGATGATAGACTCAATCACAATTAGCGCCAAGTAAAGGAAATTCAGATTAATACACTCCGCTTCCTGTTTCATGGTCAGTATATTGATCTGTAAATGGAATGTGATGCAGCACAACCAAGATATGGCCGCGGAGAAGCCTCCGCGTAAGTTTTTGGGTACCCAGCAAGCTAGATGAGTGATTAGATCGTGTATTGCGTAGGTATTTGACCTTATGAGACAGCTTCTCAGGTTCTGTTCATTCCGCATCTTCTCCATGTAGAGTCTGATAGTAAGGTCCTCCACTTGACTCTCCCCTTTTGGTCTCTCAGCGCACTTGACCTCGATGATGCTTCCACCTGTGTTGGATTTGTGAACCAATAAATGGTCAAGCTCATTCAAATATGAGAGGGGAGGTTTTCAGATGCTCTACTCAAGGGGGGATGAATGGTATTGTAAAGTCTTTTCTGAACCTTAAAGCTCTCTAGAGGGAGCAGATCGTCAATTTTCCTGTCTTTGCTGCTTCCACTGACTTTTAGAGTTTCGGACTTACTGATTGTTGCTTATTACCTACGATTAGTTTCGCCACTACTTTTTTAATGTGTAGGCGTTCACGCCCGAATGCTATTTTATACAGCATCTGTGACAGCATCACCGCTTACTTTAAAGCCGTCAAGTTCTTTGTGGCCAATTAACAATCCTTGAATCCATAACTCCCCAACTGATGCTGGCTATATATTGGTATATTCTATTTAAGCGTCAGAATACACATTATTTAGAAAATGCCACTTCAAAGACTAACACTACGAAGTATTAAATTCCTAACGAAGGCCTTCTTGGGTCCACGCCCAAACTGCTGATTTCCCATCGCAGGAGGCTTGCAACCACAACACACTAATTGTCTCAACTTACTGCGCCTGGCACGTGGCTGTAAACTGTGTCCTTGCCTGAGTATAGTGAACAAGAAATGCCAGTTGGTTAACAATAATACAGTTGAGAGGCCATGTGTTGGGTAGCAGTCATTGAAAAGAGATTGATTTATCCAGTACAGTCTGTAAATACTACATAATATAAGATGACGAAATATTTTAGAAAATCATGATAAAGTTAACTTGTGGATCATACATGGATTTTTCTTAGATTTTAAAGATAGAATTAGTTCATTTATTTTTTAAATAGCCCTTTAAAGACAAAATCAAAGGAGCTCTAAAGGTTAAACAAGTAAATATGGATTGGCTACAACTGCTACTAGCAATGCTTCTAAGTTTATGTCCTAGTTCACAAATGCTGAAGCGCCCAGGTGTAGTACTTGCATACATGTCACCAAAGATGGTGACATGCGGGAATCTCACATTTACATCCTCATGTCACTGTCTTTCAAAATGCTCTGCAATTCAAAAAGCCAACTTCAATAACAATACCATTCTCGGAAAATGTTAGCTTGGCTTCTTAAACGGCTGAAAGAGGTAAGCCACTTAATAAAGTTCAGGAGGATACCCCTTCAATATTTATCTGAACTCCAGACAGAAATGTTGCGATATGGTTACATGTGTCGCTGCAACCATGCAACCACTGCAATCTCCAAGGTACCACCGAAGTTGAACAAGAATATGGACTCTCATACTCACTAGTTGAATCCAACCTGCCACCGTTGAGTTCAGGTCATTTGAACATTGTCGCACTATACAACCCTACTTGCCGGAATTGCAAGGACTCATTTTGCTCTCCGTTTTTTCGATGTAACTTTGCGTTTAGGCTGGCATTTAAGCTGGCGTTTGGATGCAGGAGCAGCTTCATTTTCAGAGCTCTCCCTGCAAAGCACAAAATGTATGCGCTTCGGCATCAGCAAAGGTGAACTCTTTTCTGTATCATGTACAAAAACATCACACGCTGAACCACCAGATATGATTCTCAACAGGAAACGACAAATATGAACTTCTATGTCTTGCCATGGCAAGGACCAATGGTGTAAGAGACGGATTACTCACTCCGGAACACCCTTCAGAAAACTGACAGCTTCCTTCGCTGCATAAAGAGTCATTTTCTTGACCTGGAATGAAATGACCAAAGACATTAATAAGTTGAGAACACACGCTATCATGTGTTAATCGAGTTGGTATGCGAGTGCGAAAATGTGCAGTGAAGAGGTCACGAATAAGCACCTCTAGTTTGTCCTCCCGAGCTCGATGGTCCACGGGAAGTAAGCGGAATGTACTAGTTAAATCCAGACATTCTTGTACATTCTCTGGAGACACAAAATCCAAGGCCACCTTGATACAGGACTGCGATCCCCCCCCCCCCCCACCCCCCAGAAAAACGCACAAGTTACATCTCTGAACCGCTTTCACAGTTTCCATGAACACATTCTTACTGCCAAAGACCTAGATCGCACATGAAATGCGGTGACCTCACCTTCAAATTGCGCACTTGGTGAGGACATCCAGCTGGAACAAAAACTGCTTCCTGTTCATACTGTTCAAATGTCCAGGGCTCCACTTCTGCACAGCATCAGGCGTAGGATAAATGAGCAGATAACACGAAGCATGACGCTAATGCATACAAAACTTCATTACAATTTCTAGATTTGAGTTTAAAGATAACCTGATCTATGTCAAATTCTCTAACGCTTTGCAGGTGCAACTTTTCGACAACTGTGGAATAGACTTGAGGTGGATCGAAAATCTAAAAGAATCAAAAATCTAAGATAATACACGGCGGCATTAAATCCAGCCCAAAAACATCGTAAGCATTCCTCACAAAGTTCAACAACTTACGGTACTCCTCTTTCAACTTTCTCTTGTGCTCCTCATCGAGGTAGAAAATCTGATCGTGAATAGGGTGGTCTACCTGTAGTGTAAGAGTTAAGAAATTTAGTCGACTAAAAAAACATTCTGTAGCGAAAGCAGTCCAAGAAGAGAAACTGTGTAGAAAAGAGAAAGCTTACAGAATCAATAGGCAAATCATCAAAATGTCGAAACTCGCCCATATGCTTCATCAAGTACTGTTTTAATTTGGGGACATCTTCCCGCCTAAATATATCCCACAAAGCCCCTCCATACGTTGACTCAGCGCAAGAATCCCCATTCGCATCGCCAACTGTGTCCATCGTTTGTTCTGCAGGAACGTTGGCCTCTGCTTCAGCTTGCTTGTAGTGCTCTTCAAACAGATCAAACCCTGAAACATTTGAGTTCTTCTCAATGTCACTTTTGTCATTTCGCTTTCCTGACTTCTTGCGGGACGCTCTTTTAGTATTGTTTTCGTCTACAGCTGCTGCGATCCCATCCACATTCTCCGTTTTTGCAGAGTCTTCTCCGGCGAGCGTCTTGGCTACTTGCTCTTTGACAGTCTCTCGATAAGTCGTACGAAGTTTGTCTATTTTCTGTTTTACATGAGGCTTGAAGTTTACTTCCCATGTATGGGAGAGAACATTGACCTGCCCCATTCGAGACAAATAAATGTTCATTAAAAACGGGCCTATTGGTAAACATCATGATGCATTTTAGAAATGTCGAGTGAAACCCTACCTGAACAACACAATTAGACAACAAAAAGAAGGTACTGCACTCTATATATTATTCCCCAAATCTTTGAGTCATGCAACTGACCGCATCAGCCATGTCGCAATGCAATTTTGTCACTGAATCACCACGTCCAAGCTCCTCTCGCAAACCATACGCAATATACGATTTGGGGCCCAAGTCCGGTTTGAGGGCACCTTTTGGAAGCTTAGTAGCAAGGTTGAGGATACCAGTATGTGGATTAGTGTAATTCTTAAAAGGCAAAGAGGCAACAAACTCAGATCCGTGACGAGGAAGGCGCACGTCAAAATGATTCGTTGGTGGCCAGTCCTTAAGCTTGAACATGTAAGGCCACCCTGTCTTTTCATTTAACCATCCGTCCTTATACCCTGTAAAGAATCTGTGAAGATTCAAGTAAACCTGCATTCAAAAGCCCACCAATAAGTAAGAGATTACTTTAAAAACTAGCAAGTCCAGAAGACCTCGTATTGAAGTGTATCATTAAGAAGGGATATTACAAAGCAAAAAATTTAGCTAGTGCAGACTGCACAGAGGATACACGAAGGGCATTACCTCATTCCAATCCGCACAGTCAACTGCCCACGCCGATTGTGTGTCTTCTGAGAACTGCCGACGTGAAACGGTCGTCTCTCGAACTGCACGCCACATGACCATAGGCTCCCAACTCAAACCAGTTGAGCCTTCATGAACATCACGAACTATGACAGGGTGGCCTTGTCTCCAGTGCTTTTGAAAATGCAACATACCCTCTTTCTCAACCTCCAAATACGTCGGGCAGTAAAGAGCATTATCGAGACTGTCCGCTCTATGGGCAGCCAATCGCGTGTTAGCGAAGCTGTCGACACTACCATTACACGAGCAAGACTGCTCTTGGATTTCAAGCTTCCCTTCTTCATCATTAGACTCAAGCAGCATCTCAACCTCATTAATTAAGTCTTTCACCCAGCCACGCTCAAACAATGTTCTCAACCCTAGCAGATGCTTTCCACAGCCTCCCCTAAGTTCTGGGGGACAGGGTATCTCTCCATTTGGAAGGGCTGACCACGGCGGCAATACCACGGATTCTACTGGAACCTGCACAATAACCTTTATGTCAAGAAATCTCCCATTCACCTCTTCCGAAGCACATATCTGTGCGGACCTGACTTATTCTGAGTTCCTTTCTTTACACTCATTGACCACTGCTACCAATATTGATTAAATAATTAACCTTATCTACTATGCTGCAATTTCCAACTTCATGATCACATCGATGTGTTCTGACTTTATCATTTCGAACTCACTGGTTTTGCTATTAACTGAATTGGTCAGATTAGACATATCTTCTGAAACTAGTCCCAGCAGCTGCTTCAACTGTCCAGCTAACTTAAGACCAATCTCTAAGTCTTTACATTTGTCTTGCTGTTAAGGCTCCGTCAAAAACTAGCTCATTAAGATGGAACAATGCTCTTCACTTACTGTTCCCATATTTGACCGAGTAGCTTTATCATCTCCGTTAGACACCAGGGACGTATCCGCAGGGACATTATCAGGGTCTGAAGACTCCTTATCTTTCTTCCCATGTACACGTGCACAATCCGCATTCTCTCCTCCTGGTTGCTGCCCCGCCCGTAGCTCACGACAGCAAGTTAAACAAAGATCGTATTCACACCCACCCTCGCAGCTCCGCATGTAGTCCACAATGGAAGTACTGCAATTGTTACTGCACAACCCAACCATTTTAGTGCTGAAAAACACACTACATCGAGTAATAACAGTAATAATTTAAATTTACAAATCAGAAACCAGAACCAAATTCCTTGGAGATGCACCTATATCTCACGAACGGAAAATGAAACTTCTTCAAAGTCACTGCCCTACCAATAAATTCGTTCATTACCATCGATGCCCTCTGCAAACTCCACCTCCACTTCATCTTTCCCTGCATAAGCAATGACAGTTTCGTCTAAATCCAAACAGGAACTCCATCACATCAAATTTAGAGGAGTCACATCAAACATTGATGATAATAATTTTTTTGAAAAACGCACCTTTTGTTCTGCATTCTAGTTGTAGCTCCTCTCTCTGTTCCTGCTCGATTTGTCGTAACGCAGGAAGGACTTTCCTGAGTGTGTATTTAAAAATTTTATTCTTGTCGTCGTTCGAAAACTCCATCTTCTGTTTCCCAGAACCCAACAGCACCACCAGGAGTAATTAGGGCAGGTCTTTGGTACTGGAGAAAAAATGAGACAACTGCACAAGCATCCCATCTTCACCTTGAGGGGTACAACAATACGAAGACAGTTCTTGCAGTTGCAATATCCTTTGCAGAAAGGACACATTGCAGCTACGTCTTCTTCCTTCAGCTTTGGGTACCTACAACAATCAACCAGGGTTTCAGGCATGAGTATGGGAACATTAGAACTCCTCATTTTAAAATGTGAGAAGAAGAAACTGACACGATATTAACTACAAACAATACGCACCATAACAGGATACAAGGATAACAATATCGTTTCCCGCATTTAGAGCAATAGGTCACTCGAGGTTTGTCGTTTCTTTGACATTGATGACACATCCTGCTTGTAGCACCTGCTGGCGTCTCCTCCCGCTCGACATGACTCCAATGCTTGACCGGCTTAATCTGCCGGATGCAGCATCACGCAATGTATCAGTATACGGCAGGACGAGATGGGATGAGCCATCAAGGTAAAACTCCTTAAATCAACAGAATCGAGAAAAATGATAGATAAATTGGTTTCCAACACAATCAAACGAGACAAGCTTACTGCTTAACACGATACCTGCTGAGTGCAGAAACCGTGAGTAAATATCGAACAGATAAATCAAATCCTAGGTCCTCAAACCAGAACTGCTTGTGCAACACGCAAATATTAAGACCTGAGAAAAAGATACACTAATGCAAAATGATCAAAGAACAGAACCTTTCTATTTCTGACTGCAGCCTCCGCAGCAAGTCTCGCCTCTTCTTTCTTCTGTTCGTCTTCGGGTTCGCTCTTCTTTGATACTTTGCGGTTGCGCCGGTTACCATTTGCGTCAGGAATAGCAACATCTCCAGATTCCAGTTCCTCAATAACTTTCCCATTCGTCACCTTTGACGATTCCTTGCCACTTCCTTCTTCCGCAAGCACTCCATCTACTCCCTGCTTCACATGGCCATCCTGAGGCACTTCCTCTTTCGCTACGTCACCCTTGACATCTGCGGTCTTCTCTTTAGCAACTCTTTTCTTACTCGGGGTTTTCCGACGATTGTTGATGCTTTCATCATCTTCGGGACCTTTCTCGGCGTAGCTAACTCTGGAGACTCGCTTGCGAAGACTTCGAACCGTGGCTTCACTTCTATCAGCATTCCCACCATTTAATCGATTATGGGAATCATCACATTCTATTACTGCCGATGAGGCTCTCTTCCTGGCATCTCCATTGACTGTGATCGAATTTTCTTCGACAGATGAGACGCCCGGTACCAACTGCTCCTGCTTTAGGTTATTGGGGTCCTTCTTCTCATCGTCCGAGCAGGTGTCTCCTGCCGCTACCACGTCAGGCATTACGCCGTTGAAGCTTCTGCTATCAATTACCCGTTCAGATCAAAAGCATTTCGAGATGAGCTGCTCGCACGCAGGGAATGAGACTAGCCTAATCACGATACTTATGTATTACGTCCTCAGGGCACGAAGTGAACGTCGTGTTCTACACATAGACTAGCCTCCATGATTCTTCGCTCTCAATATGATCAAAGTTTGACTGAGTGATCATGTAACCGATGAGAATCAGAACCCTTGTGAGTCACCACCTTCTAGTAGCCACCAGCAGGTGAAACAGCAAATGATGCAAGAATCACAAAAAATGTGAGCAATGGATCATACCTACCGAATCCAATTACGATGTAGCGAAGCTCCAAACTCGATACAACCCTTCCAGAATCACTCAACCTGAGCGCGTCCTGCAGCCATTGAAATCCAACCAGAATCAAAACACTTCAAACAACTGAAAATTCGCAATAATAAATAAACAAACAAACCATGCAGCTAACTGCAACACATTGCCTTCAACGGATCACTTCACAGTGACCACAAACTCCAACACAACTCGCAAGCTATTCCCCGAACAGCAATACTGAATAAACCGGACACTTACTTAAGACATCCACTATCAAATAATTCCTGAGACATTTCTCCTCCCCTTCAGCTACTTATATCTCCTCAACATGTCTCCGCATGTCTCACCTTTCGCTTCTTCACACTTCGTCACACTCCAATCGCACTCGACCACATCGCCCGCCGCAGACAAATGTTTCATAGACTCCACTACTTTTGCCCTAGCGAACACACACACTGACATCTCCTCCAGTTTTTGAAATGGGAACCAAGATGCAACACACACACACACACACACACGGGCTCCTATAAATAATTACAAAAATCCAAAAACAGTTTTAAATTCAATAAAATACCAACCACTTCCACCGGCGCTTTCCCAGAGACGAATTTACAGCGTGCTGTGCCTTCTCAGCAGGGGAGAGGTGGAAGAAACAGTGTACCCACAAGCCCACGAAGCACACCCTTATTTCGCCGTGGCCAGGAAAGATAATACTCTCACACTCCAGCGAGCAACGAGCAACGAGCGACGAGATGCTGCCATAGCCCTCTCTCTCACATCACTCACCGTGACTCCTCCTCCGCCGCAGACTACTATTTTTACGTTCTCCCTTTCTAAACTGTGGGTTTGTTCCGTTGCCAATTGTTTCATGAATCTGTAGCAGTTGCGGCATGGCATTTCCTATGTTTGAATCATGTTGTTTGTTGATATTTTATCATTTTGCTGGAAGTGGGGCTCTTTACGAAGAAACAAAAAACAAAAAAACTAACAAACAAACAAAATCCTATCACACGAACTTGTGTTTCTATCTTTTTCTATTTTGTTGTCGTTGTTGTGGGCTACATGATCCTTTAGCATGCTCTACGTTCCTCTCTCTCTCTCTCTCTCTCTCTCTCTTTGTTTTGAAGCTGGAGTTATATATATATATATACACATATATACACCTATGTAACTTAGTACTTGCTTTTAAGCAGCCTCCATTACAAATACACATTGTGACTGTTGCTCTTTGTGTAATAGTCAAGTAAGCGTTCATGATGTTTGAAGCCAAGAAATTCCTTTTGTTCATGCATTGGTTTATCAATACTTCCCCACCCCCAGCAGCAGCTGCTACCATGACCAGTGAAAGGGTGGGCCTTCTTTTATTGCTCCCCCTTTTATCAGAATAAATTATTGTGTTCAAATGTATTTGAGATTGCTATGATGTCAGCAGCTGTGCTGCTACATGTAAACAATTTTTTTTTTTTTTTTTTTTTTTTTTTATCAACCATTTGATGATGATGATCCTTTCAGTTTGGTTTTGTTTCTTCTTTTCTGTTCTTTTTCTTTTTCTTTTACACTCTTCCCTATCTCAAATACAATCACTCCAAACACACACAACTCTGAGTTTGAATGCTCCTTGGCATCATGCTTACAATCAAGGCAAAGTGGATGATCTGGGACTTATCATCTAGATTTTTAACCCAATCCTTTGTTATTATTATTCTTATCTGCCAAGTTCAGATATGATGCAGCTATGGACCAAACAAGGAATAATCACCAATTTGCCATCTCATCCACCTGGAATTAGAGCTTCAAAACACAAAACCCAAATATGGGTTTTGCTTCCTCTCCCACATATTAGAATTCTCAAGCATTAAAAAGCAAACCCTAAGTGAGTCCCATGCCCTACAAACCCTAAAACCTTAATCAAATCATGAAAAAGAGTTGGGTTGTCACTGAGCTTACTTGCTTCCTTATTCAAACCCAATTGGGCATCTAGATATGTATCCATCTATTTACATTTGTATGTATCTTTCTATCTATCTCATCAAGGTCACATCAAGGAGAGGTCATGCATAGCGATGACAAGCCCATCAATGTCCACTTTTTGAGTTTGAATTTTGTTTGTGGGGGTGTAGGTGCTTCAAAACCCTAGAAACAGGGCGGTGGTGATGTGAAGGCCTTGATGATCATAATGGGGACCTGATGTGGGGGTGGATCTGGTGTTTGTGGGGTAGACACTTGTTGTAATGACTGAGGAGGGGAAGAAGATTCCATAGTAAAAGTTTTTATAGTAGATAACTTGCTCATGTTGAATTAAAAATAATTAAAAATAAAAACTTTGGAATGGAGCTTCTGTTGATTTGCTGCACATCAATCAAGGTCTTCCTCTGAGTCTTGAACAATTAAGAAGAGTAAAAGGTTAGGGATTTTTGTATGTTTTCTTTTTCTTTATAAATTAATGTTGTTTGATTTGGGGGGGGGGGTGATTGTGATTCTTTAGGATGTTATATGTGCTCAATACATGTTCATATGAAAAATGACAAATGAACTTTGCAAGTGCAAAATTGAAATGGGTATGAATGTTTGAAGATTCCTTTTGAGGTTTTAGAATTTGATGAGGCTATTGTTGGTGAAGGAATCCCATTCAACATTTTCTTGGTTCAAGGATTGCTTCAGTTGTGGAACTGAATTATAGTAGGCATTCTGGTGTGGGAATTTCGTAAGGTGAATTAAAAATAGAAAATGTAAACAGTGAAGGAAAGAATTGGTATCATAACTATATAGTATATATATAGTATATATATAGTATATATATAGTATATATTAACTATATAGCTAGTTATTTAACAGCAGTAACCAATAAATAATATTATTCCAATTCCTTTTCTTCTAATTACAAAAACATGATATTTTAAGCAGTATTTCATGTGCTTTAACTTAATTTTACCATTGTATACTTGAAACATACAAATTTGAGCATATTACTTAATACTGTGGAATTGTTCATTTAATCCCTTACTAGTGTTACTAGGAAGTAGTATTAAAATTAATTTTATTAGAAGTATATGATATAATTAAGAAATATACATACATACTTATTTATATAACCTGTATTTCAAAAATAATCACACATAACTTTAGCTTGCATGTTTTATGTCTTGTATCTGAAATGAATACACGAATTTAGAAACAAATATGTGAATAAGTATGACTCTTGATGATGACTATTTTTTTACATTTTATATTTCTTATTTTTGAAATTTATTTTTTCCTTGTTAATGCATACAAAGATAGCCGATTAGATTGTTGCCAAGATTTGGAGTCAAGAAAGATACAGGTGTAGATACTCTGCAGCCCTTTTTGTGATTAACAAAAAAAAAAAAAAGAAAAAAAAAAGAGAAAGTTTCAACTTCTGTAAGAAAACTACAAACCTTGAGGAATAGAAATGACAAGAAATAACTTCGTAAATTGGTCTATAAATTTAAATTAAATTTTGTATTTTTAGGTGAAATCTTCCTTTCTCTGGTTGATGATGTTATGCAATTTGCATTACTCTATGTTGCTTTCTTCCAGTAACCTTGCAATAAGACTCAAATAGAAACTTTTTCTATTTTATTATTGGAATTGAACATGTATTACTAAATCCTATACTAAATTAAAAACTTGTCAGTTTATACCTCATTTGGATTATTACAATCAAACACTCATTTTATTATATGCAACACATGTATTTCTCTTCAAACCAATTACCAAAAACATTCCCATAATATATTGGTATTGAGTGTCATATCATTCTTTTATAATTATCTTTAAAAACATAGTTCTAACTTATGCTACTAAATTAAAAGTTAAAATTATTCTACAATATTCAAATATGACTTAAACAATTATGAATTTATGTTAGAAAAAATTATTATAAATACACAATATACAATATTTGTTATTTTTATTATTAGAGTCCGAAGCCCTACCATAATAAATTGGCATTTGTTGAACATAAATTTTATGTTTAAATTATTTCTAGTAATGATAAGTTTCTGTTTTGATTTTTTCATTTATTGTAAAATACTTTTCAATATAATGTCCTCATTGTATTTAAAAAAAATTATGAATGATAGGATCAATATTTAAAAAAAAATAAACTTTGATTTTTATTTATCCAATATTGTAAAAGTATTATAAGAAATTGATTATTATGTTTTAAAATTATTAAAAGTTAATCTTAAGGATTTTTGTATTTAGGTGACAAAGTGAGAGGCCACAATTTTAAAATTCTTTGATTGGTTGAAATTAAGAAGCTTTGTTCAGTTGGCTTTCTACTCAAAAAATTCAGCATTAAAGTTCTATTAGATAAAAAAAAAAAAAGAAAAAAAAAAAGAAGAAGGTTATGTGCACTTTTTTTCTACCAAGGATGAATAATGTTGTTTTTTTTAAAAATTTCATTAGACCCATCTTCAGAGATAGATTTTGAAATATTCTGAAAATTTGTGTCAACAATTTCTAAATACAACTATGGAAAGAAATTACTATTAACATTATCAATATTTTATTGTATATTTCTCATACTTATTACAATCAAAATATGAGCTGATTTATTTAGAATAATTTGATCTATTTCATGGCCTTTTTCTCATTTTATACTACATGCAGAGGTCAAAACTTCTAAAAGAGGATTTTCTCCTCCAAAAAAGAAACCTTAATAAACATTTTGAACCATGACATTTTGAAATAGGCTTCTGAACATAGAGACCCACTTAGATTGCAAAAATGCTAGTAAACTATTAAAATAAAATTACTTACGAATTTATTTCAAAGCACTTCATAAATGTAAAAATGCCAACTGCACATTAGTTTCATTGAACATGTAATTATATGTGATTATGACAGAAATCTTATTCTGTGGCATTATGGTGTCATTTTAAAGACCTTCGATTAAACACAATCCCTTAGTTGTTGTCACGATTGGGTATGACAATGTAAAAGTGGGAGATTGAATGTACAAATTCACGTATGACGACTTGTGGCTTACAAAAACCGTTTCTTTTAACCAACCTCTAATTTCACATTACTCATACTGAAATGCAATTAGTTTCTATCACGATTGAAAGTAATATCCGCATTGCAGAGCAGTAACAGACGGATTTACCAAACTAGGTTGTTCATTAATTCAGTCATCTTCCATACGTGAACTGCAATCGCTTCGGCCAATGCAGAATGGAAGTTGTGAACCTAAAAAAAATACCATGACCGGCATTCACTGTCTGCAGCAAGTAATGATCAATAACTTAATTTCAGTCACCAATGCTCAATATTGGGTTCGATATTAGATTCCATGAATTGGAAGGAATTCAGCTTCGAGGCAAGTAACACAGAAATAATGAAATGAGTCACTCCATAACGCTATTGTGCATGATAAGAAGGATATCGAAGTTTTTTCAAAGAACGGGCTTCTCTTTCAGTTGCGCTTCCTCACAATGGAAGCCACCAGGACATATTTTGCACAATAGTCTAACCTATGCGCAGGTAATAGCGTCGTGTCCACAAAAGAATCGACATCTTTCACCCAAATTTCTTTGGAAACCAGTGTTTGAATATTCACTTGGATATCCAGTCGAAGACCACAGCCGTCGAACATCGTAATATAAAAAGTTGTAGTGCGTATGTCCTAGTTTCATGATCTGATTAATGTTGCATACCGCCTAAAAATTTGCTTGGATCTGGTACGTTTCCGTTGAACTCAGCATTGGAAAAGTCGAAGCCTGGGTGCTGCAAGCAGCCAACTCCACAAGTCAGGCACCAATTGTATAAACGTGAAGCTTCAACATAAAGAAATAAATCTATGACTGTCACTAGGATTAGAAGTTTGGATTAAATCTACTTTAACATATTCACATTCGGTGGACCACATGAGACACTGAAATTGCACTGATGGTGAAGCTTAATTAGCCTACTAAGTGAAACATACTTCTGTTTGGAATCTTTCCAGCATTAGACGCTGCTTCTCTTGCTCAGTCTTAAGTGGATCTAAGGGAGCATGCCCAGCTATGGCTGAAGGCCAAGGCTGGCCTTTCTCTCGCTTCTGTAGTGTCACATGCATCACGCGGTCCTCTGCAACAGAACGCATCGTAAAAACCAATAGCCTCTGAAAACGGAAATAATCACAACGATAGATCACTGTTTTCATACTAATGAAAGCTTGATTTCGAGTTTGAAGCCATGAAGAGTAGGAAGTCTCACCAATTGTCCAAAATGAGCAATCAGTCTTCACTGCCCCTGCTAGATCATGCTGCAGAAAAACCAAACAAGTCCCTAAGCCCAGACGAGCTCATTATTTGAAATCTCCATCATCGATAAGCAAGAGATATGCTTGTAATTACATCAAATCTAAACAAGAGGGATAAAGAAAACTTTTCAAGCCACTTCATCATCCATTGAACTTTACTGCTTGATGAGTAGAATGCGTTCCTTGACAAGTAAGGTAAACCAATCTCACTTGATTAACTCCATGCTTTTGTCTCTTTATGTGTCAGCGTTGGTTTGTTTAGCAGTTTAAAAGTTTGGAGTTCAAAGTTGTATGAGAATAAGGACGAAAACTTCTAAAGAATGCGACCCTTAATTATGGTGTAGCATGTTATGCATACGCTGAACAACTGATGACAAGTAAATCATTGTCAGAAAGTTAAGGAATTCGACGAACTGTAAGAGGATCATTGCAAACACGCACGTTGAGATAAGGAGGATTGCCTTTGACGCCTAGCTCCAAATGTTTTGGCTTTATAGTGCAATAGAGCAGCTTAGTAGGAAGCCTTTCGGGCAAAGGTATGTAAATATTGACCTCTTCCAGTTGTTGATCCCACTCATAAATCAAGTCTCCTGCCAAACGAAACAACGCCAAATTTCAATGTCACCATCATATCCATGAGCCCTGTTCTTTCCTATTAAAAAAATGAATTTTGTGTTGACTACTAGCAATTAAAAGCACCAAGGTTGTCACAAAGATACAAAATGACGTGCCATTTATAACATAGAATACTTGATTCCACATAATTATTCTAGGCATCCACACAAACGGTACCCACAAACCCGATTCATTACAGCTGAGGTGCGACTGAGAAACCATGAAGCTCAACGAGTAGCATATGCTAGCTGCGAATCGCAGTTAATTAGGAGGCCCGCCACCCTTACAATCCTAAAACCTTTAACTAATAGCAGAGAAGACTTGACCTAGAGACTGAACTAGATAGTTGGATTCCAAGATTCAATCAAATATGAGAGGCGCTCACCATCATGCTCGAAGCGATGGCGTTCAGTTGGAGCTAACTTCTCAGCTGCCATCCGTGTTTGATTTAATGTTCTACGGATTTGATTCAGAAATCTGAACCACAATGACACAAGAGAGGTTCTGAATTACTGAAGTCACGGAATCAGAATTTTAGTTTCTAAAGTTCCAGAGCTTATCATCCCTTTCCTCGATGCTGCAACGAATCGGATAATGACCCCACTGTACTCACATTCCTCATCAAGTTACGACAAGTCCTAGGAACATTCTAGAAATACTTCTTTCCTATGCCGAGGCTTTCGCAGCATCCATGATAACTGCAAAAAATAATGCACGATACCTATTGAAATGGATACTATTCCACCAAGAAGGCTCGCTGTCTTCGCAATCGCTTGACATCTTAAATGTAAGGTATTCAAGGAACTAACTTCGCGGCCTATTCATGAACTCCACTCAAACAATTTCCGCAACAACTAATGCTAACAGAACTCCGATTATCTCCGATTTTATTCCGAAATACCAATTCCATCAAAAGGTTGAGCAGATGCACAACTCCAGTACCGGAAATCATAAGGGTCTCGTGCTTAAGAAATTTTCTACTTCCGATAAAATAGTTGCAACTGTTCTCAGACGAAACACCCTCCCAATCTCCACTAAAAAGAAGCTGAACTTACCCCACTCCAGTTAACGAGTTTCCTCAAGTCAGGATTGCTCGGATTGAGTCCACAAATCGCAAAAGAGCTAGGAAGTGCGAGCTGGGAGTTGAGGAGGTATGCTAAAGGTATGCTTTGTTCTCGCTCTGTGTTGGACTAGGGCACCACCAGCCACGTCAACCATTGGACCCTATGACTGCGTCATGCCCTATCACCGGTTTAAGACGGATGGATGTGCACAATGGCCTGTGCCAATTTTAATGACAGGCCGAATGCGGTTTTAGTCTTCCGAAGCCCCAAAAAATTGCACCCAAATCCTGGTGTGGAGTGATCCGTGGTTTCTGAACGCTTCCCTGCTTCGTGTAGCTGCATGCCTTGGCTAATCTAGAGCTGGATGTACTGTGGCAATCAAGACAGTGTGCGAGTCATACAATCAATAGATTGGTGAGTGATTTCACGTCTCCGATTGCTTGTATGTTAGTCGAGCGATGATTTAGAATGAAATGTAGAAGAATTGATCGTTGGGTAGGCACAATTCTGCGCTCTAGCTGTACAATTCTGCCTTATTTCCTTGTGATTGGATGGAAGTGAATGATTCAGCTACAATTGAGCACTGCTCAGAAATTGTTACAGAAACAAGAGAACGTATTCTATGAATCGGCTTTAGGTTTAGGTCTTTCTTTTACGGGCACGAGTTTTATGATCCTCTGGCTTATGTAACTCGTACAGATAGGTTTATAATTCTTCGAAGTGTTGTGCATTGAATAGGCTCTGGGTGACAATCCCGTGCGTGTCGAATGGTGGTCATGGTGTTGGCGATTCTTATTGCACCAGAAAAGCTCTACGTTGTAGATTCGACTACTAATCTTCTGCTGTATGCAGGGCTAGATAAGGAAAATTCGACGGCTGTTGAGTTCTTAGATATCAATGGCAGTGTCAGCTGCAGCACAATGGCTGCAGCAGGCTTTACTGGATCAGTGTTCTGGTTCTAGTCCAGCCCTCCAACTTGACGAGGGGCTCGTAAGTGATCTGGTGTCCTACTGCGAAATTGCTGCTCCATCAGAAGCCCAGCAATATCTCTTTGTAAGATCTTCCTCACGTCCTCCTGAATGGTGCGATGGTACATTGTTGACAAGGTTATTGAGAGATGATTGATATGTTGAGTTTTTTCAAAGAACGAAATGACCTAAATATGTGTTGGAGCAGTTTAGATCATTGGGAACGGAGTTTTTTGAGGCCTACGAACATATCCCATGTCCTGCGATTAACACATGCAGATCGGTCAACTTGCAGAGCATAGTTGGTGAAGAGCAATGTAAGGACATTGTGACCGAATACTTGCGCAGAAGAGGTGATGGATATAGTGATGTATTCATGTTTCACGACCATGGAAGGGAGGCCCAGGGAGAAACCGGTTTACATGCTTATATGAAACCAAAAGAAGATGAGACATTTTTAGCAGGAAGCAAAAAGACATCCAAAACGATAAAGCAGAAACCGAACACACCAGAGGTTCAAGGAAACTCTCCTCAAGGTGGATTGGCCTATTGTAGCTTTTCCTTCTGGGATTGCTTATACTTGCAGACATAACGCGTTTACTGCAGCATACAAAGACAAAGCTCTGTTGGCATGTTGTTCTTGATGAAGCTAGAATGACGCTAGGTTTTCTAACTCTAGTCACCATGTCATTATGGGTTTCTTTAGTTAAGCTCTTGAATGCTTGTTCGGTGTTGTGGCAGTGTCAACGGCATCTTCAAAATCGGGATTATCGCAATCAAGTAAACCAATCAAAACTAGAGGTCGTAAAGGAGGTAAAGGTATCACGTTAGCAGAGGCAGCTGAAGGTTTGGCTTTGTTTCCAAGGGGAGGTCCTTGCAACTGCCAAGCAAGCCGACACAAACTTATCAACAACTGTCTTGGTTGTGGCAAAATTGTTTGTGAGCAAGAAGGAGAGGGTCCGTGCAATTTCTGTGGCGCGTTAGTCTTGAGGGAGGGTAGTGATTATGCAGGTCTAGAGGGCTTGAGTATGCCCCCCGCAAACGATGCTGAGGCAGCTGCCCAGGCGTTTAAGGATCGCTTGGTGGAGTTTGATCGTTCGGCTGCTAAGCGCACCACAGTTATTGATGATCAAAGTGATTACTATGAGATCGATGGAAATGCATGGCTCTCTGACAAGGTGTGCATTCACTAGAAATCCTGGACCGCAGAATCTTTTCATGTACAATCAAATCCGTATTGGATTCTCTGAAAGCTGCCAATGTTTTGGACCGTGATACACATTTGTCTATTTGAACTTATGTGTGTGCAACAAATCCGGTCCTCCTTTATGCATGACTAATCTATTAAAGCCATGCACACTTGCAAACCGGCACTTTTTGCTGTCCGAAATTTCTTTATTTGGTGCTATTGTAAGGCAGACTAATGCTTCAAATGTACATTTTAACAGGAGAAGCTGTTACTGCGGCAGCGGCAAGAAGAGGAAGAACGCATTGAAGCAGAAAGAAGGAAACGTGTTGTTGTAACGATTGATCTTCTCGGTCGTAAGGTACTTAGAGGACTTCATCGCAATCTATTGCGATCTCTTGGCTTTGGATTTCTACTCTGTCTGGCATTTCCCTTGCTTCATTGCAATTTTCTGGTCTATTTTTTGTAAGTCATGTGAAAGAGGGTCATTAACTCCTACGATGCGCTCGTGAGTGTTGCTATCAGAGAGTGTATCTGTTTTCACCACATCTAGATGTACTGTTGCAAAGACTCAATTACTTTTCATTTGAAGCTTGCTCTCAACTCATTTGGCGTAGCAGTGCAAATTATATAAGGCTTTTGTGGACGCAACAGGGGTCTTTATCTATGTCCAAGCTGACCAAACTACTCAGATTTTGTTACTAAATCTGATGTTACGAGAATGGTTGGTGTGTTGTGCTTCAGTCTGATGTATTTATTCGTTGTCAGGTTGTGATGGAAGATAAAGGAGATGGCAAAGGCAATTCTCCTCATGAGAACCTCGTACTGGCAGGGGATAGTGGACAAAGTGGAACTTCTGATTATCGCATAATACCCAACCCATTCATTGATAGTAATCCTGTGTATGTGGGCCCTAAAGGAGCAACAGGTACCAAAAATTCTGAAAAGCTAATCAATCAACTTCAAGGGATGGTTCTGGACAGGACAGGGCGAGTTCAACACGATGACCCTATTTTTGAAGCTGTCCTGGGGCAACAACTAGGTGGCATTTATATTGAAGGTGAACCTACAAGTTCAAAAGGGTGGGCTGGACCTACAGTACGGGGAACACGAAGCTCGATGGATGATGAACCAGTTTGTATGACTGATAATCGAAATGCAAGTATGAATGGATCACGAAATGAAGATGGTAGGCAGGGAAGTGATGTTGAAAAGCAGAAACAAGAAAATTTTGATATCTGTATTCCAAGCTCCCAACGGAGTGATGGAAGGGCAGCTATCATGCTGGCACCTTCACTTTTAGATCAAAATAGACCAGACCTTGCACTTCCTTCTATATGGAGTGACACTGTGTTGATGCCGGGTATGGTTTTGTTGAAAGGGTGGCTGTCCATTGATGACCAGGTATGTCACTAACACTTCTATGGATTCTCTTAAAGCTACTGAGTTCATCAGATTCACGGTGCCTATTTCTCTACAATATCCTTGCAATCTATTTTACAATAGTATGATTCACGATGCTCTTGAACTTGATCATGTCAGTCATATTTACAAATGTATTTATACCTTGTGTCAGGTGGAGATTGTGAGAGAGTGCTCAACACTTGGCAGAGGCTATGGGGGCTTCTATCAACCTACATTTGCGGATGGCAGGCACATGCGTTTGCAAATGATGTGTTTAGGAAAGAAGCACTGGGATGCCACTACCAATTCCTATGTTCCACGTCGCCAAAATCATGACAATGCCACTCCACCGGCTATTCCTGAAAAGTTTTCCGACTTGGTGAAGCGTTCTTTACAAAGAGCTCAAGATTTGGCCCTGAAAGCAGGTGGGCTCAAGCTGGGCAGAAAGCAAGTCGAAGGAGAACTACCAAACATGGATCCCACTGTGTGTATCGTCAACTTCTATGAACAAACTGGTGCACTAGGTATGCACCAGGTAAGTACTATTATCACTAGTTTGTTTTTATTTTTTCATTTATTTATCAGTACGTTTTTGTTTATGTATATGTATGCGCATGCACGCACGCACGCAGTGCATTTTTCAATTGCTTTTTCAATCTTGGATTTTTCTACTTTTTTCATGAAGTGTATTGCCTTGGAGCTCACGAGTGCAATCGGCACGTATCAGGACAAGGATGAGAGCGCAGCAAGTCTTAAGCGAGGGTCTCCTGTGGTCTCGTTCTCAGTGGGCGACTCTGGGATATTTGCCTACGGCAAAGAAAGAGACCCACAGAAGGCAGAGAAGATTTCTCTCGAATCTGGAGACGTCCTAATCTTCGGTGGACCTTCACGAATGATTTTTCATGGAGTCGAATCCATTATTCCCAAATCTGCGCCTAAGGAACTGATTGACAAAACAAATATAAAGCAAGGCCGATTGAATCTTACCTTCAGGGAGTTGTAACTTATGATACTGTCATCAGTGGGTTTTTTCATCCATCAAGGCAAGCCAGCGGTCAGTGCTGTTTGACTGAATGCAAATCTGATCTTGGTTGCATACACTCTATAGTGTGGCAAGGTGATGTTTAACCTGCAGAAATCAGAACCTTTCGCACATCCATTGTCCTGGTATCTTGCTTATTCCCTGCACTACCATCTTGTAGTCAAATTAGTACAAGTTGTTGGCTCTTCCCAACGTGCTTAAATCGAAAAATTCCTTTAACTTTTTTCTTGGGGCACAATTTGTTAGTGCAAGATGATCTGCCGAACACTATACTGAGACCCTGACGTAATCTAGGTGCAAATTGATCTTCAGCTTGAGTACTTGCTCTGTGCAACTGTGATTGGCTCACCAGATGAACAGTGAAGATTAACTACGTTTCTTGGAGGTGAGTTTTTGAAATCATCTGAGCATCAACTGAGCCCACCTGCTTTCAGGGCCAACTCAATTAGGTTCATGTTAACTATATTTTAATATGAATTGTTTTACAAATCCATAATTAAGCATATTCTTGATACATTTATTAAGTTCATTGTATGTTAATAAGTATGTATGTGTGTATAAGGTTTAAAGTTTTTATTTTTCCATCAAATACTTAATACTTATTTATCTAAATAAACCAATTGATATATTTAATAATATTAAAAATTAATGAATAATAAATTATACTTAGCTTGTATATTTGTATCACAAACATAAACATATAATTATTTTTCATCAAATAAAATAAAATACCATAACACAATTAAATACATAGTTTAATTGTTTGTCAAAAATATTAGATTCTATGGGGTACTTCATATTTAGGGGCCAAGATGAGAGGCATTGGCTTATAAATGTTTTGATTGGTTGAAATTGAGAAGCCTCTTGATTTTGGCTTTATACTTAGAAAAATGAGTCTAATGGCCCTAAGAGGCAAAATATGAGGTGGAATGTATTTTTTTCCTACATAGTATAAATAGTGTTCTCTTGCAAAAAATGTGTTGAGCAAATCTTAAACATGTAGTCTTTAGAAAAAATCTAGTAGCTATGTTTCAAATTTCTTAAAAGTCATTTAGAAAAATTGCATTTTATATACTTCTTGTTACTGTTTGTAATTAAACTAAATAAAAGAAAATATATTGATCTATTTCATGACCTTAGTTAGGCATGTGAACCATGGGCTTTCAAAGTAGGTTTCTAGATATAAAGTGCCTCTGTACTTACCAGTGATACAACAAAAAAAAAAACAAAAAAACAAAATAAAAACAAAATAAAAAGAAAAGAAAGACACATGAATGACAAAAGCAACATGATTATTTGCAGAACAATTGCTTTTATAATAAACACCACGCAATGTTGAAAACATTGACTTAATGATCCCAAAATAAAAAATAAAAACCCCAACATTCAAATAGATTCACATACTGTCTTGCATCTTTCCCTTTGCATTAAGTACTTATGCATACAATCTAGGTTTTCTTAATACTATCTTGGCATGATATTAGGGAATCCACCCTACACCCTAGCCCCAAGCTTCTCGTGAGTGAACATTCATATCTCCGCCGCCTTTCTCCGGAGCACCTTAAATTATAAATTGAAAGCATGCTATTCGGCAAATCTCCCTTTGTGATGGTGAACTGCCATGCATGAAGATCGTTGCGGAGTTTCGTCAGATTCATTTTCCTGGGCAGGGGCCTTCACTTGCATTTTTGCAGCCGTCATCTCCGTGACCTGCACATTCCATTCTCACGTGCTGCGTTTGCAGCACCCTCGCCACTTAAAAGGAACCCATGTCGTCGACTGGTGACGACGATGTTTGTTTCATCGTTATATGTGTATTCATGCTTTGCTCAGCACACAGTTGGGTTCCGTCTGATCAGAACTCTCAAAATTGCACCCTAACGTGTGCCTCGATGATTCTACGAGTATTTCTTCGTCAGGGTCCTCCCTGTTTTGAGATATTCGTTTACATTCACACACATTCACTGACACAGCCACAACATTGTCCGACGGACGACCTATGGGCATTCAACTCCACATTTTTCTCCATTGAACCGTGAAAATCCACGCCCTTATGGAGGCTGCTTTTTGTTTCGGTTTGTTGCTCCTTTTTGTCCTTCATTCCGCACCTTTGGTGCCAAGTCTTTGTGAGAATCGGTATCAGAACATAGTGTTGTCTGAAGGATAAGCTACAGTTTGAGCTTGATTGAAAATGGTTTTTAAGTATGGAATATGGCTTGCTCATGACCTAAGCCGCCTGCCTGCATACACCTATCTGACTGCACTTATTAGTATTAATGGTGGTGCACCAAGACTGTGATCTGTTACATTGATGAGATTTGAGTTGGGAATGTTAGGATCGTCAGAGTGACGGTTATTGAGGGAAGCGTTGAGAGAGAAGGAGGTAGCGAGGGTGTGGGGCTCATTGGTGGAGCTTGGGGCTGGAAAGGGTCGTTAGATGGGTACTGTCACATGAATCCTTGTCTTTGTCACCATCATGCACGGATTTGGTGGTGAGCACCTGGAACATCAATTCTTGGGTTGAACTTCGTCAGCTGCCGGTTGGTTGGACTTCACCGAAGCCAGATTGAATGATTCTTGCGTTAAGTGTTTTGAATGTTGTCAACTGGGTCAATGGTTGTTTGAGAGAGGGACTGTGGAGTGGATTTGATCTGCAGGTTTCGTGGTACTCTTGAGGATGAGACAAGACCAAGAGATAGTGGGAGATAGGTGTTAGATTCGAAATTCGACGACGGAAGGGGGATCAGCCCTTTGGAGGGCCAAGTAGGATGTGAAAACAACTTGGAGTATTGCGGGTCTCAAGTCTAGGCCGTTTCCATGGCCGCAGCAGCTTTCGTGCTGAGAAATTTTCTCTTACCCACACTTCTAGCATCCGTGGCACCACAAGTGTTATACCCAACTACTGCCTCACTGACATCTGCCTCGTCTGATCCACCCATCAGCTGTAGTCTTCCGAGTGCCTCAATGGTTTCCCCTAACCACTGCAATGCTGACGATGACCAGATCATGAGAAAGCAGACACAAAGTTGTCAAAGTTTATTGACAATGGTGGAGGATGCTCCTACGTCTGAGTGTTGCACTGGTCTGAACAATATTGCTTTCAATCGCATTGCTTGTGTCTGCAAGAAGACCTTCTACCCACCCACAGCTCACAATGCGTCCCGGCAGCTGGATCTCCCTTAGATCTGTGGTGTGATAACAAATTTGTGCGGCCAGTGTCCCATGTTCATAATTTCAAGTGCGAACGGAGGACCTCTTTCTTCACTCCGTAAGTGCCCCTAAAGAACCTTCCACACTTGAACTGAAGTAATGATTGTCTTGGCAAATGCTTCTCAAAATCTCTCACAATGCTAGTAGGCGGTGCAATTGGAGGTTGGTGTTACTGTCTGTTGGCATTGTTGTGGGGTGAATGTTCGCATGTCAGTTTCATAGATGGATGGATGCTTCTAATTAGAGGAATTTGGTATTGTCTCACACAATGATGTCGCGTCCTGCCTAGAATTCTCATTTCGCCAATAGCCATATGCATGAGGTACTTCAATGTCTTGCTCCATTGACTCCCTTGACAAATGAGACGGCTGGATATAGGTTCCCTCCCTTATGCTGTCCAAGCGACATTTGTTTAGTTCACAAAAATACAACCCACTCTGCAGGCGCGACTGCATTGAACTATCTTTCGCTCGGTGGCATCAATGACGTCGTCGTGTGAGGTCCTCGAGCACTGCTAGGTTCAATCAATCAAACAGTAATATCGTCAGGGATTACTTTTAAAAGTCCTGCCTTTGAGTATCTTGTTTTACTTGTGTGTCTTTCGGCGAGGTTTCTAATCAGAGAGCATTCTCTTAATACACAATCATTGAAGTGCTAGTCTCCTACCATTTCTTAGTAAGCTGCGGCTGGTTTAACATCGTTAAGTCATGATTCCTCCTCTCACAATACTTTGGTTTTGTAGTTGTTGTGAATGAAGATTCTGATTTCTACAGTTGCCTTTAGTTTAGATTATTCTGAATCTGCCTCACAGGCCACAATTTTGACTGCTAATTGAAACTCTGTAAGGTGTTACTTCGTGAGACGTATACATATCGCGTGGACGAAACGTCAACACCTTCCATAGTCGGTGCGATTTCAATGGCGGTCATTTTTGGAGTGTTGCTGCTGACCTTCGCTGTTTTCTTCATCCTAATGCTTGTCAAGAAACGAAGGGAGAAAAACTGTCCTCGGGTACTCTTTCAAGCTCCTCCGCCCGGTGGTGCGTTTTGAGTTAAGGTAACGTGTACATCAAATGGGCAAGTAAAGCTCCATGCTGTTGCCAGTGAATTCGTAACTCTATCGCGTGAAACAAAATTTCTTTGCTGAAAAGAATGTGTGTCACTGGAAGTCCAACAGAATATCAATCAAGATCTAATCTCTCGTCGCGGATCTACAGCCTGGTAGCCTGCACTGCGTCCTTAGTCCGCCGGATCGTTTCCCCGAGGGAGTGTGCGTCCGGGTAATGTACAGCGATGTTGTGATTGAAGACAAGTTTTTCACAATGCAGCGCATAGATGTTTTGTTGAGGAGATCCATTTTCTTTATAGGATCGATCCAGTTTTCACCTCATCACCGAATTTTTTCGGTGCAACGATTATTGCCCAGCGGCCAACTTTCTGTTGGTAATCCCTCTTTTGATCCTCTCATTAAAGACATTCAGGACATTTTATGTACCGTGTACGAGTTATCGAGCATATTGAATGCCTCGAATGGTCAAGAACGGGACAAAGATCTGCAGGAAGCCTGGCAGCTTACTGTAATTCATCCTCCGTTCTTAATCCCACTCTCCACTTCCCGCCTGGAGGTTTGAAACATCATTGGTTATGATATCGTGGGCTTTGCATGGAGCTCTCCATCTATTCCACCGCCAAGCCCCCTCTTTTTTACTTGTAATTACCAATCATCCTGGTGTTAACCAAGTGTGATACTTGTTCGTCATGGTAACCGACATAAATTACACAACGGAGAATAGGTTCAAACCAAAAAAAAGAAAGAAAAAAAAACCCTTATATTACTCACGCTGACTGTCGGGTGATAGTGCTGATATTCTGGTACTGTGAGAGCATAACTTTGAGGCGATTTGAGGATGCGCAGTTGAGCTCATTATCACAGCAAGATCTGTTGACAAGTCTATCAAGTAATTGAAATTCAACGTCTGAATCAAGTGATTGTTTGCACATCCCAACGTCATCATTTTCGGTGGATCAATGACGATGGACTTGGTTCTTCACTTGGAATGCTGCTATAACACTTTCTTCTTTGCGCTCTCTTCTACAACAGTTTTCAATAAATGAACAGGAAACTACCTCCACTGCAGTCACCGCGACATGCACTATTCCATCAGCTGCAACATGTTAACCAGAACTCTAGTCGTAAGTCTTCTAACCAACGATGAGCGAGTCAGGCGGGCATTCAAAGCAGTTCTTAGCTCAAAAACTGCACCGAGCGAGTGTGCTTGTTATTATTATTACAGAATATGGACGATGGATCTTTTGCAGCAACTGATTGATCCAGAACGTCCACAAGGATATTATTCTACATCCTCCATAGATATTATTTCCTTCTGACAGATCAAGGCCAGGATGCAACCGCTAATATTATTTCCAAGACACACAGAAAGGATTATGCACGAGTGAGCAGCAGTAGCATCCTGAAACAGACTTAACCAATTAGTGACCGCAGCGTTGCACTCTAATTTACGAGGGCTCCGCGTTCGGAACGCTTCATAGAAGTGGGTCTGGTCCAGGTTTAGAACGAGGTTTGGGGTTTAGGAATTAGGATTTAGGTGGGTTGGAACTTTGTATGGAAGTGGGTCTGGTCCATACCCTCATTCCACGGCACGTGCAGAATAACTCATTCAAGTCGCTGTCAGCACCCTCCGCCGCCACGTGAACCTTATCGTTGACAATTAATGTGATAAACATGTTGTTAGCATGGTTGAATTCAAATTTGAATGTGGACTAGGATGAAAGTGAGTACGAATGAATGCAACATTTTCATTCGTCGAACAATTTTCAGTTTCCTTGTAATGTCTGAAATTATCTTTCAATTAGTCTAGAATTACATTGGTGGATTAGTTTTAAATTGATATGTTGGAAACTTCTCTTCAAAGAATGCTTGTTACTCCTACCACATAAGCAAGTGTTGTTGGTTTTAATTGGATTAACAAAGGTTTGTAGTCATACAAGTTAAATAAATTGAAAATATATTATGTAAGTTAAATTTATCCTAATTTATATATATATATATATATATATATATATTCAATTCTTATGTTTCTTTAAATAATTTGAAAGAAATTTGTGATTAGAAACCTTATTATTACTATTATTATTATTTTTTTTACTTTTAAAATTAACTTTGAATAGTGAGAATACTATCCATGTTATTTACATATTTAAAAAATATTTAGGTGATTTGTTTAAAATGTAAAATAGGCTATATTGATTAAGAAATTAAGAAAAAAATCACATAAACACATTAGAAAAGTTTACAATTAAGGTTTAATATGTGACATAAACATGCTGTTTTAAGTAAATCAATCTATCATATTATATATTTGGAAGTATATGAACAAACATTTATAAATCAACAAAATTAACAATTCTCAAAGATGGATTTAATGTTTTAAATCATTTTCACCTGTAAAAGCATCTGACTTTCAATAACCACAACACCATAGTAAAATTAAAATCTTTAAAATATTCACATAAATCATGTATAACTAAATAAAATCACCTTCAAAAATAAAGTATAAATCAATAAAGTAAAAGATTAAAATCATCCTCCTCCTTCGCTGTTGTGGTGTGGAGAGCTCTATCGAAAAAAATCCATATTGCTGTCCAGCGGGGAGAGTTGACATCAACGTGCTTGCCACACAGCATTCCGTTCGCAGGAAATTGCTGAGAATGGCCAATAGCAGGATCTCGTTTTCCATGAGGGTTCCTCGTCAAAAGGGTTGAGTTCGATAAAACGTCACGGTGTTGCAAAATCTGCACAAAAAAGACACACGATGATATGATTGCCATTACCATCCACTTTGCTGTTCTTGTGTGAAGAGAGAGCTCTATCGAAAAATGGTGGTTGCAAGATCTCAACTTTTTACCAGCTTTCTGTCTTTCCAGGGCTCATCGACACACAGATACGTCGAACACAGACGACAGCAATCTTGCATGTCGTTTGTCTGGATCGAATGATCAGTGACAGATTTTTTTTTTCAATCAGAAACATCTGCTTTCACATCAGGTGATTCCACCTGATGGAAGTTGTTTCTGATTGACCACACTATCAGTGTGTGTCAGAGCATGTTAATAAAGCGCAGTTATGATTTCTGGGTAAAGCAACCACAAGTTGGCGGGGCCCTCCGACGACAAAGTAGGAAGCCATCCCGAAGATTGCAACTTCTCCCCACTGGACAGTGCAAAATCAGGCAGCTACGCTAGTAGGGCTTGTGCCTGAAGAAGCTCTTCAAAAGTTGCTGCTCTTTACGGACGACAAAGCAGGGAGCCAACCCGAAGAGTTCAATGCTTGTCCAGGATAGTGCACGAGAGACATGTGCAGTTTGTTGGGCTAAAAGAACAGTTCTCGATTGACAAAAAAACACCCCACCACTTACGAGCTGGTCTCACTTCGCTTGACAACCAGCCAACCATATCATTAACTAGCTGAACCGAGTTATGCAGAACGTGTGCAATCTGTGCATCGGGAAGTGGACAAGTAAACGCACGCTTTTTGAGGAGTGAAACGCATTCCCGCTCTTACGAGTCATTCTGCGCCTCAACTCAATTCCCCACAGAAAAGCATGAAACCCATGCGCGTGATCGCGTCAACTATGTCAGTCCCCAGATTTCCAGTCACAGAGGAGAGTGAATGATTCGCAGGCTTTGCAAAGAGAAAACTAGCGAATTATGCTCCCATTCATTCCAACCCAGCTCCCACAATTTCTCACTGTAGGGACTTGTCTCTTTCTATGGGCAGGCCAAATGGAATCGACCCCAGACAGGTTACCATATTAGAATTGAGAGTTTGGATAAGTTTAGAATAATAATGTAATATTTTTATTTAAAGTTGGTAGTCCAATTGTGAGAGTCTCTGGAAGAAAAAAATTCAATATCTCAAAAATAATATGGTATGGTTTAATAAATATTTAAATATAGAATTTGCTTCATGCAATCTACCTTCATGCATGTTGAGAGCATTAAGTGTAGCTGATGCTTTCCATAATATTTATTGTAGTTTATAGTAAATATTGTAGTTATAGTGTTTGGAATGTTGTGAGGAGAAACTGTTTATCTTCTTTGCTTCTCTTTATATATGTAAGATAATCATATCAATATACTCCCCTTTGTGTGTTTGTATCATGGACATACTCATGTAAGCTAGTAATTACATATACAAGTAGGTAAAAGTAAGTTAATTCTATAGTATTTAATATGGAAGCTTCTTAGAAGCTTTATAGACGTTGCTTTGACTTCATAGGTATCTTTAATTGAATTTTTGGATTAAAAACGTGGTCAACAAGTTGGCCATGTGCCACACATGTTGTTAGCTTGAAGATCAAGTTAACTATGTGGCCCACACATAGAAAAACTTGCCTTGTAAGTCAAGGCATGTGTCCTACAAAGTCAACACATATTGGAGGTCCTATAGAACGCCGCCATGTAGCCCCTAGTTAGATAGTATATATAGAGACAAGAGTGAAGGCTTCTTCACTCTTATCAACTCCTTTCTTGCTTCCAATCTAGTTTCAAGGGTTTCTAGTTTTCTTGACTTTTGGCAATAGCCATTCCAGTTTCTCTTTCAATATACATACTTGTTTATTTATATTTTGTTACCTTTCTTTAAGTGAAGGCTCACTTATCTGAATTACTTTTTCATCGAGTTCTTGTCCTTGACACATTGACAAGAGTACACCTACAATATCAAAGCTTTGTCTAATCTTGATTAAGAGTGGATTACCCCTTTTTCTTGATAAGATATAAGCATATTAGAAGTTGCGGATTAACCTCTTCTAAACTGATATTGTCCTTAGTATTTTCTTTGTTCTCAAGTCCTCTCTTCTATTTGTCTTGAGCAATATTAGACATCTTCTCTTTTCAAAGTGTTATCATGATAGTTCTTATTGAAATGAAGAGTGCAATGGCACAAATGCAAGAACAATTGAGGGAGTTAATGCTTGCGATGCATCAACTCAATTTACTACCACAAGGAGCAAAAAGATTGGTAGGAAGTGAAGATACAGAAATGGTTGGAGCTGCTTCAACATCTGCACCAAATCATGTCCTTTCTCTTATGGTGGAACGCCCTTCCAGTGTTAGAGAATCAAGAATTGCCCTACTCCAGAAGTTTGATGGTACCAGATCCAAGTTTCGAGGATTTATCAATCAAGTACAACTTGTGATTGAACTTCAACCCCAAAGCTATCTAACTCTAGGATCGCAAGTTAGATTCATTGATACGCTTCTTTCTGGTTCAGCACTATCGTGGTTTTCATCTTTTTTTGAATGACGAGATCCAATATTGGATAATCTAGAGGCTTTTTTGGCAAAGTTTTGATCCATGTATGGAGAACATGATGCAATTCGTGTTGCAACCAATAAGATCCGTATTTTACGACAAGGTAATCGATCAGTAACGTTGTACGTTTCACAATTTTGACAACTTACAACTAATATCAAGTAGAATGATGCTGCACTTATTAGTCAATTTCTCTACGGATTACAATATGAGGTAAAAAAATTAATGTTCAACTTAGTTGATCCTCAAACATTGACTCAAGCAATTGACTTTGCTGTGAAGTGCGACAATCACCTTTTTGAATTTGGAGTTGAGAACAGTACAAGTGGACCTCAGCATTACTATAATTCAATTGCAACATCAACACCTCTTCAACACATATGTTCGGAAGTAGAAGATATGTAAATTGATGCAGTATGTTTCAAACCTCTTATTGAGCAAGAAAAGACTCGTCGTTGTCAAGAAGGATTATGTTTATATTGTGGAGAACCAAAGTACACTGCTCAACATTGTCTAAAGAAATGATGCAATTACAAAATGAGGAGTATGGCTGTGAAAGAAGACAATATGTCGAAAAATGAGTTTGTCCAGCTACAATAGGGATCGTGCGGCTGGAACCTTGTACAACATCTAGTAAAGGTCCTATTCTCTCCTCAGAGTCCTCTCCTTGTTTTATATTAAATATTATTTTAGGACCTAAATATTACAAAGCCTTTGCCTTGTTAGATTTAGGAGCCTCGACGTGTTTCTTAGATGAAGAATTTACTAAAAGATATAGCATATCTTTAGTAAAGAAAACTAAACTTGTTCATGTAGAAGTCATAGATGGTCGTCCATTATCTTCTGGAGATATTACTCACAAAACCCTTCTTCTAGAAGTAATAATCAATGGTCATAATAGCTTTGTAGTATTTAATATCATTAGATCTCCCTCTAATCAAGTCATTTTAGGTTTATCGTGGTTAGAAAAATACAACCCTCAAATAGATTGGATTTCACGAACTCTTACTTTCTCTAAAAGTATAACTAATAGTGTAGTTAATCAAGTAGAGAGTCATAAGTCCAGTTCAATTAAACCCGTATTTATAGGTGCAAAAGCTTTCTTGCATGCTGCTATGAAAGAATCACCATATATTATTTATGCCACACTTATTTCAACTAGTGGAAAGACTTCAAGTGGCATTCCAAGCCAATATCAAGAATTTCAAGATGTATTTGAAAAAAAGAATGCAAATACACTCCTAGAACATCGTTCCTATGATTGCTCAATTGACCTTCAGAAAAGAGCACAACCGCCATTTGGACCAATCTATAGTTTATCACAAAATGAGTTGACTGAACTCAAGGAGTATATTGAGGAAAATCTAGTCAAGAATTTCATGTACCATTCTAAATCTCCGGCAGGAGCTCCAATTTTA